TTCTACGGTCCCTGCTCNCCTTTCCGAGAGCGCGGCCCCGACTCCTCCTCCTCGCGCTTCAGGTCGACGGCGTCGGCCTCGAGCTGCGTACGGGAAGAGCGGCGGGTGAGCATGAGCGGTTCGAGGCGGCATTCAGACCGCGAGTAGCGCGGGCTCCTTTCCGTAGTATCTTAGGCAGTCGTTCAGCCAACGGCTCAGAAGCAATACTGCAGATCTCTAAAGAGGGGTTATTTGGCCACAAACAAAGTTGACGCTTGTAAATCAGTTGCAGACCCGCTGTCTGCAGCTACCAAGAGATGTCCACCACTCAAAGCAAGTGGCTGTACTTCGTGCGTTTGGGCGACATACTTCCTTCCCGCTTCTTATGAGTACACTTCACGCATGGCCGTCTCTCGCGCGCTCACCTGCGCCGGCACGCTCCCCGTGGTGGGCATGGCTCCGATGCACCGCACGGTCACCTTTTTCAACTCGTCGGCAACCGCGCGCGCGGCCGCGCTCACGGCCGCGTCGGCGTCGTTCATGCGCTGGCTGGTCGCCATGTTGAGCCGCTCCAGGACGGCCACGTCATCGGGCAGCCGGATGGCGGACTTGAGCGCGGGGAGGAACGCGCACGCGCGCGCGCGCACGCATACTACAGGATCCTGCATGTGAGAAGGAGAGCGATCCCTGTCACTGTGTGCTGATGTCAACAGAATGCTCAGGCTGAGCCTAAACATTAAGCTTTCAGCAGGGTTACGATGAACCAGACGACATCTTAACAGTATCACAGACCGCCGACCGTCATGGCGCATCCAAAGTGGAGAGCTCAACGTTGGACTGATCTTGGATGTCTCGCAACCCTATCGTAGAAGACTTTTCCCCGTAACGAGAGGTCAGCCCTTACCTGCAGCAGATCTACCGCGGCGTGCAGAAAATAGTCCCTAAAAAGGCGCGTGCTGGCCACCTTTCGGCAGGCCGCGCAAAAGTCGAGGAACAGAATGCGCTGGGACGCGCTCCCGCCCTCGGCAAACTCGCGCACAAGGCGCTGCGCGATGTCCGCGCTCTGGACGGCGCGTTTGTTGTGGCGCATCAGGGACGCGAGCGCGGCCGCGGCCGACGCGCGCACGGGCGCGGCGCCAACTTCAAGGAGTTGGAAGCAGAGCGGGATGAACTGCTCCCAGATCTGGGCGCTGCTGAAGTAGAGCTGCAGCGGAGGGAGGAGAGGGCTGTGGATTCTGAGGTTTGATCTCAATGGAAAGGCGACAGCGTACTGATGCTGTCCCGGCTGATCCACTTGTCGTTCTTCAAATCAATCGAGCACAAACGGGTGGGTAAGACAAGCCGCCGAGATGTGGAAGGAAGCAAGGGCTGCATTTGTGGAAAAAGTAGTCACAGAAGCTGCCCGTACAATACAGAACACCATCTGTTCGAGGCTCTCAAATTGGAACTCTGCTTCGGATAGAACAGGATGAGTTCGGGATGGGTGGAGGGGTTCGTAGACGAAAAGAGCTTTGGAAGTCGTTAGCATACCGCCTTCAATCCAAAACCCGCCGTCGCTCACGGTACTTCCGAACCTGATTCAGCGAGCATCTTTCGGAAGCAACAATGTCAACCCCCAATACGCTCAGCCTTGTCGAACCTCTCACATGGAAGCTGGCGGCGGCGTCCATGAACGCTTTGTGCGCGCGCCACGCGTGCCCCGCGGTGTGCATGGCCTGCTGCAGCGCGGGCACGAACGCGCCGTAGATCGCGGTGCGCTGCGTCACGTTCGCGATCGCAAAGTGCGCCATGGCCACGCCCAGGTTGGGCAGAAGCGCGCTTAGGACGTCGGGACTCGAGTCGCGCAGGAGAAGAAGGTACGGCTCGCGCAAGTACTGGGCGCTGCGCTCGGGGCCGAGGACGGCCATCACCTGAGCGAGTAGTGAATCCGTGTCGAGAATACTGTTTCGGGTCGTGGACATTCTCTGTTCTTGCCTAGGTCCTGAATATGCAGTGCATAACGAAAGGTAAACATTGAGCGTAAAGGAATCGGCTGTGTTCATGACGACGCGAGAAAGGAAAATGTCGCGGCTTTGTTGAGGGCAGGTTGTCCCTCGTGTCGTTCCTGTTTCGTGCTTTACCGGTAAACGTCGCAAGTCAAGCCACCTGCCTTCCTCATAAGTTGATGTTGGGAAACGTAGATTGTATCTTGTAAGCTTGCCAAGAGCGCAAGTGTGCTCGCGCTCACTTCGTGCAGGCCGGCGGCGATGGTTTTCCGCACACGCGCGCAGGGGTCCTGTGCCAGGTGCATCAGCGTGGGGTGCACGTGCAGGGCGTACCGCCGTGCTGACATCACCTTGGCCACGCCCGGCAGGTTCCACGCACACACCTGCGAGGAACGCCAGCCGGCCTTCGTAATCGTGCGGCAGATTGAACGGCAAAGCAAGCCCCTTTACGATGCGCACGGCATGTTGCTCGCCGAAACGCCCCTAGGTGACTTGAAAGGGCAGAGTTGGCTGCCTGATAACTAGAACGAGTAAAGACGAGTTCCTGGGTTTGGTACCGCGCCTTCGAGGCCCTGACTTGAACGCCGAAAATCTGACCCGATGAGAAGCACGCACGACGCGCGTCATGTTTTACCCATCGTACCGATCCTGAGAAGCTCGACGCAAGTAACCAACGCCCGTGCCTGACGGTATTGAATAGCATCTGCTAAATCCTGTACTCACAACATGGTGATAAGGTACGGGCATACCGACGGGTCGCACCGAAACAATGCAGCCCAGACTGAGTAGGACAACTCTTTTGCGGTGCCCGCTTACCTGTCGGGTGTCGTCGCTGGGCTTCCTGGCCATGGTCTTGTACGCGTCTGCGGCAGCCTGCAGCTCCTCCTCGCCCACCTCGCCACTCAGCTGCGAACAGACGCTAACGAAGATTCGCGACTGAAGCCCGGTTGCTACTTGTTTGGTTCCTCTTACAAATCTTACATGTAGAGAGAATTGTTTGTCTATATTGTCGGCTGTGAGAGTACGGAGAACGTTTTCTGCGCTCTACATCTGCCGCTCTGCAGTAACGACCACGTCTGGTTGGGGCATGCGGACAAGTGAAGCAGGGACTTCATTGTCAAACAGCTCCTAACACCAAACCCCCTTGACGAAAGTTCTCCCCGAACTTGGCCGGAGGCATGAGTGTATACACTGCACGCACTAGGAAGACAGGGCGTTGCGTAATATCTTGGCTGACTCGCTCTTTCGTCAAACGCACCACTCCCGGGAGCCGTTCGTTTGAGTGCTAACCTTCCAGAGCATCTCCCCAAAGAGCCGTGCGAACGCGGGGAGAAGGGGCGGGTCCGTCAGCGCGCAGAGCCTGCAACAAACGCATGTGTATACTTCAGTAAGAAGAGCTCGGGGCACGATCAGAGACGAACGGTAAGAAGTCCCATCGCAGGAGCCTAAACCATCCTGTCAACTGTCTTGACAGCGCGGAAAAACACCCCCACTAATTCATTCCAGATCCCGCTCATGGCTGTTGGACGGAGAGGTGACATCGAGAAAGCGGGTTAGAGCGAACCTTTGACAGTGCTTTAAAATCTGCAAACAGTAGTCCACAAGTTCCACGCCTTCGCTTGGAGAAACGAACAGATACGAATGGTGGGCTGAAGCTAAGGGAGGCTAAGGGACTCCAAAAGAAAGGGCTGTGTACTTGTTGCCCGGGGTCAATATCAGACTGCCACTCTTCCTTGGCCTCTCTCAAGTCCCCCTTTCAAGCCGGATGCTCTCCGTACAACACGATTAGCATCCTGAAAAGTGGGCCTAAATCAAACCGTCCGGATTTTGCCTGCGAGCATCTGTATGAACAATCGGCACAGATTCATTTGTCTTCTCTTCTCTGAGATCCGCCTAAGACTCCGCGGAACCACCTGAATAAGGGTGCGCGGCACAACCTACAAAACTTTTCCATTGGCAACAGCTCAGGAATTCAACAAGCGTCTAACCACCCACCCCTTGAAGAGCGGCACGCCTTTCTGTTTGCGCACGTCCTTGGGCAGCCCGTCCAGCATGCCCGTCAGCGTCTCCGCGGCCGCGGCGCGCACCGTCGCCTGCTCGTCCTCCAGCAGCTCCAGCAGCTCGGGGACGACGCCGCCCGCGCACTCCTCGGGGCGAACCCCGCGCGCCACCGCGCCCAGCTGGCAACACATCGCGCACCGCACAGAGGCGTCCGTGTCCTGGGAAGAAAGGAGGCGAGTGTTACAGCTTCCTCCGAGCAGCCTGCCAATTCTAGTAAAAATGGTGGTGTAACTTAGTCAGTCTGTTGCTATGTGAAATTAGTCAAAATTAGATGACACTAAAACTGGCAGGATGGTCGGGAGAAGCTGTAGATTGGATGGAGGGAGAAGACGGACTGCCGGGCAACCATCGCGAGCCCCTTTGGCTACAAAACCTGGAAGTCGACGGCTAACTCTGCTGGAAAGAGGAACCCGATCGATTTAGTGAACTGCAACGGCCAATGAACAGCAACGGAGAAGGTAGAGTTAGTTAGGGGGCTAGGGTGGGTACGGGTGCGGAACAGTTGATCGTTTGGATTGGGGTTTCCAGTGACCCCAAAAGGCTTCCTGTTCGCTGGGCTTAGTGTTCCCCTAGATCGAGAAATACGGAAAGAGGGAGTGTCAGGACGGATGGAGGGAGAACAAGGACTTCCGGGCAACCTCGCGAGCGCCCTCGGCTACAGAAATAGGGAATTGATGGCTAACTCTGCTGGAGACCTTTTCGGACCGTCGAGTTGAAGGGTCATGGTCGAGGGGGGTCATCAGAAGTGACAGGCCGCGGGTCCGCGTTCTCTTTCCATCCGTTCTGTCAACTTGCACGAAGGGCGAGCTCTCAGGAATTTCGAGTATCAAATCAGATGCAAACCGATTTGACCTGGGAAACTCTCTAGCCAGATTGATTAGATTGAAACTTTCAGGGCGTCGAGTAGGAACACAAAAAGGCCAGGAATCGACCGTAGTAGAGAACGGACCAGCAGTGCCGCCCAGTGCGCCAGAAAATTGAAACTCGTGTCGGCGCGCAAGCTGGGAAAGAGTACTCGATCTTTCAAAGGGAAAGTCTCGAAAGCGGACCGTTCGTCTAGTCCGCATCGCCTATCTTGCGAAAGTCCTGGCGTGCTTGACCTGACCTAAGCATTCTCATTTTGAAAAACCAGAGAAAGGGTCCTGGCGCACAAAGTGACGCTTTGCGGGAGCCGACATAGGTGTTGTTCTGCGAATATCGAATACGCATGAGAGTGGTCGAGCAAACGGAGACGCGCGCACCTGGCAGAGCGCGGTAGTTTTCTTGAGCAGCGCCGCCTGCAGGTCCCGCGTGTCCAGCACACCGACCGCCGCGATGCTGCCCAGCAGCGTGGCGCACAACGCGCGCGCCAGGGGGGGCTCCTCCACGCGCCCTTTCGCCAGGGCGAACGCCAGCAACTCCTCGCGCACAATCTGCGGACAAATGGGCCCATTGTCATGGTTCTATGGAGGGGACGCACAGAGAGTCGGTACAAGAGAGGATCGAAGCGGAACAACCAGTGGAAAGGGCCCAAAGATTGTAGGATAGGCCGTTTGCTCCGAACGACGACGTTCGGAAATGCTGGTAATATGGAGTGGGTGGGAATAGAGGCGCTTGCTTCGTTGGTCGAAGCTGCCAGACGTGATCCAGGCGGTGTGGGAGCTAGGCAACGGGGTGCTTTAACGTCGAGGTTACTTATAACCGAAAGCACGGTTTCCAAGATGCCTTTCAGGATGCACAATTAAGCAGTCCTTGGGTCGAACCTTGTACCCGACGAGGCCTGGCCAGCTACAAATGGAGCGGCAAGTCTTTTCTGACCCCCAATGTCCGCGAACAATCGTGCTAGGCAGCTCAAATCACTCAGCCAAAAAATGGAGCGATCCAAACCCAGCCACGAAAGTAACCTCTGGACCTGCAAGTCGTCCCTCGTCTGTCTTCTGTATCTTGAGGCCATGCCAATTTGGAAACGCCCGGCCCGAATTCCCTTCAGCTTGTCCTCTTTGTCCCTCCAGCCTTTAAATTCAACACCAATATTCTTTAGAGACTCCAGTCATTCGGAGGCTCACCTTTGGCGGTAATTTCGGCAGCGCCGCGCACAGCACGGAGAGCCAGGCCTCGGTGACGGTGTCAGGGCGCGGCTGGCCCAGTATCTTCAGCATCAGTGGCAGAAGCAGGGATACCGACTCGCTGGCAACGGGCCCCTCGGAGATGGCCCGCTGAAGGGCCTCAGCGCAAGCAATCTGCACATATGACGAGAACGGCTCGACTCTTGGATCGAGCTAAGTTCTGGGCTGATTAGTCATCGCCATACTAGAGTCAGAACGATAGAATTCAACTTGGACACTAACACGAGGTCGAAGCACGGAGGTCCGTTATTTCTTCGTCGTCTTGGCTCAGAGTAACGCTGCACTAGGCCCGATTCGCACTACACACATAGGGCCACACAACAATAGTAAGCGCCGCTACTTGCTGCTTTACAGAGCTCCCTCAAGCACGTATTCGCCCACACACACAAACTGCCCAAAAGTGCTACGTCATACAAACCAGAGATGAGATCCGTACCTGCGCTGCCGGCTGCGCCTGATCCAAAAAGGTGGCCAGCGCGGGGGTCACCGCCAGTACGGCCGCCTTGCCGTGTTCTCTAAACAGCTGTGGCAGCTTCGTGATTGCGCACGACTGCTGCAGCGGGTGCGCCCCCGGCTGCAGGAACATCTTGGCGCGGTCCACATCGCTCAGAGACTCGTCAACGCTCAGGCGTGCCAGCTCATCGGCGATGCGCTGCTCCACAAGGACTGCCACTGCCATCTGCAATCGAGAGTCAAAGACCGGGTTAGTAAAGATGCAGGAACCTCGTGACTTGTCTACTGTGACAAGTGCACCCTTCTTTAACTCACGTGAAGAGACTGTTTGGTTTATGGCGTAAGAAGCAAAGAGTGACAACAGTCTCTTGTGATTGCCACCACTGTCTGGTTAAGCACTGTTGCGCCAGTTTGAAGGCCGGTGTGGGGACCTGGAGAACCACAGATGCTGACAACCAAGTTCAGGGCTTAACTGCAAAGTAAGGGGATTTTGGCCTTTCTGGAGAGGCTCCTAGTGATACTTCTTGCGGTCAGGGGTGGCATTCAGACCGATAGACTCTGTCAAATCTGCTGTACATGGTTTTCAGCTATGTTCCTGATCCCCGAACAGGTAAAGTTTTTTATAAGAGCCCTGCGTCATTTATGTCAAATGAGGGTGATTTGTGAGCGAGCTTTTTGCGGTCCCTCAGAGGACACCTTCGTGAAGTAATACGAGCTGGCCGCAGTTACAAGAAAATCTTGCCAATCATTCCAAACTCCGCCTAGAGTATGGATAACCTGACTTTAAGATATCGAGAATGTTTGGAAATGTCAGTGGCATCGGTCATTACTTCCCCGCTTTGCTAGGTTTGTGGGCGTTGATTAGCTGGCGCTGATTGCTTCGAGTAACCACGTTGTGGTGGTAATCTAACCAGGTTTTTGCTAATGGGTACCTTAGAACCTCCCCTTTCAACCACCACTCCTTATCATGGTACTTCTGAGAGACTGTTGCAATTCTGGGGCCTCGTCCCAATCCCGAACACAACGGCAGTCACAGGGTGGTAACAAAACCAGGAAGCTCGAAACAGCGGTGGTTTCATGCAAGTTACAGAAACAGAGTTCTTTAGTCAGACGCTTCGCTTTTACCCCATATCAGCGAGCCATCCGAGCATCAGAGGTATGTGCAATTCAATGAACTTTGACATATGGACCTGTATTTGGGCTCCAGTTCAGCTCAAGCGGAAGGTTTTTTCAACAGAGATTTCGCTCTCAGCTATGAGCTCAGGATGCTAAGCCCTCACACCCTGTGGCAGCCTGGACTTGCTAGCCCCACCCAATTGGTCCATACGTCCGTCCTGGGCTTATCACTCGTACTCTACAATGGAGCTAACATATTACCCTTTAAGAGATTGATGATTGTTCCAGCTTGCCCAAAGCTGAGTGGCTCTGAATAAAGTTGAGACGCCCAGCAAGCTCAAGTGACTGGAATGCAAGCTCACACATTTTCACAGCTCACATTGCGTTGCTAAGAAAGCCCAAAGCCCCAAACAGTTCAGTGAGAGCTTATTTGAGCAGGTTGCTCTGGGAGACTGATAGTATTTGCGCATAACATGGAGAGTGCAGCAGGACTTAGACATCAATACAGGTGTTCTTCTCAGCTGGACACGTCTTAAACGATTGGGTAAACTGCAGAGCTGCGCCTTACCTCATTGATGCCATCCTCAGCCATGCTCCCCACCGGCCAGTCTCCCAGAGCCTCCGCCATGCGCGCCGCCTTCTTGCTCATGGCTACTGTCCAACTAATAAGCAGTTTACCCAGAGCCAACCAGCCTACCGCCTCCTTTCTTCAACTTCACTTGACTTGTTCAAGCAACATAGCGTGGAGCTCATGGACACGTTCTAGGGTTTCAGCCATTTTAGGGTTCCATATTCTAGCTCAAGCAGACTTTCAAATGCGCTTCTTTCCTCAATGAAAAGTCCTCTCACCGTTGTTTCTCCATTGGTTTCATCAGGATCCCTCCAATGACAACATTTGGGCTGAGATGATGCCCTTCAGGACTTTCCCTGCACTTTACCCATCTTTTCATCAGAGCTCCATTGAAACTGGTGCTGCATTTGGAATCAGAAAGAAGTTCAATGTACCTATCTGAAAGCCTATCCGGAAGGAGGTCAAAAATTGGAGAAGCTCCATATGTATGCACGCATGATGAATCATGAAGAGACTTTTGTGAGTGTTGACAAAATCAGATTTGCTGGCTCCACTTGCCAAACTCATGCCAGCACTTTGCAAAGCGCAACCTCCGCGATGCTATGGGCTACCATGATAAGCTATAGCCCTATCCGCCGGGCACGTGATTGCTGCATGTTGCATAGCTTATGATCGGGATGAGGAACTCATGCTGCATGAGGCCCTGTAGTTCCGGTCAGGGTTTCGAGTCGGAACGTCACGGCGGCTCACAATCTGTCACAAACGACTGGTCGTAGGGTCGCACCGGGGGGGTCAAGTAGCGTAACCGGCCTTGCAAGAGTGCACAGCTTTGGAGAACAGGGCCTTTTTCGTGAAACGGAAGGGGGGACAGAAGGGAAGCTCCGTCTCTTTGCTCGTCCTTTTTCGCGCGCACTCCAAGCAGAGCAGACGAGGCGCCCCATACCATCGGCCACCATGGTGAGTTGCTTCTGCCATATGGAATGGTGCTTTTGATCTGTTGTGCTGCTTTTGCATTTTTTTAAGCTTTTGCCAGCAGGGTTTGCTTGCGGCGGCTGAGACGAGAATGGCTTTTCGCTGTTTGTTGGGGCAGCGGTTCATCAAGCTTTGCTTGTGCATGGTTCTTTCTGCTATTCCAGTGGTCTGATCTACTAAGGAGCACTTGGATACTTCGCCTGATAGGTCTCTCGCTTGACATGTGTGCAGGTTCTCTCTAACGATATTGACTTGCTACACCCTCCAGCGGACTTGGAGAAGAGGAAGCACAAGCTTAAGAGGCTGATTCCTACTGCTAACTCTTTCTTCATGGATGTCAAGTGCCAGGGTTGCTTTAACATGTAAGTACTTTATCATCACCTTTGGAGTTGCAACCCTGCTTGACCCTCCTTTCTTACTTGTGATTTGTGCTAAGGATTCTTTCTGGTGTATACAATTGGTAATGGTATCAGCCACGTCTTGTGGGGAACAGAAGGTAGAACTCGGTGCACTGAAAGCTCCTGAAATACAGCTTTGGCGTCTTGCAGCACCGTTACCAGCAACAAATTTTTCCCCCAGATACTTGGCATAGCAGAGTGCTAGGATTGCATGAGTTGGATTTTTAGGGTCGGTTGTGTCAAGAACCAAGCTGGAGCGCTGAATTCACCAACAGTCCTTCTTTTTCATCTCATATTGTTTCTTGCAGGAATTAGATTCAGTCGTCAGCCTGCCTGCTTGTTGCTTTTGAATCGAGTGGTTTACCCGTGCTTTTTGTTTGTCTGCAGCACGACTGTGTTTAGTCACTCTCAGACCGTCGTGCTGTGCGGGAGCTGCTCCACGGTGCTTTGCCAGCCGACCGGAGGCCGGGCACGCCTAACCGAGGGTTGCTCGTTCCGGCGAAAGGGCGAGTAAGCAGCAGGCCAAGAAGCATGTAAGATAACCTGGTAGCGGAGTCGTTGATGGGGACAATGCTTGGACGTGAAGGGGCCCAAAGTTGCGGGACAGCGCGGAAAATGGAGCAGCTGCAATTGGAGCGAGAGAGCGGGCGAGGCGGCCCCCCAGGGGGGGTAAGGCCAGAGAGGGCTTTGTTGTATAGGCGCCTGAGGGCTCTGGATGGCGGGGTCAGGGTCAGGCGGGGATTAGTTTGTAGGGAGCATGGGCCAGGAGCGGTTTAGACGACCTCTCTGGATGGCAGGTAGAGGGAAGGATGACAAAGACGCTCCAACCTTGGGACCATGCAAACACAGTTAAGCAAGGTTCGCATCATCCAAGCCGTGTTGTGCATCACGTTTTGCTTTTGCCGTATGGTGCTCCAATTCTTTGCCGCATGAGAGATATTGTCTTTGCAAGTGCAACCCTTCTGCTCTGGCTTCTCGAATAACAGTTCGTGTTTGCTGAAGCATGCTCCATTTTCTGATGCTTGCCTAGGGTTTTTGGGTTCCTTATGCTCCAAGGCATTGCTTTTTCCTTGATTCTTGTGAGGTCTAGTGTTCGCTCCAGCCTGTAAAATTATACCATCCCTTCGAGAAAAGAGAGGTGTGCAGTTGCTATATGTATCTGTTGGGACTTGAAATCTCGGATTTCAGTTCTTGGATTCCTCGCTTGGAAGAGGTTCATTTCAGTTGGTTGGTTCAAGTTAGATCGAATCCTCGGGGTGCAGATTAGCTTTCAGATGTTAGGGGTGTTTGTGGTGGTCACTTTCGGCCGATTGCTGTCAGTGGAAAGGTGTAGGATTATTTCTGCAGTACTTTTTCCTTGAATGCGTGAGGCTCCTGTTCCTGAGTGGCATCCTCTTTCAAATGAGGATAATTGTCGGCTGAGTTTTGTTTGCCAATTATGGCATGGCGGTAGCGGCACAGTGTTGTTGAATTAGCTGTGTCATAGCCTTCCTCTAGTTGTATTGCTGGTATAATACTTATCATGATTCATGTCTTTCCTTAAGTGATTTGTGCAGCTGAACTGCGCTGGTTGTAAAGGAGATTGAGGTTGTTCTGCCTTTTGTTCCATGGTCCAAGTGGCATGCTTGCACTGATTGCTCAGATTCAGTTCTGTGTTCTTTGGCATGCCCAGGCTGTCGGTTGCCGCCAGCTTCTGTCTGGTTTGGATCTTGTGCTTTGCTGCTTTGTGTGGTCACTGGTCAGAGATATACCTAGACAGGGAAACCCCTTTAATCCGTTTGCCTGGAGAGGCTCTGCCACAATCTCGCACCTGCATGGTTTGCTGTTGTTGCTCTGGCATAAGAGCAGCGACATTCTGTTTCGCTCTTTTCATGCAAAACCGTGCTGCAGGAGGTGCTTCCTCTCCGCTTTAGATAGCAACTTGCAATGCTTATGTTTTGTGGGTGATGTCGGTCTGCAATAATTTAGAGCTCTGCCAGTGCACATGCAGATCTGTGCACATGTGCCAAATGCACGCGCTGTCATACGACAGCAGGTGTGTTCTATATTTTCCACAACTCTTATCCATATTCTGATTGTGGGACAAGCTGCTATAGATATTCACACGGTAGCCAACAGTAAGCAGTAATACATACTTCATACAAAAAAAATGTGGCTATACAGGCAGATACCAGATTCACTTATGTACATTGACAGCTATTCCATCATAAGCTAGTAAATGCGGTCTGGAGGTGTGAATAGTATCATATTCTGCATCAGTATCAACCAAGTGGTTTTGCAGAACTGATATGTATCATGCATGGTCATTACAGCCCTTGCCCTTACAACCGTTTAGAAATTTGTTCGCCATGCCATGTCTAAGTAGCACCAGGAATGGCCAAAAAACTGCATGATACGGTAACAGCCGAGCACAAGGATTCCTCCCTGCAGGTGCTTCATGACCATCACTGCGTGATCTTGGAGAATACCGGCATACTTGCAGCCGCTGCAAAACCGCTCATGCCTTCTTCTTGCCCTTGCCTCTTGGTGCTGCTGGCGCCTTGCTTTCTTTTCGTGCCACCTTCGCCTTTCCCTTTGCTTGGGACGCAGCTTTTCGCTTGACCCCCGGGATCGCAGCAGCGTCCTGCACTTCTGCTCCTTGTGCGTCCTCCTCTCCCTCATCTTCCAATGCAATAGCACCATCGTCCACTGCGCAGAAGAGCAAAACATTCTCAAGTCTTTGGGTGAGATGTGAACAAGATAGAGAGCCGACCACTAGCTTGGCTTCGGATTGGCTGCATATGTAAGCGCAGGAAGCACTGAAAGAATGGCAAAGTCTCCCACTCCAGGGGCAACAACGAAAGCAAACCTTCCCCAATCGCGCTCAACGACCCATCATGTCTGCAAAGCTCGTACACTGAAGACATCTTAGATTGCAGCAATGATCACCACATACTCTGCCTGTCCACTCCGCATTTGAACCTCTTTCTCGCACCATCAGAACTCGAGTTGTTGCAACGACGGAAGGACACCGGAGCTTCACCTGCCACCACGTCGTTTTCTGCTGGCGCGCCTTCGGCTGCCCCCGCCCTGACACGTGGCTTGACCGCTTTGGCCCCCATGTCCAGCATGACGCTCGACTTGACCGCGTGCTGTGCAGCGTTAGCAGTGCACTGCCGCGTAAAATGGGCTTTCACCTGCGCTGACACGCCCTCCAGGGGGTCCCCTTTGCCCTGCAAAACATGGGGGGCCTTCGTCTGGATCTTGTGGACATACCCGCTGACAAGGTTCTCGTACCGTGCATACTAGTCCCATACGAAGCACCTTACAGTTGCTCGGCAAATTGGCCCAACACTGTTAGGAGGCGACCTTTGACGCGGGGACAAAAGCAGCGAATGACGGGGGCTTCAGCATACGCTCACCGCTAGCTTGCCCAGGTCCAGCATGTTGCCCCAGTCTTCCCGCGTGAGTGAGTACTCGTTCATCAGCTCGATCACCGGCTCCACCCCGTCCTGCACGGGGCAAGCAAGTGTCGCACTGTCAGCCCATCCTTTCTTGGTGCTATCTGCGAACCTTGGTGGCCTCGTTTGTCGCACGAAATCCTCTCCTGTTCTCCAAGGAAAAAACAAAACCCCACGAAACGCAGGTGAAATTGTTGAGATCGATGCAGGAAGTGGTTGTGCTTCCGTCAAAGTTGCTGCCTTCGTTCAAGATTGCAGTTTGAAGGAACGGCTATTTCTTGGATATTCTCGCACCGAGGCTTGCGCCCTAAAGGGACATGCTGCTTTCGGTGAGTCAGACAGGAGCCCTTGTGCCGTATGAAGGCGCTCTTACCTTGTCGTATTTTCGAAGCGGCATCGTCAGCAAAGCGCTCAGAATGGGGACGTAGTCCTGGCGGACCGCGCTCCTGGGCAGCAACAACAGAGAGTGCTTTCAGCAACAACGCAGGGAGAATAATAAGATTGTCAACAACCCGTCACACCACGTTGTGAGTCGTGACTTCGCTTTTTTGCAGGCAAGCAGATGACATTATGAGTCGAGAAGTGAAGCGGAAAAGCGTCGTCCCAACAAAACAATCCGTAAGGCAGCCTGATAACCTTACAAAAAAGAGGTCAAACGGACAAGCGTGGTCACAACAGAACGGACGCCCGTACGCCGCAGAACGTTTCGGGGGATGCAAGTAGAGAACTGCAGGGACCAGTGGCTGACCTGGAGGCGGAGCAGTTGCCGGAGACGAGCATGTGCGTCTGCAGCTCCGAGAGGATGCGGCTGTTCTTGTTGGCGCTCGAATTCTTGCCCAGCCACGCGCTGAACCGGTTGAAGTTGCGCTCATTCTGCGCCACAGTTCATTATCCATTTATGCATAAATGTTGTTTGAGTTGTCGGACGAAGCGAAAGCACTCTGCAGAATAACAGGCCCTGGCAGCAGAGCTGCACACTGCTCGCACACGGCGCTGGACTTCGCTCCGACGCTTTCATACCATTGCTGACTTCAGAGCTCTTCGTCATTCGGCACAACCAGATTCCGGCCGGGATTCCCTTCTCAGAATTGAGTTCCCAATCAAAGTTTCTTTTAGGCTGGGCCAGGCAACTGAGCTTGTCAAAACTCAGTGTCATGTCTTGTCATGTCAAAAGTCAAGTCAGTTCTTACCGGCAGCAGCGGTTCCCGTTGACCACGGATATGGGCACAACTGCAGGCAAAACGACAACAGTACAGCATCCATTCAGGATCAGTCCTAGAGCGCAATACACTGCAGCAGACCCTCCAAGCCGCTCGTCGAAGCACTCTTGGCGATACGCGCCTTTTCACCTTGCGCATTGCCGGTCTCAACTCAGGCCAAATTTGTCTCATCCAAAATCTGCAGAAAAGAGCGTCTCCCAGCAAGCGACTGAGGCACCCTCAGATCGCCACGTGTGAACAACCCACGTGGCATCGCGTGCCACGTGTCGGGCTCCCGTCTCACCTCGCGACGGTGGACGTGACGCAGCCAAAGGGCATGAGATCCCAGCGGCCGCGCCCGCGCACTTGCCGGCTGACGAGGTCCCCGTCGCTGATCCAATCGGAACACGAGGCAAGCGCATCCATCCGGTCAAGCCCGCCCCGGCTCGGCCGGAAGTTGACGTAGTTCTCCTGCGAGCCCGGATTGTTGGTCGATCTTGAACACTAGGGAAGTCCGAGTCTGACGTCCGATGCGGAGAGTGACGGAACTGGGTGCATTTCGGCTAAGTTTTTCAGGAGTCAAGTTTGGGTGCAGTGATGAGGGGATTGTGTAATCTCGCTGTAGACGAGGCAGGAGACGGAGTGAATTGAAACAGGAGCCGCAAATGCAGGGGACTGCAGTAGCGGAACGAGGGTAGGTCTTTAAGGATTGCAGCCCGTACCCAATCTACCCCTTTTTCATGTAAACTTGCACCCTACATTCACATTTGAGCCAGGGCACGCATAATCAAGCGGGCGTTTTTTACCTGCACCATGAGCGGCAGCAGGTCTGCGTCTGCGAAAGCGAGATTGATCTGGTCCGAAAGTGACAGCTGGACGGCGGATGGGGAGAAGAGCCTGCGCAAAAAACAATCCACGGGTTTCCGTGAGAGAGTCGAACGGATCGATCATAGCGGCCAGACCTGCAGATTCGTTGGTGAAATCTGAAAGAGCCTGATGGGTGTACCAATACCTAGATCATCCAATCTCTTTTTTTGTATATCCCGAGGTTTTGAAACATATGGGCGAACCGGATTGGCGGGGCTTTGCTTAAACAAACCACACCAAGGTATAAATATCGGAACGGCTTCTTTCCCGCTAAATTGGTCCTAACCTGTCGGTGACGTTGAAAGGTGAGAGGTCGACGTCCTTAGCGCCGGTCCGCATCTTTGACTGGACGTCCGAGTAGTTGAGGGAGGTGCTGCGGACACGCATGAACTGCAGAAAACGGCCCGGGTCTTCTTATCCTTATATGTACACCATTGAAGACAGCTGGATGATTAAGGGTAGGGCATGTGCTCTATGGATGCAATCGTTCTGCGCTATCCTTGGAATTGGAAAATTTCTTCGAAGTTCTTCCCTCTTCCGCTGCACACAAGAGCTTCGCCGGCTTTGTATCGGCACAGCTCAGATGGCCTGCTTCGACGATAGGCACAAGCAAAGGAAGCACGTTCACAGTACCTTGACTCGGATCCATTCTCGAGTTCAGGTCAAGGAGCATAACGATCGTTGAGTATGAGCAGGTTAACGAGGGTTTGCGCTCACTTGCAGGTGGTTCAACGCGAGCCGGATGTCGCACTGCACAGACTCCACCAGTGCGTCGAGCGCCCTCTGAACGGAAGGAACGGCAAGAGATTGGAAGCACGTCCAGGGTTTATCACCGCTGTTTCTGTCAAAGAGGTGACTACGATCGTCCCCACCAGTTGAGCAGTGAGCGCTATCAAAGACCTGATAACTTCCAGGTGTAATTAGAAGCGGAGACTCGGCAGGCTGACAGAATGAGGTCTTTCGCTGAATCCTGCGCGTTAGCTCCTTTGTCTTGCTGAAATCGCCTTGGCCTTGCAGCACATATACCGAGAAACCTTCATTCATTACAGACTCAAATCGACGTCGTTGCCGTACGTCAACGACTCACCCATTTGAGCTCCAGAATTGGAAGCTGAATCATGCTACAATTGACACTCAAAGCAAGGCTGGTCCCCCCGCCCCCTCACCTCCTCAACGTGCATGCCTTCTTTCCCGGCCACCTCCGCGAGCCTCCGCGCAATCTGCTGCTTGTTCGGCTTCTGGAAGTTCAACTCCATACAGTGCCCCACTAGCGACTTGATCTTCTGGTTGTACTTGTCATTGCATATGCAGATGATCGGAATCTTGCTCTTCTGAATGCTCTGAATCAAGTCCTGGACACCCCCTCGGTCGCCGCCCGACATCCCGTCTACTTCGTCCATAATGAGCGCGAGCTTCTTGCCGCTCCCCGAGAGCGACCGGTTAGTAATCAGCTCCTTGACCATGTTGGAAGTCGACCCGCCCATGCCCTTCTGTACGTCCCTGTCAGCTTTCCCACGCGCATCGCTTGCGTTTACCTGCGGAGTTGAGGGTCTCCACTTACAATCTACTTATCGCACTTGTTTGGCATCTCAGTGCCAGTGTCGCAAGTAGCTGCAGTTCGAAACGCGCAGCCTCTGACAACAAATTGCAGCTCGTCTGCTTCTCCTCACTGTTTAGAAAAGCGGTCCGAATCAAAAGACTGGAGACTTTGAAGGTACTGCATATGGTCAAGATGTACCCCAATTTGTTCTCTCAGAAGGAGGATGATTGACAAAGGTCCATTATTGGCGATAAGATCAGCTGATGCAGGCAGTAAGGCCATCGAAGGTCTTCCAGGCAAATAGGTCCGACTCGAGGCCGCACCTCCCAGGCATGCCCCCTACAACCCGAGAGGTCGTCTCTAGCAAGTTTGCAACCTAACAGAGGCATCGAGGCTGGCTCCGACCGAACAGGTTCGACCACCTCTACTCGCACCTAGTCTTTCCTCCAAACGGAGCCCCTCACCTCCATCACCTCATAGCCCATTTCTTCACACAAAATGGTCGCTGCGCTCGTTTTCCCCAGCCCCGGGGGCCCACTCAGCAGCGCGGCCTTCTTCTCATCATCGGCGTTGTTTTTTCCACCCCCCCAGCCCCGGCCCCCTCCGCTGCCGCTGGCGCCTTTCTTTCCGCCCTTGGGAAGTGCAGGTTGTAGGTGGCGACTCTCCCACTTGACCAGCCATTCTCGCAACCGGTAGATCTGTGGAACAAAAGAGAGCTTCTTGATGATGTGAAATTGACTGCGGAGTCGATGACGACTGCTTACAAAGGGAGGGGTATAAGTCACTCACTCAACAACGCACCAGTTCGAGTTGGCTCTGAGCCTGCAAGGTACACATTTGTTTGCGTCCTAGATCAAGTGAATGGGGTAAAAGTTTGAAAGATGACAAAACTCGACTTCCATAACAAGAGGTAGGTTATTGTCACAACTCAAAGTCCGAGAAGCCAGTAGTCATCTGTGTGGTTCGTTGAGCCTGCTCCCCTGTATTCGAGACAAAACTGTGCTGGCCAGGAATGAGACAACCTCAATCCGGCTCCCACTGGACCAAGATTTCAGCGGGATGTCCCACCTGGTTCCCATTCCCCACCAGCTCCGCCACCTTCCTAGGCCTGTGCTTTGTCGTCCACAGCTCGTTGATTGCCTCCTTCCGACCTTCTGCCGCGACCACCTTGCCCTTTCCTTTATCCACAGCGATACTGCACGGCGCCAGTGGCTGTAGAAGGCCCCCTGACTGGCTCTGTGGTGGATTTGGCGGTCTGGCGGAGGTGTGAGAAGGGCCGGGCTGCAGTGGGGCGGGTCTGCTGTGCTGTGCTGCCATTGCTGCGGCTGCCGCGCCCATGTATGGCCGTCGCAGATTGCTTCCACCTGGCACCCCATTCTGAAACCGTGCAGCATTCGGACTCCCGCCAAGCCCGTTCTCTCGAAGCACATCATTGGAGCCAATTCTCTTATGCTCAGACGCTAACAACCCGTTCTGCAGCTGAGAGGTGCTTTGGGGGGCCGTCTCTAGCGAAAACGAGCTGCTTTGCCCTCGCCCATTTGCCGTGGAGGGCTTGTAGCCTGTGACTGGGGTCACCTCGAGCTCTGTTTTCTCAGTGGGGGATGGAGTTACTGGGTGCACTGGGCTGGCTGCTACTTTCTGAGGGGAAGCGCGGGTGGAGCGTCTCAGGCCTGAGTCTGGTGTTGGATGGGCTCCGTTGGAGGTGCCAGCAGCGCCGGGCACAACTCTTTCAAGATGCAAGCTGGCTTTGCGGGGGGAGATGTCGGCAGCTGGGGGCTCCACACGGGGTCTCTTGGTGGGGCCCTGCAACACAGCAGTCTGTAGAGATTCAACTTGACTAGCAGGGTCAACTTAGCCAAGGACGCCCCAATCCAAGCAGGCGGAGAGAGGCCTCTGCGATCGGGGATCATTGCTGAGCCTCTTGAATCTCGTCCACAAGTTGCCACTCAAAAGCTGGAGGTGTTGAAAATCCTAAGACCAGCTTATGTCCTACACAATGCTGGCCATCAAGAGTAAAGAGGCGCAAAGTCTCAGCACTTCACATAGAAACCATCTGACTTTGTCATACCTCAAGTTGCAAGTTGTCCTCGTCCTTCCCATTGCCGGTGGTGACACTTTCTTTCCGCTTCTCAGCAGACCCATTATTGTTGAAGAACTTGGACCCTACAGCATACTTGCTTGTTTGCCCCTTAGGCCCGAAGAATGATCGGATGTCCATGTGTTCCTGCAATTCCCATTGTGCTTGTCACAGGACGACCAACAAACCATGAGATCACAGCAAGTGGCACATTCTAAAATACCAGTTGCTTAGCTTTATGACAAGTGCAAGAGAACAATGACCAATGAAGTCAGTTGATAACATTGTGTTTGGAACTTGGGCCTTCCGCGTGATACATGTTGACTGCACCTCAAGGGAGCAATTTCCTCTGGTGTGCAATGCAATTAATGGCGATAAGGGAAGCAACATTCTTCCACTCACAAGCAGTATGCGCTCTCTGGCGGCCTCCCTCGCTCATCAAAGGCTCCGACCAAGTTCTGCAGCCCGCCTACGACCTTCTTGTGTTGGACTTGCCTAAACAAGCCCCTGAACGTCCCTGGTCAAGCGCCCTACCTAAACTCAGAGGCCAGAACTTGAAGCTCTACCTAGAGCCTGAGGACCACGTTCCCATCCTCTAACCTCAAACTTAAAGCCTCAGTCCAATGCCAATGCCAATGGCGAAGGAGTCATGCCAACGGCCTGCCCTTGCTGGGCTCGGATTGCCTGCGCTGAATTTTGATCGTGCTTTTGCAGACAAAGTGCTCGGGACAAAAGTGCTCTTCCACGTGGTACATCATCGACGGCTATACGTAGGCACTAGTGCTCCATCGAGGGCTCAGCGACGAGAAATTTGGCGCGCCATCAGCTTGCAAATTCTTACCGGGCACATGTTCCATTCGAACGACACCCTGACACTTATCAACAGTGAACTGTGAAGGCACTCACATGTACAGTCACACTGATCAGTGAAGTGCATTGCTCATTATTCTTCAAATTTGGGGAAGAACACTTGCTCAGCCCTCACAATTGCTGACCATTGCTCATTGATGTTTGAGGAGGCATCTGCCCAGAGTCAGATCAGTCCAACCTTGTCACAACCACCAACAACAATGTTTTTGACGACCTAAAGATAGATTTTTCTACCTCGTTGCGTCAAACAAATGCACAACAAATGCACAACGTAGACAACTACCTTCCACAACGTAGACAGCTACCTTCCGCTCCTCTTTGAGAGACTTCCTCAAACATCTTGCAGCTTGAGAGAACAATGAAGTCTTCTTTCAAGCACACGCTGAAGAACAGCGCCTGCTTGGTGGACCATACCAAAACTGTGAAAGCTTTCAAAACAGTCCTGAGCAGCGATGGCCCCCAGCCTGACTCCGCTTCTGAACGCCCTGGGATGGGGCTCGGTCGACTTTCACGACCGGATGCTCCGCCCAGTAGGTATAGTGCTGGGGTTTCTGGTCACCGTTCTCTTCCTGTATGCGCTTGGCACCAACTCGGACCAGCTCTTGGCGCTGAGCAGTGGCCGAGTCTTGAGAAACTCTTCCAGCCTCCTGTTGTGCGAAGCATGGTTCGAGGAGCAGGATCGGGCAAGGGGGCACATGTTGGCGGGTAGGGACTTTGACACCGACCCGGTCAACATATATGAAGTGGGCCTGCCGGAGTGGTTCGTGGCAGCGCAAAAGGATCTCCAGGAGTGTGATGTCCCATGCAGGTAAGTATCATCACCACTTGGAATGCAACCACTCTCCCAAGTACGAAGACCGACTGCAAAACAGGCCGCTTTGTGTTAAGCGAGTGGTGATACAGAACGATGATGGTGCGATGGACTGGTTTGTTCAATGGGTTTCTGCGAACTGAACGGACTGATTGTCGCAGAGTGCAACTTCAACGGGCCAGCAGGCTTCGTTTGTTCAATAGTGACTCTCAAGTGGCTGCAATTTGATGTGCTCCTATTGTGTAGGTTTCTCCAATCAAAACCGTTATGTAGCCTGCTTTTGTTTGATCCCAGAGTGTGGTGCCTTTGAGACTGTTGGACGGATATACAATGGCGCTTCAGAGACCGCCGATGCCTGCAGGTTTTAAGAAAAAACATCCTGAGAAAAGCTGATAACAGGCACTCATCTTCTTGCCCTTGAAAGAAGCGCATTCTTTTCAAAGCAACTATCTTGAAAAGACACACCACAAGGCAATCAGATTGAAGAACTCAGTTGCATGTTTGATTGGCTGGATTTAGTAGGGCAAGCATTCAGAGGAGTCTTCTTGTATGACTGCAGGTGCGGGTCTCAGCGCCAGAGCCCCACAGGCTTACAGCAATGACCTAGCTGAACAAGATTGTCATTCCAAAAGAAACCCGCAACGCTCCTCTTTTCCAGCTCCATTCGCTACAGCGACGCCCAGGCAGCGTCCATCACCCACTGGGACGCCCGTACCGACGAGTGGCCTCAGGCACCCCAAGATATCGATCACTCACATGGCTTTGCCGTTCTCCGCAACGCCGAGCCCCCAGTGCTCTTCCCCGGTCTCGCGGTTGACACTGCTCATGAGGCAGGCTATGACACCCTGATGACATCGGAGCTGGCGTCCGACGTGCCCTTACCGTATACGGGCATCGGCACAACGATTGGGGACCTGTTTGCGCTGGGGCTGCCGTTCGAGAAGAAGCAAAAGGCGGCGATGGTTGTGATTAGCAACTGCGGAGCAGCAAGTTTTCGATTGCAAGCCATTGAAAAGATGCAAGAGCTGGGAATACGAGTGGACTCATACGGGGGGTGTGCACACAACAAGGACTTTCCAAGTGAGCAATCTCACAAAGCTTGACTTCTGTTGTCTCCCTTGTGCCCATTGAGCTTCTGTATGCGTTCAAATTTCAAATGGTAGTCTCCAGATTGAAATGGTAATCTAACGACGACTGGTCGTTGATCTCTCGGGCTTCTTTTCTCCAAGTAACCTAAACTTGTCGCGTCGTCAACCGTTGGCTCTCAGTTGAACAGGCTACTTCAGAATTTTTCCAATACGCCTCCATAACCATTTGCGTTTTTACTCTTTGAAGAATTCACTGATCTGTTTTTGAGAGTCCGTGCCATCCTCGTTGGGTTTCCAGAACAAACGAGTTTGTGCTCAACCACCTTCTCTAGACGTTTCAACGCTTTTCCTCGGCGTCTGGAGCCTCACCTTTCTCCCGTTCTGGTTTTGGAATTGCCCATTCCGATCATTTCCAGACAGTCTGCTGCTTCCCCGTTACAGGCCGTCGCTGGAGGAGCCGTTTTTGCGGGAGTTCCGCCGCCTCCGAACTCGTTCAATGCTTGCTCGCTCTTCGTTTGAAAAATGTATTCTCCTAGCCCCTTTTCGTCCTTCTAAGATTGTTATTCAGACCCAAACCCCACAGCTCGACTCCGCGTACTATCCCAGAGTGACACTCCCAGTTGCTTTCTTCCAGCCAACGACAACCACCCCCGAGACGAGGCGGGTAACAGGGCGCGCTACGTCCAAAAGATTGCCATCGCACGCACCTACCTCTTCTACCTGGCGTTCGAAAACAGTCAGTGGCCCGACTACGTCACCGAAAAGTTCTACCACACATTGCAAGCCGGTACCGTTCCAGTAGTCATCGGCGCCCCGAACATTGCGGATTTTGCCCCGAGCCCAGAATCGTTTCTCTACTTGGAATCCGTGGAAGATGTTCCGGCCGTTGTGGGCAGGATGAAGTTTCTGATGGAGAACCGGGCCGCGTACAAGGTGAGGCGCTGGTGATGGGACAATCTAATTCTATTTTGGCAACCGCCTCTCATAAATATGGGCTTTAACTCGGTATGTGTTCCTATGTTTACGAACCAGCGGAATGTTTTGGTTGGCCTGCTCTGTTACAAAGTGGGCACGTTGTTTGGTTAGCAAGTCGAGCTTACATAATCTGACCATGGCAATTGCAATAGCAACCTTCTGAGTAAAGTTTACTTCATGCTCCTCCGTTATCGACGGGCCTCTGCATTGACATGCGTTGCCTGCTTAAATCATCCCGGCCCTCCACTGTTTTGCGATTACTCCTAAAGCAAAGTGGTAGCCCGTTCCGGCCTTCCGAGACAATCTGCTGACGTCCCAGCAAACCCACCTCACGTAATGAGAGCGCCTTCTCGTTCTTCATTCCCCACAAAAGCAACCTAGCAATATCAGTTTTTTGACTCTTCATTTCACTTATCTTCAGATAAATATCTCTTTATGTCATATTTGCGATACAAGTCTTGTGAACCTGGTCCTCTGCAGGCGATGCTGGAGTGGAAGCACCGCGAAGCCTCCGACGGCTTCAAAGCGATCGCCGACATTCCGAGCATCCACCCGACGTGCCGCCTCTGCATCCACATCGCCACCAGGCTCCAAGCACAGGAGGACAATCAAACGCGCGCTAGCATTAATCAGTCGTCCGTTGTTGGTAACAAAGAGAAAGCCCCGTACTCGAGTAAGAATGGGCGGCTGAGCACAAGATTGCCCTTGCAATTGTGCACGTGTCGCCTATCGGACGTGTCGCTATCTTCCGGGCTGCGCTTGTTGCAAGGGTTGACGGGTGCGGACGAAGTGCACCGAATATATGTACGAGAACGAGGCAGGTTCAGGTATCGTCCTGTGTTTCTTGACGGCGGAGATTTTAGCGTAAGAGCTTTGCATGCGGCAGTGCTCAGAGCGTTTCTGGTAGACAGTTATGAGCCGACTTGGGTTGAGAAAAGGAAGGTGCTGGGTATTGTATGGACCACGTGGAAGGTGTATAAAGTATACCCGGTTGGGATAACCATAAGGGCAGCCCTAGGAAACGGGTCCTTTACGACGGATAGTGACTTCCGAGAGTACTTGAGACAGCATCCTTGTCCAAAGCTTGAGGCTATCATAGTTTGATAATGAACGCCCTTCCAATCTGTGTGTAGAAGTCCTTGACAGTCGACGTTGTGCCAATAGTGCTGGAGCGTGACTCCATAGAGTAACATATCTCATAGGCGCCATGCCGCACATGTGATGAGCTTCCCACTGTCTGCATGCATGTCCTAAAATATGACTCATCCGATGATCGTTTCAAGTTTGGGCGCTGTCCCATGCCATGATCGTCAGCCTGAGATAAGCACGGTGAACACAGAAGATGTGCCATAAGACGACCAACCATTGAACCACGTCTACGTCGTATGAGGAGGTCTTAGTAATCGGTACGGCCGGTTGATGCAGCATGTAGAACAGAAGGCTGCGACGGCATGACGTGCTACAAATAACCTGACGTACTGAGCTAGATTCATGTCATGCATGATATCGGCCTATATACCTGTGCATCACTGGGCTGCTTCAATGAGTCAAATGCGACGGTTCTACTTAGGATATGTACCAGGCCTGCATCATTCGCAATGAAACATTCAATTATCATTGAACTTGCAATATTAGGCCCCACCACCTCCAATCTGCGGTTCAACGGAGTCGGAACCTGGCGGCAGAAGCCGACCCGATCATGAGCCCGGGATGAGCCCGCAAGTACGGCACGTTGATAGCGAAGCTAAAGTACTAGATTCGATCCCGGCGCACACCGACCGTCGTCCACGCATACATGCAGGTTTTGCATTTGGCGACGCACAGATCGAAAGTTCTTATTGATGCAAGGCTGTTAGGTTGAGCTTTCCGCTCCTTGTTCGAAGGGCTCACGGGGACGCATGACGATAGTGATTGCAATTAATTCAAACATGTTGCATTGAAACGCTAAGTTTAGATTACGTTACTGGATATCAGTCGTCAGCCTGCCGGAAGGTCCTCGAGGATCATGTAGACTTTTAGTTATTGTGACAAATCGGTCTCATATGATATCAGCTAACAGTAGAGTTTTTCCTCTCGTTTTGTTAACAAGGTAAGTTTCAGAATTTTACAATTTCTACGTCGTATAATCTTCATGTGGTTTTGCATGCGCACAATGAAAAGGCTGTTGTTTATACTCAAAAAAGTGAGGCGGTAAGGACTATGTTGGAAGCGGCAGACTTCACCTCTTTCACCCACTGATATGTACTGGCCTTCTATGAGCGTGACAAAAGTCGCATCTATCTTTTATATCGAAAATGTTCGAGATTATAACAATCAACCACACAGGAAGTTTGCTCCTTTGACGGTTGTCCTCGTAACCCTACTCCTCCTTCTTGTATCCCCGCCCCTCCTTGAAGTTGAAGTCCTTGGGCGCTTTCAGACCCCCACCCAGCATTTCGGTGGTCTTCTTTACGGGCGAATTCTTGCCGCTGAACTGCGACCACAGCTGCAGCTGCAGAAGCTCCGGCTCGAACGCCTGGATGTAGAACATGAGGCTGTACCACGACGGGATCACCACGCGCTGCAGGCGGTAGCGCGCGGCCGCGACCGCGCGGCGCGCGAGCGCGGGGGTGGGGAAGACCGGGAAGAGGCCAAAGCCAGCCTCCTGCACGGGTTGACGGAGCAGAACGGTTTACGGGTTTGTCTCTTTGAAGGTGAACGGTAGAAGCTCACGAATTTTACACAGAAAGTTCCGACGGTGAGGAAAGTCTCGAACCGCGATGGCAAGAAGTCGTCTGTTGCATAACTGCCGGTAACAGTGAAAACGTGTCTCTCTCCTGGGCAGCTGATCGCAGAGGCTTGCGTATCGAACAGGCTGAAGAACCGTGATCGTTTTGAACGAACGTTGTCGAAGATCACTCGGCGCTCAAACTTTCTGCTCAGATCAGGTTCAGACCGTAAATACTGGACTTAACATCCAGGAAAAACCATCTCAATCTCGATAGATCGAACAAGCGCTCAACATTCAACGCGCCTTCACATTTTCGTGGAGTGGGTCCTACTGAAAGCTGGGGAGAACGATGATTAGCGGCTCACCCCGCGGCGGCGCACGGCGGTGTCCCCGGTGGCGAACTCGCCGCTGGGCTGCACGGCCTTGCCGTCCGTCATGTCGGACTTGACGACGCCCGGCAGGAAGAGCGTGATGGGCACGTCGCTGCCCAGCTCCAGGCGGAGCGTCTCGAAGAACGCGCTCACCGCGGCCTTGGACGCCTGGCAGAAAAGGGTGAGGTGATTAGGTATCATCTGACAGTGCAGATACCATCTAGCATCGCAGACTTCGACGGTGGTTCGAACGCGCAGTCCACGTAGCGCTTCGTAGCTCAAGAAGGTCTAAGAAAAGCTCCAGCACAACGATTTGAAAGAAGGGGCTGAAAGGAGAGGCAGCAAGAGGACAAGAAACGAACGTATGTCTGGAATTGAAAGTCGAACGCTGGGCTCCGGTTGATGGGCTCCGTTTCCGCGGTCAATTCACGATGCGACAAGAATAGTCCCCACAAACCACAATCAAATTTTTTAAAATACGAGAAGTTGTCGTCAACAACTGGGCTTCTTGTTCTGAAGACGAGTTTTAAGGCGAAGACTTTTGAAGGCAGTCCCAACCCGCAGGTACCAGAAAAAGCTGGCAAGATAAACGGCAGGCGAGGTAACTCCTGCGGAAGCACCTAAGAAGATCGGCATGCGGCTCTTGACAACATCGCTTATATAACAACGTGGATCCCAAGCTTTCCGTCAAATTAAATTTTATAAATGAATTACACACCACGTCTAAAGACTGTTATCAAATCCGTTAACCTGTCCTATGTTTTTGCCATTGTCAGCACAAGAAAGAAATGCGTACGAAGGGTCACGATGCTTTTCCCGTTCATGAGATGAAAGTAACTCTGAAAAGTTTGGCTGACGCTGTTGTAAGAGAAGCTGTCACTACTGATTATGGCAGGGCTGGGCGGCTATACTATCCGCACTGGGAATTAGGGTCGCAATGAATGGAGCAAGATGGCCGGGAACATATGCCTTCATTCGTAAAGAAGCCAAAAATCAAACAACAGTCCACGAACCAGACAGAAAGCTGACGCAATGCGCTGCTATGCAAAGCTGGAAACGCGGCATTGTACTCACGTTGTAGATGGTGTTCTTGAGCTGTGGCAAGTAGGACGCGACGGAGTCGTTGACGACGAGCTGACCCCCGCTGCGGCGCAGGTGCGGCAGCGCGAACTTGGTCGTGTTGACGTAACCCCAGAAGTTGACGTCCTGTGACGTCAGCAGCTCGAGGTGTCAGCAAAAGTCCGGCTGCTTGTCTCGCAGATTCCAGCAGCACTGGGTTTTTGACTGAAAATCGCGCAAGGCGAAAAGAGAGGCGGAACAAGTATACGAGCCTTGCCAACGGATCAAAACCGAGGTTACAAAAGTGGAAAGCCGAAGCGCCTCAAAAGCAGACCGGACGACTTAACCATCTGTTAGATTGTCAGAGTGTGTCTCAATCTTGCCCAGACTCGACTACGAGAAGAGAAGGAAAAGTCGTCAGACCCCAGTGCAGCTTATGGTCAATCGTAAGGCGACGAGCTCACCATGATCGAGCGGACCTTCTGTGTATCTTCCAGTTCCTCGAAAGGAAAGATCTGAATCAGTCCGGCGTTCAACACCAAGGTGTCAACTGCGGAACAAAGATGAAGATCATAAGCACTGACTTCCACGTCCTTAGAAGAGCGCAGCAGGGGTCAGGTGCCTTATCTAGCCAAAGCAGCTGCAGTACATCACAAACCATCGTCAACCTGGATTGAGCATGGGAAAGGCTTCGTGGTCCTGAGAAGCAAAGAAGACGTCACTGACAACAGATATGTGTGGCTGAGAATCCTTCTTCATCGGTCGATCTACGAGATGTAGGTACGAATGCTTCTCTCAAAATTCAATGTAAATCAAGGCGACACAATCAAACTGCTCACGCCTCTGGAAGTGCTGGACGGTCTCGTCCACCGCCTTCTTGCACCCTTCCTCGTCGCCCATGTCCGACTGAATGGTCAACACGTCCTTGCAACCGAAGCCCCTGTTGCAGACACGGAGCGGCATAGCAACATTCAAACTTCGTCGGAAGATTATGTGGAGATTATTCCAGCTTCCGCCGACAGGGAAAGACAAGTTCCAAATGATGTGACTACGGACTGCGGACAGAGTCGTATCCAAAGGACACGATTATGCAGAGTGCAACCCTTGGCCCTAGCCCTATGATCGAAGATTCAAAGGATCAATCAGAACTCGCAGAGAACCTATGCCAGTAAGATTTACCTCGTTCTCACTTTCCTTCTCCGTCAGCTTTGTAAGCACTGCTTCCAATCGAATTCAACAACCCATCCTTGCGAGAAGGTATCAAAATCTGTCCACTTGCCTGCACTTTTGAGCAACGGCCTCCAACTGCTCACCCCGTCGAGCGACCAGAGCGAGCAGTGCTCCCAGCCTAGAGTATTCGTAGGCGATATGCTGCACAGACAAAAAACTTGAGCCAACGAATCAGCCAAAAGATTCGTTCTCATGGGACTTGGGTGAAGTCTGGTTGACCTCCAAATGTTTCCCAACTTCGTTTTACAGTATGACATACCACTAACCTTCAAGAGGACCCCTGAAGTGAAGGTTGAGAGAAAAAGCCAAAGATTGAGTTGAATGACTCGAGTCGATTCAACGAGTTCAACATTCGAGCACCTCGGTGACCAGATTCAAGATGGGTTTGAGTTTTGAGTCAGTAGGCTGCTGACAAAGTCCAGGAGAATCTAAATTGCAAATTCCAAGTGCCACACTTGAAAACCGTTGAGCGTCATATCACAGTAGCTTTCTTCCAGCTCTCCTCTATCGTTAGCGATTGATGACGGAGTTGCAATGCCTGCCCCCTCTTCGTCTTGACCACTTCCTGCATGTCATGAACTGAAATTGCCCACTTCGATCTCAGATCCTGAGATGCAATTCCCCATTCAAAGACCTCAGTCCCCTTCCCAAACAGCAGACGTTATGGTGTTTTTGCTCTATACTCCAGCTTTTGCCTACCCAAGTATCCCCAATGCTTTTTTATCACCCCCCCTGATTCTTCCCCCCTGCTAGTCCTCCAAATTGCATGAAACCACCCTACCTCCCCAATCCCCGAGCTGGCCCCCGTGATGAGCACGACCTTGTCTTGCATGGACAGGGGGAAGGTGAAGAGCCGCCGCAGCACGCGCCAGAGCGCCAGCACCGGGTAGGTCGTCACCAGAGTAACTAGCATGATGAGCGGCCAGATCAACTCCAGCACGCCGTTCAGTCCAACCAACATGGTGTCCTTCAGGGTCTCCATGGTCGAATGTGTGTAAAGGCTCTTGATGTAGCGACGTAAATGAATCCTGGCAAACGAAGACCGAGTGGCCTCAAATTAACCGGGAAACGCTTCTTCTGAACGCTGATAGATTTCAACTTGAAGATGTCATCCGCTGCTCACTCCTGGTGTATCCTTAGCTGGTTGACATATCGAAGTCGTCTCGGCTTCGCAATCTGGGCTTCCGATTGCGCGAGCTCAGCTGAAGGGTTGATGACTGAGCTGCTTCGCTCCCCGATGCTTTGACAGATCAGCGTCCACCGTATCTGCTTCCTAAGTTTCTGATTTTTTGATAGGTAGCACAGAAGGTCGACAAAGGTGCCTGCAGCATCGAGCGCAAGGTCAGCAAACGTCCAAAGCAGAGTGCGTCGCTAGCTGGCAAGGTCATTGCAAAGAGCTCTCTGAGAACACCTGAATCCCCACCCTGAGTCTTCCCTGCCCTTCGAAAGTCGACATGCAGGCCGCCAGTCCGCCTTGCATGCTGAGCAATGCGTGCATGCATTTACTTCCATACGTGCATGCAGCACGAAAAGTAGCGCATCTCTGGTATGAAAGGCGAGGCCGGCGCCGCGCCGGCGCGGCAGTGCTGCGGCGCGGCGGGATCCCCCTATCAGGGTGCCAGCGTGGCAAAGTGCCGGTCATTGATTGGTTCTTTTTGGCGCGAGCTTCTTCCAAGGTGCTCCGAGTCAGCGTCAACCACTGGCACTAGTCCTAATCAGCAGTCACATTGACACTGATCAACAGGGGATATGTACCTGTGACAAATGTACCTAAGGCTAGAGTACCGTAGTTGAACACGGCAAAGGTTTTGAAGCTGGCAGCCTGGCACACTCTCACATTCTTCCACTGCCAGTTCATTTTCCAAAGAAAGTGGAAGAGCACAAAAGGATGGAGGCCGGGGGCAGCCAGAATTCAGAGACGGGCAATGGTGGCGCAGTCAAGCCCCTACAACCAAAAGTGCGCCGGAGCTCTGTCTCGTCACTAAGCGGGACGGAGATTGAGCAGCGAATGACAGAAAAGGGAGCTGTGGAACTGGACCTGTTGAGACCTGAAAGCAGTGCTTGGCTGAAGGGGATCTTCAAGCAGATTCGCTCCGGTGACCTTGAGACACGCTTCTGTGCGTTGTGGAGATTCAAGGATGTTTTCAACAACATGGCCGTGGCCAAGGGCTCCGGACAGATCACTAGGTTTGCAGCGTACATGCTAGAGCAGGGCATTCTAGAAGAGGTCATCAGGATCTTAGACGCAGCGCAGTCAGACGGGGATTGGTATCTCATACCCAGGCTTTGGACAGGCTACAGTGCAATCTCAAAGTTGGACTGTGCTTGAGAATTGTTCACGGCTTGATGCTGGATGTTCGGACAGTGCGCTTCGTCAGAAAAGCCATACCCAACCTCCTCTCCATTGTCGAGGGAGTCTACTTCGCAAAGCCGGTCACAGCCGGCGAGTTTGCTGCTAGAGGGCTTGAATCGGAAGTGCCTTCTGACCGGCATGAGTACGACAAGAAGCCAGCTTTGGGCATCCTGCTTCAGCTGTCCGTCTGGTCAAAGCAAGCCAGGTCTACGATCTGTAGTAGGACAGTCTTCCTCCGGCGGGTCTTGAGAGACTGCATGGCACGCAGCGAGTTTGCGCAGGAGATGATCGAGCGGGTAGTCGTGACCTCCAGAACGCTGCTCCAAGATGAAACCTGCAACCTTGTTGTTTTGTTCGACGAACTTCTGGATGTCAGCTTTAGGGCTCTCTTGAGATAGCGCAGAGGAGAGAGACGCTTGAGTCTGCCATGCACCTCCTCCAGGACCTGGGGGCTCAGCTAAAGTTGCACCCACAAGGGAGAGTCCTTGAGCCAACTGCACACGGCCAGGCCAACAAGGATTACTACACCACGCAGTTGGTAGCAGTAGCCAATTGTCCCGGCTTCATGCTGGATCTCAGACCCATGCTGTACCTGTATCTGAGCATCTTCCACGCACTGTTCCGCCCCTTCCTCTTGAGTGGTGGTCCTGGGCAGTGCACGCCGGCGCAAGACCAAGAGCTCCAGAAGTACTTAGCCGCAAACCCCACCGCAATGGCTAGGAGGCGCCAGATCTGCAACATTCTAGCACCAGCCAAGCCCCCTCTAAAAGTTCGACAGAACTCACAGCCTTCTAGCCCCCGCCCAGAACCTGCAAGCGCCAAGTCCGCAACCGCTTCCGCTTACGTCTACAAGCCGATCGAGAATCCCCTCGGGTTCGTTCCAGGAACGGCTAGCTACTGGTATGGGGATGACGCGAAGTCTCGGAGGAAGTGCTCGCACTCGAGCTGCTCCGAAATGGAGTCAGCATCGAGGCGTTTCAAGGTCTGTAGCGGCTGCAAGCTCGCAATCTACTGCTCCCAAGGTAAGGTTCTGTCACATGGATGGCTCGGCCGGAATTTCAGTGCTTATCTTACTTCTCTACTTCAGTCTGTGTTGGATATAATCTTGTCGCAGGATATTTGGTGGGATCAATAACATGCCCAGCTTGTATTTAGTCAATCTCTGGCAAACCGACTGCTCAATGACCGCCGGTGGACCAATCTCTCAAATGTAGCCCGCCATGTGCTTATATGTTGGTTCAAGAGGGCAAGCTGTGCGAATACTTCAATGAAGAAGCTTCAAGACAGATGACTTGATTACTATAATGCGTGCAGATTGTCAGAAGGCTGCCTGGAAGGGTCACAAGAGTCGGTGTCGAACAGTGAATAAGGTAAGCCAAAACTTCACATACTAAGGTAACTCTCGGACCTTTCAACATGACCTCTTGGAGGGTAAGCCTGCTATATCTTCTGATGTATTTTTGCAAGCTGCTGTTGATCCTTGAGTATGACATGTCTCGTCCGACATTGGCTGAATCTGCGGCAAAACTGAGCCCTTGAACGATGCAAGGTTTGCATCGCCGCCACTGGATAATGTCCAGATGTGACCCTTCGGAGGGTCCATTGTTGTGTCAAAATCACATGATAGGATCCGGAAAATTGTGCTTGAAGCAGCTCTCAATTCTGATTGACTTAACCACCTACCATTCAGGGTGGCGGCAGCAAGTGAGCTGGTAGAAGGTTGCTGTATGGTTGTTGAGTACCGCACTTTGCAGTCGCGATTGCCTATGCGATATGCGAACAGCCCCCTGATAGAAGCATCTCCGACAGGCCGCATTGATCATAAATAATCGTTGAGGTGGGCCGCCTTTGTGGTCTGTCCTACTAGGCTATACACGAATAGATTGGGCGTGCAGGATCAGAGCATCTCAAACGAGGGCTGTCTCCCAAGGCGTTGCGCTCTGCCTCACTTATGAAGTTCGCTTTAAAGGCACATGCAATTGTTGAATGTTATGCTCCGACTCATGGCAGAAGCGTGAGACGCGATCCCGTGCTATGCTGTGACGGACGGTACCAGGTTGGGTACACAATCGTTGAATGCAGTCGCGGCCGGCTTTGAGATGCAAGTTATCGAAGTCGAAAGCTGCAATGGCTGGCAGCGTTTTGGCATATATGTGAGTCGCACCATGGAGACTCATCTATGTCACACGTTGAAATTCAGCCGCTTCGAAACCGTTAAACTAGCTAGGCGCACTACAAACCAAGGTTGACTAGTGACGGTCATGGCTGCAAGCTTCACTGATCTCAGCTGGCGGCCAGGCGCATGTGTACATATGTCAATTGATTCATGCAAAGGCATCATATTTAAGCTCCAGATGGCCGTTTAAGAATGAGACGTAATCAAGGTCATCCCGGGCGTACCACACAGGTGCTGATTGCTATATACAATTCTCGGACATACAAGTTCTCTAATCCTGAGGGATCCTAGGGAACGGATGGCCGGAGGATCCAAATGATCGGTTTGTCATCTGTGGGCATTCTTACGTACCCGGGCTTGGCATCATGGGAGTCAACCACCGGCAAGGGATAACTGCTAGCTCGAGACTGGGCCTTTCTGATGGTCGAAAAAAGTTTCATTGAGAGCCACACTGCTGTATCTAGGCCTTCTCAGAAGACTTTTTAATCACTACCAACTTAATTAGCAAAACTAATCCATCAACATATGTGCACTGTACAAGCATATCCTCTCTGTTTCTACGGTGTTTCTACGGTGCCCACACAGTCCGCTTTGGGCAGTGGGTTGCAACCTCTTGCTACGTACTATAATCCTAGCATTGTCGTCTATATATTTTGAACAGTACAATCAATCCTCTCGCTCAAAGTATTTCGAGGTCTAATATTTCAAGCGACTCTTTGCTAGTACGCTGAGGAGTCACGCACTTGCTAGCACGCTAAGGAGGCAAGCACACGAGCTTGTGGTCCTTCCAGTGGATCTTCTGACACTGCAAAAGGGCTACGTGATTTAGAGTCGTCTTACATCTCCATACTTCGGAAATCTAAAAGCAGCATGTCAAAGGAAGGCCGAAATCACAAGCGCTGTCGGAACACGAGGTACACCCTCATTGAGAACTTCGAGAAGATCGGATTCGCTGGTGAACATCTTCCGGCAAGGGTATAGACTACAATTCTGGTTCTGAACCTCTGACCCGACGACTCAAATCTTGCTTTGGCTTTATTCCGAATCGAAAGATGTAGATTCGAGGCTTCTGAATTTTGCCCCTGATTGCAAGTGTTGAGAAAGGACCGATTGCTTCGAGAGTCTCTTCGTACCGTCAAGACTGCCGTCGGGGGAAACACCATGGTAAAGATTACACGCGCACCATGGCGCGTTTTTGATTAAGGTAACGGGAAAATGCGTTACTCACCTCCCGTCCACAATAGTGGGCAGAATTGCACCGCGAGCATTTCTGGAAAGCGGGCTCTCCCGGAGCACGTTGCTTCTGCTCTTTCGAGCAGTTAGCACAGGTACGGGTCTTCGCTCTCCGCCCCTGCCTCGAAGTAGAGGCCTCCCCAGCTCCGCCGTCTCCTGCGGCTTCGTCTTGCGCGGCTGTGCCTGGCAATGAGGAATCCAGACTTCATTCATCACGGTGACCAGACAAGGACCTTCTCAGATTGTTTCATATCAAAGGCGTCCACGGATTGCAATCCATTGCTATTGTCTGCGGTCGAAGAGCTCCGTATATAGGTTTGGCGGCTCTGACTTTCTGATATGCAGCCGTTCTCAAAGGTGACCCCCTGATTGCCCTTGTGATCGGGACACTTTTCACGTATCCAGAAAATATGCTCACCCGTCACCGACGGTTTTCGAGAGAGACAACACTCGTCCGTTACAGTGGAGCTCAGAAGATAACCACGGAGTTTTCCTTCCGATTTACAGAGCACCATCGACAATAAAAAATTAACTCTCCTTCAAGCGCACTGCCAATCAAAACTCGAAGCATTTGAGAAGCTTGTGTCCACCAGCCGCCTTGCAAATTGTCATAAGAGGCCACCAAATAAGCATCAGGGTGAAAGTGATCGGGCAAGCGCACCTTCAGTTCCCAACACCCATAGAGAATCCGACCAGTGCATAAGACATGCATGTGGATAGAAGTCCGAGAACGATGCAGCAACACAACTTTCGCAATCCAGGACGAGAAAGCAGAAGGTCGAGGAGTTACTTAAAATACTCACCAGCAGAAGTGCTGCTGGGTAGTATGTCCGCTGCGATTGCAGCAAAGCTCGCAAAGCTCTCTGCCACATTCGAAGCCATCCGCCTGTCGTTCCTTCGAACTTGGCAGTGTTCTGTAATTGCCGCTGATCGTGGCCTGTTCTTAAACGCGTTGGATTGTGCAAGGAATTGCCTGTTGAGGGCGGGCAGCAGGAACGGTTTTCTGCGCACGGTGGCAAGATAGGACAGAAAGAAGTATCAGATAGCTTCGAGGTTTGTGAAGGAGGAAGGAAAACTTCAATAGTTCTGACTATTGACTTGGCTTGCATGGTTGTTAGCTACAACACAAAACATCTCAAAAATGTTGAGCTTCTTCCGGAGCAGCGCTTGTTCGCAATTGAGGATCCATATTTCAGGCACGTTGAATATGTGGCGCAGCTAAACCGCATAAGAAATGTCCAGCAAATAAGGGATGAGCAGGCGTTTATGCAAAGCTTTATTTAATTAGGCAGGCACTGGTCCTGTACCCTACTCTCTTCCCGAGGTTTATCTGATAGAACGCATACTAATAGACAGGCTGGTACGCTTTTGGGGGACAGATCTATAGGAGACGGTGGGCCTCACTTGTGATTGTAGGGAACTCGGGAGACGTTGAGCGTCCGTTTGTGTAATAGCAGGACCTCATCAAACAATTCAGGGCACGCTCCGAATTGCTTGGCCTCCAACAACGTATCTTTGAGGAACCTGCAAACACAAGCGGAATCTGTTTCAGGCAGAGCATGGCCAGTGAGAAATCAACTTCCAACAGTCGTACAAAAGTTAAAAGCTGAGGTGCCATGTGCAAGAGTTCGCAAGAAGGTACGTTTGCTTCGAAAGTCACACCTGCTAGGAGCCTGCCCCTAAACCCCGTCAAGTTTGATTTGCGGGCTCCGCTTGAGGCTTATGCACCTTTGGGCCTGTTTAAAGGGGCCCGTTCAATGAAGTGACAAGATGTTGGGGCGCAGATCTGCGGTGCATCAGATGCACACCTCACGCATTTTAACAATATACTGCATTTTTTGCATCACTCGGACGCATGAAACCCCGCCAATTATAGCCTATGGTGCCCGCTTTTAAGAGGCCAAAGCAAGTTTGAGATAGAGCACATAACCAATATCCTGCCAAATGTCTGAGTAGAAGATCTGCTTACAGACCCGCAGCAAGAAAGAGGAAGGCCGAAGGTTGGAGCCACATTTAGACTAGGCATCCTTTGTACATGATGACTTATGCCCCTCCATCCAAACAGTCTTGTTTATTGGTTGCAGAACATGATTGACACTCAGTAATCGGTTGCAGCTGTTGCTTGGGGCTCACCTTTGAAATGTGGTGTTGGCTGCCACCCCAGGCCATGTGAAGCCAAAAGCCTCCCCCAGGCTTTTCAGGACTTCTAGATACTGCTCCATGTTATCCGCATCAGGAAAGTACTTCAAATAGTATGCTGTGAGCAAGAGCGCGGGGTTGACAGGCCCAAATTGCTCCACCTCCGCGCGCTCTTCCAAAGCCTCCCACACGCTTTCTAACCGAACGTCCTGCCATGCCTTCCGCGCTGTCGAGTAAAACTCATCTTTCACTTCTTCCGGCTGCAAGTAGAACTTCACCCCAGGCGGTTCTGCAGCCAGTCTGAGCGCACGGAAAATACGCCCAGCCAGCAGATAGTCCTCTTCCTCATATGTCATATTCTGCCACAGGTGCCCCGCTGCGAGGCACAGGCCCTGGAGCATCCCGCACTGCATTGCCTCCGTCTTCGCCAGCATATTCTGCTTGCACACATCATTGCACCAGTCTGCAATTACGATCACAAGTGCTTTGTTTTCAGGGAATCGCTGCAGTGCCTTTGCTGCAAACGGAAGCAGCTGGCGCAGCGGGAATTGGGGTAACTCCACCCAGGACCACCCGAACTTCGCCATAGACTCGTTGATCTCTGGTGACTGTACTTCTCCGTCGCTTACGAAGAAGTAGTCTTCCATGCATTTTGCCACTGCGATGAACGCCTCTGTCAGGGCAGCTGGGTTATCAGCGTTGCGCTCAATAATAGCTCGTTGCTCCTGGAGGACCCCTGACAATTGGACCGCAGTCGCTGCCGCCATCACCGATTACTAGTTTCTGCACCCTTTTGTTTGTTGCACCACCAAGGAACGAAGTCGATGGCGGACACCTCGAGGCTCAGCCTCAACTTCAAGGCTTCTCAATGTCTTGTGCGAAATGAGACCCAGCCTGGCAGTGGCAGGCCTCAGGCTGGCGAGGGCGCAGCGCCGCGGCCGCTACCCGCCGCTCCAAGCGAGCGCGGCCGCCAGGGAGGCCGCGGCGCGGGATCCCCCTGGGTGCCATGCCCAGCGTGGCGAACTGCCGGCCAATTATTTGTTCCTTTTGGCGCGAGCTTCTTTCAAGCTGCTCCGAGTCAGCACAGCACCGATGCTGGCACCAGTACGTGATCAGCAGTCACTCAATTTGTGATGGTTTGAACTCTGTAGAATACCCTACGGCAAAGGTCTTTGAAGTTGAAGCTAGCGCATGCTTGAAGCAATGTTTCATGAAGTTCAAAGGAAGTGGAAGCTTATAAAAGGATCTGAAGGATGGAGGCCGGAGGCAGCCAGAACGCAGAAACAGGCAATGGTGGCGCGGTTAAGCCCCTGCAACCCAAAGTGCGCCGGAGCTCTGTGTCGTCACTGAGCGGGAGGAAAATTGAGCAGCGCATGACAGAAAAGCGAGCTGTGGAACTAGACCTTTTGAGACCTGAAAGCAGCGCTCGGTTGAAGGGAATCTTCGAGCAGACTCGTTCCGGTGACCTTGAGACGCGCTTCTGTGCTTTGTGGAGATTCAAGGACGTCTATATCAACATGGTTGTGGCCAAGGGCTCCACATTAGCCACTAGTTTTGCAGCTTATTTGCTAGAGCAGGGCATTTTACAAGAGATTATCAGAATTCTAGACGCAGCGCAAGCAGATGGGGACTGGTATTCGATACCCAGGCTGGGGACTGGCTATACTGCAATCTCAAAGGTTGGAGTGTGCTTGAGAATCGTGCAATTGCTGATGCTGGATGCTCGGACGGTGCGGTTTGTTCGGAAAGCCATACCAGACCTTCTCTCCATTGCTGAGGGAGTCTACTTCGCTAAGCCAGTCACAGCCGGCGAACCCGCTGCAAGAGGGCTTGCCACAGTGCCTTCCTACCGCCAAGAGGAGGACAAGATGCCTGCTTTGGGCATCCTGCTCCAGCTGTCCGTTTGGTCGAAGCAAACCAGGCCTATAATCTGCAACAGAATAGCCTTCCTTCGGGGGGCCTTGAGAGACTGCATGTCAGGCAGCGATTTTGCGCGGGACATGATTGAACGGGTCATCATGACCTTCACGAGCCTGCTAGAGACCTGCGACCTCGCCTCCCTCTTAGACGAGCTCCTGGACGTCTGCTTTAGCGCTTTTGAGACAGCGCAGAGAAGGGAAGTGCTTGTGGCCGCTGTGCATCTCCTCCAGAGCGTGTTATCTCAACTGAAGTTGCAACCAAAAGAGAATCTCCTTGGGCTATCAGCGAAAGCCCAGTCCAAAAAGGATTGGTATACTATGCAGTTACTAGCAGCAGCCACGTGTCCTGGCTTCATGTTGGAATACAGACCAATGTTTTACGTGTACCTGAGCATCTTCCATGCACCTTTCCGGCCCTTCCTCATCAACGGCGCTCCTGGCCAGTGCACCCCAGCGCAAGATCAAGAGCTTCAAAGGTACTTAGCCGCAAACCCCGCTGCGGTGGCCAGAAGGCGTCAGATCTGCAACATACTAGCAGCTAAGCCCCCTGCCAACGTCCAAGAAAAGTCTCACCACTTTAGCCCCCACCTAGGTCCTGCAACCGCGCCCAAGCAGGCTGAAACTTCCTCTGCCTACGTCCACAAGCCAATCAAAGATCCCCTCGGTGCCATGCCGGCAATTCATACATACTGGTACGGCGATGATGTGAAGCCTCAGAGGAAGTGTTCGCACTCAAGCTGCTCCCTGATAGAGTCAGCATCAAGGCGTTTCAAGATCTGTAGCGGGTGCAGGCTTGCAGTCTACTGCTCCCAAGGTAAGGTTTCGCTATCTGGATGGCTTACTCAAAGGGGGTTTTCGTGTTAGGCTTAATCCAGACCTTACCAAGTTGCTATTGGACGAGCTTTTGTCCAATAGTGTGGGACTTTTGGGGAAGTCATCATAATGTCCAGCTTTTCAACAGGACAATCGCTGATGGAATCAGGTCTTGGTCGCAAATGCAGCCTGCGATTGGACTGATGCAATTACAGACTGGATGTGCATGGGGGTGAGCTTTGCAGAAGAGTGAAATTTCTTTGAGACAGCTTACTAACTTGATGCTATGCAGATTGTCAGAAGGCTGCCTGGAAGGAGGGTCACAAGAGTCGGTGTCGAACAGGAAGCAAGGTGAGCCCGCTGTCCACCTTTCAACATGGGGACTCTGTAGACATAAGCTTTATGCTTCAAGCCTGCCAGTGGTTTCTCAGCTGCAAAGTGCCCTAGATAGTTGAACATGGGATGTTAACCTCAGTCATGGACTTGATTCTTCATTTCAGCTTTGTACCTGTGCTAAGTTGAGTTGATAGGATCTGGAAACTTGTATTGCAAACGGCCCTCTCAAACTTTGTCGCATACAACCACGTACCGTTCAGGATGGCGGGAACCGTTGAGCGGTTGGGAGGTTACATGCGGAGATACGTGGCTACCTCACTTCAGAGTCGCATTTCCCTAGACAACTGACCGAAGGCCCCCTAAACGAGGAGCATCTTGGATCAGTCGTACACTGTTGTTCAGGTAGGGCTTTTGTCATCTCATTGATACCAATAATACTGAGTGGGCTTTGCAAGGATTGAGCTGGCGAGAGCAGTTCAGGTGCCAAATCCATGCTTGAACAGCCGTCCGATGGGATTGAATGGTTCGATGCATCCTCATGCACACACTGGCCCTTGCCTTAGAAATGTCTAACGATGGAGCAGGAACATCCATGCGCGCGGTGTTTACAAATGATCAGTGTTTGTTGAGAGCATTACGGCGCGGGTTGCGGGAAGCTAATATTGGTCGTAGCGTTGGTCACATGGGTGTATAAAAAGAATTAGTGACCATGAGTCCGGGGTACAGCTAGTGCATGGTGGAATTGGACGGTGAGTCAATTCCTCGCAATCTCATGCATGATGACAAATATGCCAGCAGGACGACGCGTACAGAAAAAGAATATCAACGATTCAGCGAACATGGCATCCATGTTGCGTACGTGGCCACTGGACCGGTATATACATATGGCATGCGCGCCGCCTGAAGGCATTAGACCCGCCTACCATACGTACCGCGACGTGTCTATGTAACGTCACGTACCCGTGCATGCAATCCTCTATACTAATGATGCCGGACAAACTCCAATTTCCAACTTGTTCACAGTATACGTTTCGGAGTTACTGAAAAGATTGCAGTCTATGTCATCAGCCTTCCTGCGGCTGTCAATGATTGTTGTATCAAAATATCTTTGTTACAAGATGCGCCAACTCTTTCACAGAAATATTGATTGTCTATGTGAACACCTTCTCAATAAAGTGCGCGGCGGAGCGTGCGCATGTGCACTAGGGCTGTGGCAGTTAGGATCAGAGTCTATTCTCCTGTTTCAGCTTCTGTTCGGCGGCCTTCTGAAGAGCCACCTTCTCTCGTCCATCTACTGCCTTGCTCGTCAGCCATTTGTGTGTTTCCTGCGGAGTCTCCCCTCGCATCCGGGCCATTTCTTTCAGAAGCAGCTCTATCTTTCGCTTCTTTTTCGCATCCGGCTGCTTTTGACTCTCTTCCCGGTCCGTTGCAGCTTCACGCTTTTCCTTTGGTTCGACGACCCGTTTAAGAATGGAAGCGGGGGGTACCGGAGATGCAGGAACGAGGGCGGCAGCCCCAACGCTTTGAGTCTGCCTAACTTCACTATTGGCCTCCTTCTGTGTATCGTACACTTCCTGGAGATTTGAGAGCCCGGGCCCATCCATTCGCAAGGTCGCAACATCGTCCGTGGTGTCTCTCGGCCCGTCACTCAATCGTAACGTAGGATCATCATCCCCCGGCTCGCTTAGCTCACCTCCTGGTTCGCTTGTCTCGTCCCCGGTCACTCTCAGAGTTGCCATGTCGTCCTGGTTGAGCCCCCCCGCAGCACCGTCTACCCCAGGGCCAACCGGACGCCCATACCGCGCTCGCTTTGGTGGGCGCTCGTTCGTCTCTGCCTCTTCGCTAGGTCCTGAGTCCTCCCCACCAGACTCCACTCTCAAGGTCGCCAAGTCGTCTTCATTCAGACCCCGGTTCGGAGCTTCCACCACACGGTTGCGCCTTCCAACCACCTCTTCCTCATTAGCATCTACAAACTGGTACGGCCGCCGTCTTGGCGGGCGACTGCTAGGCACACCGCTAGGGCCGGCAGTCGCCTCCTCAGCCTCGCCCTCAAGCCCTGCCTCCTCACCACCGATCTCTTCCTCGTCTTCCGTCCGTCTCCCCCGCGCCCGTCCCCGTTGGTCGTCCCCCCGTCTCCCAGCCTCCGCCAGCCGCCTCCGCGCGCCGGAGTCCCGCACCTCCACCTGCGGCGCTCCGTGGAGCCGTGCGGCGTCATTCCAAGCCCACGACGCCCCCGCTCGCTCCCCCGTGCGCGCGCCCGTTCCGACCACCATTTCATTCCTGTGCGCGTACACGACCCCTGCGTCGCGCAGCCCCGCCGGGACGTGCGCGGTGTTGGGAGCGGACCGGGGCAGCGGCATCTCGCTCCCGGGGCCCCGCCCGGTGTCGCCGGCGACCTCGGCTTGGAAGAGGCGCGCCAGTTCGTCGAGGCCGTGCTCGTCGCGCTCGCCGTCGGGCAGGGTTTGAGAAGGGTTTGGGGACGCGCGGCGGGCGACCGCCTGAGCGACCAGGTCCTCCGTGATCTGCGTGATGCGCTCCTCGCGCTCCAGGACGTCGCTGGTAAAGACCTTGTCGGCCAGGTCCTGCGGGACGAAAACCAAAGGTGCGAATGACTGGGCTGAAAGCATATTGGTAGATAACTTGAACAGACTGAAAGAAGACTTGAGCTGAGTTGGGAAAGGACCGAACGCAGACTTAGGACTGGAGCGTCAAGTTGCTCTTGGAAGAGTCGGAGATCCTTCAAGTGATGGCTGAACAATCTGCGGAACGAGCCAACCGCTCGCTGCGTGGAGTCCATCAAAATCTCTTTACGTAAGAACTCTGACGACCACGAGTCAAGGCGCGGTAAATAGTGTCCGAAGGCAGAGCCCACGATGATGGAAGGACAGTCGGCAAAGAGCACTCAACAGGAAAATGGCAAAATATTGAGCTGGAACGAAGACCAACCACGCCCGTCGGTCCACGCACCTGGAACAGGTTGCTGATCCCAAACAGCTCGCCTTGCATGTCCTTCCGGTCTTGCACGCCCTCGAACAAGCGCTTCTCGCCGGGCCCGTGCATGGCGGTGTGGAACTGCTGCTGCTTGTAGATCTGCCGGTTGTACACGATCTCCTCGATCGACCCCGCCGTCATCAGCCGGTACACCGTCACGTGACGGGTCTGGCCGTAACGGAAAGAACGGTCTTGCGCCTGCATGGGAAAGAAAATGAAGATGTCCGGATTCTGGTCGGTTACTGATCTGCGATGACACCCTCACATGCCGCGTCTGACCGGATCGAAAGGAGCGGTCTTGCGCCTGCGCAGGAGTGGGTTGATTAGATCTTTTGTCCTTCCCGCCTATGAAAACGAGACCTCCAATATACCGTGACGTCCCACGGAAACGAACGGTCTTGCGCTTGCGCAGAAATTGGCGTATATGCAACATTGAGATCCTGCCTGGCGGAATTTGAAAGTGAATCTGGCTACTCAAGATGATTACATCCCTGAAGCGACTACAATGACAATTACAGCTGACTTACAATTGGACAACCACAGCTGCCAAGAATCAAGGGCTGTGCATCACTTATCATCCAAGAAGAGGAGCGACAACTCAGCAGATTGCGGATGAGCGCAAACGAAACCAAGGCAATCGTCGAAGCAAACATTGACAAAAAAGCCCCTCAGACAAGACCACAATGACGACTAATGATATCCAGTCTGTCTCACCTGTAGGTCGAAGCTCGGGTTCCAGCTCGGGTCAAAGATAACCACGCGGTTCGCGCTGACCAAGTTGAGGCCTTGGCCCCCGGCCCGCGTCGAGATCAGGAAGACGAAGCGACTTTGCGACTGGTTGAAGTCGTCGCAGAGCCCTTGGCGGATGGACTGCGGAGTCTGGCCGTCGAGTCGGAGGTGTGAATAGCCCCGGCGGATGACCAGGCGCTCTAGGATGTTAAGCATGCGTACGCTGTGGCTGAACAGCAGCACCTGGGGGGGACCATGGGGGCGAAGATTTAGACACCACGAGGGCAGAGAGACAGTCGCCGGCGATTGCTTCAAGAATGTTTCCGAACGGTCGGGAAGATGATGGTGTTATTTACAATCCGACCGTTTTACCGGTACAGATAGGGGTTGTGTCGATGGTTCTCATCCTATGCTCCTACAGATCCCCAAAAGAGCATAGGACTACCACAAGCAACTCGAGGCGTATACGCCGAGCTCTACTTCTGAATGCAACTTACATTATATCCTTATAAGTTCGGGTTCGTTAAGGGCAACGCTACTGAGTGCTTTCATTCGGCTTGGCAGTATGCTTAAGCCTCACTCAAGTGAAACTCCTACCAAACTGGTCTTCAAAAACATTTCTCTCCTGGACTTCTCCAGAGGAAGCTGCTGTACGAGCCAACAATCGAAAGGCAGAGTTGTCGAGAACGTGAACCCAATCAAAGAGCTCCTTTGCGTTTTTGCATGTTTCGAAAAACAGTTATGCGCAAGCAACAAGCTCGTAATGACCCCAGATCTCTCATCAGCGAATGTCAAAGTGACGTCAAACTCGCTACTTGCAATACATCTCCCAGGACTCATTTGTATACAAAACGCATTTAGCAACGACACCGGACGGCAAAAGTGTCCGACCTGACGTCAGCTTCCGTACCTTGTCCCCCTGCGCCTTCCAGTCCTCCAGGAGGCTCTCCAGTGCGCGCATCTTGCCGCAGTGCTGCGTGTCGCTGAGCCCCATGAAGCTGGATTCCGCTTCCGTTCCGCCGATCAGGTGCGCGTCCTCCCCGAGCGCCATCGCCGCGAACGCGCGGTCCTTCTCTTGCTTCTCGGGGGGGTCGCGCGGGTCTGGTTTCATCAGCTCCAGGTGGTTGCTGATCTTGAGCAGGATTTGGAGGCACGGCAGGGTCATGCAATAGGGGCACCTGCGAAGACGCGGCGACTGTGTTAAAAAGGAGCTGATTGCCGTCAGCACTACACCTCGAGGGCAAAGACGGTTAGCCAGTGCTCCGGTCGATTGGCATGCTGTTGTCACAAATCTCGGAGAGTTGTTTTCCACAAAGATTTTCTTAATATTCGAACGAGATTGGCGGGTACTGCCTGTTCTCGATGCACTGCGGTCATAATCAGCTTCACGTCCCTCGTCTACGCGTGTTCTTTCGCCGCAACTCCAAATGCGACACTGTCGAAGCAGAAGTCAAGAGAAACCCTTGTCAAGAAAGACGAAGTGAGAATTTGATGACCCCCGTTATACCACTCCTGAATACTTTAGGCCAACAGAAGCCTCAGTCCTTACTTGTGCGGGTTCGGGTTCCCGATTCCGTGCAGGTAGTGGTACAAAATCCCGTCCTCTGCCGCCGTGTGGCAGCAGTTCCCGCGCACCTCGCCGCTCCCACAGTCGCACGGCTCGTTCAACCGGACCAACAGCTGAAAATCGGGACTCTCCAGAACACGCCGGTACACCGACCGCTGCAGCGGGCTCATGCGGCAAAAGATGACGTTGTCCGCCTTCCCGTGCATCGCGTGCGCGATCGTCTCGTCCTTGGTGCGCCGCAGAAAGTGCGGCCGCAGCGCGCGGAGCAGCTCCGCCTGCAGGCGAATTGCGGATCTGTAGGTTGGTTGGGGGACAGCATGCATCGGAAACGTCTACGTTAAAGTGAGAAAATTATGGACGCCTTGATCCGTTGTCTAGAGTGTTTGCCCTGCTTGGTTTGATACGGATCAAGAGTACTCATGCTCGAATGCGGGTGGGTAATTGACGCGGACGGAGCGCGCAACGAAGGAAGCGGCGCCGAGCGAACGGATCAAGATCGAGCACGCTCTCGCCGCCAGAACAAGACGCTCTGCTCATGGCTATACCTTGCAATCTGGAACTGTGATGTATAATCGGACGGCGACGATATGATGCAGGCCATGGTGAAACTCGGCAGATTGCTTACCTGGCGCTCGCGCGCGAGTTGGATCAACGGCAGCGGCGCGTGGATGCGCTGGCCCAGCTTGAGCGGGTGCTCGTAGTACTCCTGAAAGCTCTTCTTGGAGCCGAGGCTGTTCTCGGCGGCCCAGTGGAAGATGCACCACAGCTCCTTGTACTTGTTCTGCAGCACCGTGCCTGGAAACAGAAGTAGACTTTTAGTGACCAAGGTGTTCTGTCAGTTCACTCAATTCGCCCGAACACATATCTAGCTTTGTCGTCTCCTAGTTCCGAAGGTGTCGGTTCTCCTGATGCGTTTCGGAAAGCAAAACTTTTGAGTTCAAACGGCTTTTCTCGTACTCCAGAAAGCTCTGGATCGCACGGCAAAGAAAGTCATAGAGTTCTCTTGAAGACCACCAACTTGAACGGGATCAACATACTTGGTGTAACAAAACAGAAGCTTTCTAAGCAACAATCTTCTTCGCTGCTGCTCCAATATGCAACTCCAGAACAGGTGGCAATCATCTGGCATTCCTGGTTGAAGAACAGACATGAATCCTGCAAAATCAACTATTCGGCCGTGACTATGATGAGACGCAACCAGCTTGCGGACTACGTTATTCGGAGCTAGAGAAGATTGTCAGCGAACAGTCGCTCTATGCTCACCTGTCAACCCGAAGCGCCTCCTCGTGCGGATCCTGCTCATTGCCTTGTAGAACTGCGTGCTGTCATTCTTGAGCACATGGGCTTCGTCCACAAACACGCAGTCCCAGTCAACCTCACGCAAGTCGTCAATGTTCTGTGCCAGCATGGCAATGCTGGCTAAACAGATCTCCAGCTCGCCCCGCTGCGCTCTGCTGAGTACGCTTTCTTTAGATTTGCCGCCGAAGGTCCCAACCCGGAAAGGCCCCCAGTCGTCGAGTTCCCGTTCCCTGTCGGAATCCGAAAAGGGAGCTTAGAAACTTGAAGCACAGAACAGCGACAAAAAAACACCTACCCAGTGCCAAGCCATGAGACGAGACCAACATGCAGATATGGCATCTCTGTGGTCAAACATTCGTATCCCCATCGCCAGTTACGATTGCTTGAGCTTTTAGCAACAAGCATGACAGGTCATCTGCAGACCAATCTTGAACGAATTATGCGTGAAGTGAGGCTAAACAACGTAAGACACTTCAATTTTAAGGGTCAACTGCATCCAGCTAATCAACACAACCAGAGAGACGAGAGTTTATCAGGACGCACCAGTTGGAAAGCACCGAAGTAGGTGTCACGATGAGCACCGGTCTTTCCACTTTTGTTGGAGGTTTCAGGTAGTCTGGGCGCCCCTCCTTCTTCAGGATTGCCGCCAGGAATGCGATGGTCATGATGGTTTTGCCAAGGCCCATGTCGTCCCCTGTCAACAATATATGCTGCGAAGTCAAGATCATGGTCATGGCTAGCGCACATAGAGTGAATATGTTAATGATAGAGTCCATGATCCTACGCAACCAACATTTTCGTGTCTGGTACCAACCCCAGCTGAAGTTTGCAGGAGGAGTTGTCTTTGGAAATCGTATGCCACAAGGAGATGGAAACAAGTAGGATATGGATACCACCTCTTTCCAGTCCTTTGAAACAATCAACGTCCCCCTGCATCCAGCGGTTTGGTGATTAGTCAACGACGTACCAAACATCGATGAGGCAGCGGGCTCACCTTCGATGCCTCCACGATTTTCTCGGTAGAGCATGTAGAGAAACCGCACCCCTTCCCTCTGTAACCAAGGAACACAGGAAAGCTAAAGAACTTGTAGCGGTCTGCTTTTACAAGACACCTGTCACATCATGTTGGTAGTGTGACAGTTGTGGCACTGAATTGACAACAGCAATCAGAGAATCTCAAAACTGGCCTGAAGGGTGAAAGGCCGCAACAAGACTGTAAGGCTGAGAGGAGGCAAGAGACGGGGGTGATCAATGAAAATGAAGAAAGTAGTTGATCTCCTTAGACAAAAACCAAGTTATGGAAGTTAAGATCGACGTTCCGTGCATACCCTGCTTTCTACAACAAAGCTACCTGCGCTTGGTAGACGGAAGTAGCTGTTCAAGAAGGACAGCTGGGGCAATCTGCGCTTCAAAAGGCTTCCTTACTTGATGTGGCAGTAACCTTGAGTTGATGTATGCAGGAACCTTCGCTTCTGGGGCAGCACCGGCTGGTAGAGTTTCTCCTGGTGGGGGCCAAAGGACGAGGTCCTCAGCAGTTTCTGCGCCTTCTACAGGTGCTTCTCCCCTCAACGTTGGAATAGTCTCAGAAGCTCCATGATCTGGCTCAGGTTTGGGACTTTTCTTACGGACAGAACCACTCAGAGGTCTAGTGCCTCCAGACGCCTTGATTTGACCACCGTTCACCACTACGTTTCTGCTCCGGCTCTTGTCATTGTGCACAGACTGTGTGATTGAAGAGCCTCTGCTTGCAAAACCCTTTGAAAGTTCTTCGTCCTGCTCTTGACTTCCATGTGAGACACTCACAGCATTGACTCCTTGACTCAAGTTCAGTCTTGCCCGGTAGGACGTCTTGTACGGAGCCATGCTTGCGGCTTCCTTGCACCCGCCAACTTCATACACACTGTCCACTCTGCATGCTTTATGCTGCAGAGGCGCTTGTGAACTGGCCGATAAAAACGCGGGCGGACAAAGTGTTTACATCAAAATGAGTCAGTCAGGGTCACTGTCAGCATTGATGGAATCAACACACCTCTTTCAAAAGTCCTAGGTGCCACAGAAGGCCGGGGGCAAAAGACGCGTATGGAAGTACTGTAAGCCCAAAGTGGACCGCTGAACAGGTTTACACCATTGCGCCACCACGCCATCATGCCATTACAAAAGGCTCCCAGCTGCCGCTACCACCATGCAGGCGCTCCCGTGCAAGCAGCAAAAAATGCCGACTTTTAAAGGTGTACCTGACCAAGGACGTATGTATGTAGGTACCTACGGTAGTAGTACTACCTACCTAGCTGAAGCAGAGACAAGCCCCTTTCAATTGGGCCTTTGGACCAATCTGGACGCTCGCGATCGAGTTTGAACATTTTGAACTTTTGAACTTTAAATCCTGTGGCTAATGTTCCTCTGGGGGAAGATTCGCATGCTTCGAGCCGTCCGATGTGTCTACAGGAGCTGCGCTTATGGGAACCGCGATGACTGCTTATGACATTTCCGGAACTCGCCTCATGGGGCATCTTCAGACTGCGCCCGTTGCAAGTTTTAGGGTTGCCTGCACTGGCAGCCTCCTCGTTCTGTTGGGGAAGCGCTGCTGAAGGGAGGCACGTTCTGAGGGGCGATTACTTGAACGTGGCTGGACCTTGCAGCGGCGGTGTCTTTGCAACGCAGAGTTCCGTGTAGTGGACTTTATACGACACAATGAGCTGGCTCTTCAGTTGGTGGCCGTGGTGGCCCCACAAGGGGAAGAAGCCGGCCGAGAAAATCCACCATCCCGCCCTCTTGATTCCAGGGATTGGCGGTTCTATCCTGAACGCTGTCTCGCAGAATGGAGCCACTGAAAGGGTCTGGGTGCGGCTCTTCAAAGCTGATGGCGAGTTCCGGAGGAAGATCTGGTCCAAGTACAATCCTAGTACAGGTGAGTCGCCTTGCGTTTGGCATTCAGTGGAATGACGGCTGCGTTGCTCTCTGCAAGCATAGGCCCGGACAACATTCAGAAGCCTGCCTTTATAGAACTTTGTCTGCAAGAATATTGTGGTGGCCCCTCTTGAGATGCAACAAGAGCACCATTCTTGAGGCTGTTCGTCGTTCAAGAATCCTCTGGATACTCAACACGACATGGCTGGGATACCGAGCAGAGCTTGCTTGCGTCTCTGCCCTGGTTTGTTCAAAGTTTGTGGTGCAGACCCAGGAAATGCAAAAAGGCCCTCGATTGCGCGGCTCGATCAGGTGTCATCGCTGTTTGGCCTTTCTGCAGACTGCTTGAAGCTTGCGTGCATGCAGAAGAACCCGCCAATATCTGGCTGTCTCGAGTTTCTTGGAGCAGTAGGCGGGCAGCTTAAGAATCTTGCTCTGGCAGATTGTCCAAGTGCTGACGAGGAAGACCCCTGGTTCTTGTTCTTATGGCCACTCTTTCTAAGACAGGACTGTAATTAACCGAGCTGGGCCCAAGCTAGATGAGGTGATTTACAATCGTGAAGCAATGCTGTTATTTTGTTGCAGGCCGCACCGAGTCCTTGAGCAATGACTCGGTTGTCGTGGTGCCAACGGACCGATTTGGACTTTACAGCTGCGACTCCCTTGACCCTGACCTGGTAAGCAGGCCCTTACAAGTATGCTTCTTTTATCCACTCACATGTCGTCTGCTTAGTGTCCTTCCTCACCTCAAGAGGTCCTCACCTCTGGTGTCTTGACCAGAATATCGTGCATCTGCAGACTCTCTACCTTGGTAAGCTCGTACATCTGGTTCTGAACGGATTCACGTTCTTGTTAGGTGGGCGGCACAAGTTGGAAGGTATCTGGAGTGTCTCTCAGCCTCTCAAACCATGTCGCTTGGTGTCGCATCACCGGCGTCGGCGTGCTTCCCAAAGTGCGTGCGGACAGCAGGGTTCCTTGTTCACGTCCTGCAACTGAATGCGGGAGCTGATCACCCAACATTACTCTGCTGCAGCCAATGCGGCTCGACGTGGTTTACTACTATCACGACATGATCGAGGAGATGAAGAGCTGGGGCTATGTGGAGGGGGAGACCCTGTTTGGTTTTGGCTTTGACTTCCGGCAGAGCAACAGGTGACTCCCCTGCAAGTGCTTGGCTTTGACGCCCATTCTTGCGAGAAGGCTGATATGATTTTGTACGCATATGGGCCCTGTTGGAAGGACTGTTGTGAGGTTTTTGATGATTAATGCCTTTGTCAATTGCCTTGAGACACTGGAATGCCCCTTGTGATTATGTGGTCGTGTGAAAGCGAAATTCCATTCTTGTAGCGAGTCGTTTGTATTCTGGCACCACCTTAAGTTATTACTGAAACTTGCCAACCCACTTATACAGGTTGGACGACACGCTGGACCTGCTGAAGATCAAGCTGGAGCACATCTACGAGCAGTCCGGCGGTAAGAAGGTGGATGTGATTACGCATAGCATGGGGGGCCTCATGTTCAAGTCCTTCCTCGTCTACAGAAGAAAGGTGAGAACAAGCAACGCTCCTAGACTGACGTCTAAGATGCAGTCTTGGCGATATGAGTTTGCGCTTCCCGCCCCTTGAAATGATTTTGCCTCCCACGCTTTTGCAGCCCTGTTCTGCGCTGAGACAGACCGTCCGGTTAAAATCAGACGTATAAGAGATGCAGAGGTTCCTCCTGTCACTGTTATATGCTGAAACAAAGGGCCAACATAAGTTGCCCGTGAGCAGTGCGCGTGGTCCCACATTGCAGGGTTCTCACTGGACTTCTTGTTGATGCAGGACTTTGAGAGGCTTGTGAACAAGTGGGTTGCCATCGCTTGTCCTTTCCAAGGTGGGCCTCGCTTGACAACCCTTGACTTAGCAAAGCACCATTGATGTCTTGCCCAAGTACTACGTTTCGTGAGCAGTTTTGTTCAGAAGAAAGCTGCTCAGACTTCTGCTGATGGGTGCCACCTTGTGGGTGCCACCTGGAAGTAAATGTTAATTGCTGTTGGCCTGCTAGTAAGTAGAGTCCTTGTTCATATTGCAGCCGCGCACCTGTTTGGAAGGCGTCTCGACTTCTTTGTGCATCAGCCGGTTCGCAAACGAGCATCCTGCTCTAGATGGATCGCACAATATCAGTTTGCAAAGTTGTCCTTGAGGGTCGAAGTCTGGCAGGACAGATTCTTGGTACTTGATTCTGAAAAAAACCCAACAATTCGAGTTTGAAGGAGACAGCTGGAGGAAGTTCCGACGTCCCAAGTCTGGACGGCAGCGCTGCAACGCTTGGTCTTTGCTGAGATCTCTTTCATCGTTGCGGTCCGCTGGGTCTGAAATGAAACATGCAGAATGCTCGAAGTCCTTGGTCGTACCTGCTGCAGGAGCACCGGGCTTCATTGTAGACACGCTGCTGACTGGGGTGGAGTTCATTAAGGGCTGGAAGAAGGAGCTGTTCATTGCAAAATGGACGATGCACCAACTGGTGAGTCACGCTCTGTTGCTTCTTATTTGTAAAAGCGACTGCTGAGTTGAGTAAATGGTGGATCTTAAGCTTCCTTCTCGTAGTGAGGTTTGCGATCTCTGAGCTGCGCGCTTGAGGCTTAACACAAGGGTGTGAGTGCTACATCATATATATTTCAGGGCAACCACGTTGCTCGCAACGCAACTTCATCGCTTCTGGATTGCGGTAAAGCGAGAGGAGAGGGGTAATCCGCCATCCCCTCAGCCAGATGATCATGCCCTATGCATTTGAGGTCCGTTTCCACGTCTCTTCCTTGACCCTTTTTGTGCGAGGCTGATGTGTGGTCCATTCGTCTCTCACTCGCAGGTGGTGGAGTGCCCGTCCATCTACGAGATGCAGGCCAACGCGCGCTTCTCGTGGGCGGAGCAGCCGGAGCTGCGCATCTGGATCCAGGACAAGCCGGACCAGAAAGCGTACCTGGACATCTCCAAGCCGGACACCGTCAACAAGACGCTCGCAGACGCGCTCCGCGATAATACGGTATGCTGAACATTACTCTGAGGCCGTTGGAGTGGAGTTTCTTTTTCGGAAGATGTTGCCCTGGCTTTGACACAAAAAATGTGGCCGCCTGTGCGGTCAGATATCTGACGAGCGAGTCCTGAGAAAGTTTTCAGGGCCTTGAAAGCAGAGGGCAGGTCCCTTTTTCGAAGCCGCCAGTGTTCGGATAGTCGGAAAGCTTCGTCTTTGTTGCTGAGGAAGACTAGGCTCCTCGAACCTAGCCGCACGAAGGCCCCACGCCCAGCATTGGACAGATTTGTTACCCGCTCAGATGCCAAGCTGGCGCAGATTGTGTGCTTCGATTTGTGTACCGAAAAGACGATTGACGGGTCACCGTTAATGCGGGCCGTATGAAAGATTACAACGGAAAAGTCCCCGGAATTGTTCGAGGTTAATTTATGCTTGAACGTTTGGGGTCCTTAATCAACGAGCCCGACTTCTAACGTGGATGGACTTCGACGGCGAGAAGAATCCGCTGCCATTCGAGCTGTTGGCGCAGAAGCATTTGACGGAACGTGATTCTCTTTCAACCCAAAGGGCTCTCTTTCACCCCCTCCTTTTCGGTGCAGATGTCTTCGACGGCAAGAAGATGCCGCTGCTTCTTGTCAAGGTCCTGGTGGACACGTGCAAAACAGTTGACTGAATGCATATTCTTAGACTCATATCTTTTTTCCGGTCTCGGTGCAGATGGATCTCGACGGTGAGAAGATGCCGCTTCCGTTCAACGAACTGCTGGCAGAACACGCGCAGGCGACTAAGGTGGCCTGGGACGCGGCGGAGCTGCCCCCGGGGTTCCTCTTTTACAACGTCTTTGGGACGTCGTACGATACGCCCCTACACTGCACGTGAGCCACTCGCTGAAGTTGCGGGATCTCCTCATGCCTGAGAGCCACAAATTGTCGCCCGAAACTGCTCCTTTGGGCCAGGAGAAAGTGGGTTCTCGTTGACTTGAAAGTACGGGTGTCTGAGGTTATTTCTCACCCCAGCGCGGCTCTGCAAATCGTAAGCCTGACTCTTCTGAGAGACTTGGTGAAACTTCTTCTTTCTGTCGCCTCTCATTTACTGCTCCAATGCTTTCCGAGACAATACTTGGACATACTCAGACAGTCACAAGGATGGAGGCCGTCTCTCCGTTCGGACGGAGGTCTTCTTGTTGTCTTTTACTGAAAGTCGAATCTATCTATCCTGGTAGCATAAGTGGGAGTCTTATACGGGTTAGGGGTCTTTGCACAGGTATGGCACCCAATCTGCGCCTGTAAAAAGCCGGACCGAGCTCCTGCATACTGAAGCTCAATATAGCAACGTGGAAGGAGACGGCACGGTACCGGCAGAGTCTGCCAAGGTAAGAGTCGCCTCGCTTTGAGACTCCTTATCACAACCCACTGAAGTGACCCTTTTTCAACAATCCGCACATGGGGCACGGGAAAGCTAGCTTAGTTGAACGGAGGACAGGTTTTCGGAGTCAGATCGCAATTACTGTGGTCCAGATGTTTTGACGGGTGACGGAAAGAGAGCCTAGTTTGTTGCTTAACGTTGGGTTGGTATCAGGGAGCGCAGGGGGGTGCAGTGATGATTTTCCTGTTACAGTTGCCAGATGTTGCTTTAAAGTGGGCAGAGCGCGTTTCGAATCCCAATAGCAACCGTGACCCGATGCCTTCGTAAAGCGAAATTCGGGTTTCGTCCAGAGTTGGTACTTGAGAAACAGGGAAGAGATGTGCAAATTGAACAGATTAGGAAACGCCTTGGTGCTCACCCACCTAGTGAATAAATGAGCTGCTCTATCTTCAGGCGGACGGCCTACGTGCGTACTGCCGCATCGGCATCCCCGGGGAGCACCGCGGCATTCTCAACGACCCGCACATCTACCGCATGCTGCACCACTTCCTGCGCGTCGGCGAATTTGACCCCGATTACGACCCCGTCACCGACGCGGTTCTCGTTCCCCCAGCGGAGGAGATTGAGAAGGAGATTGCGCGCGCCAGATCGGCGGCGGCGCAGAAGAAAAGGCTAGCGGAGTTGGAAAGGGAGGTTGTTGCGTCGATCGAGAGGGGCGACTTCGAGGAGGAGAACGGGGGCGACTTGGTGGTGCATTTCCGGCGGAAGTTGGACGAGGCGCGGGAAAGAACGGGAACGGCGGGAGAGAACGGGGCTACGGTGAAAGGGGGCGCTTCGGAAACGGTGGGGACTGTAGATGCTGAGAAGACGGGTGGGGAGAGCGGGTCCACTTCTAGCGGGGGGCCAACGCCGCCTGGGAGCTCGGCCGTGCGGCACCCCCCCACGGTGGAAGAGCGGCTTGCAGCAAAGGCCTTGCGAGCGAAAGAGGAGGCGGAGGCCAAGACACGGAAGGCGCAGAAGAAGACGACCAAGGCGAATGCGTACGTGGAAGTGGACGATTTGTTCGTGTCCGCGCACGCAGAGAGCAGTCCGTGCGGGTCGCCGGACGTCCGGTGCGGGTGCTGCTGCGGACCGTCCGCCAAGTCGACGGTCAAAACGACGGTCAGCGTTGCCGGGGGCGAGGGGGATCTCCGGATGGAAAAGGCGGTCGAGGTGGCCGCGGCGGCGGCGGCGGATGGTGCGGTGGTCAAAGCTGCGGCCGAGGAAGGGGAAGCGGAGAGATGACGAAGTGTGGCGGTGGAGGAAGTAAAAGCGGAGAGTTGACGACGTGTGCCAGTGCTTTAAAACTGGTTGAAAGCAATATGGGTGAACCAATCTGGGTGCTGAATCCCCCCTTAGCATATCCAATGTGGCCCGCTTGGGGGAGGTGGAAGTCTGGGGGCACGCCTACAAGCCGCCCTGGTGGAAGTCTCGTAAAGCAGTATCTAAGCAAACATTTAATTGTCATGACGTCTGCGCGGTCTGTCTGCAAAGCGGACCTGTACGTCACGATCATTGGTGCTCTGTATTAGGTTTGGATCTTGCATGTCAAAGGACACCTGTATATAGATTTGTAAGGTAACAGAGGTGTCAACCAAAACTTAGAAACTCTCAATTGTTTTAGATTTGTACATAGCCACAAGAAAAGTGTACAGAGGAAGTCTCAGTCCGTGAATTCTTCAAGGCTTTTGGCAATGATGGCCTGGCCGCACACCACTTTCTCATGTCAATGGGCTATCAGCTAGAGCGAGGTGTTTAGCTCGTCTACCCATCCGAGCAGCCGCCATGGCAGGTCGCACTAGCATGCGTCGAGGGAGTAACATTGTACGCAAATTGTTAGTATGGTACGTGCACATGCATGGAACCATTAACAGTCCGACCATGCTATTAGTCTGATTGCAGCCAGCCTCATGCAATTGTCATCATAAGTAACATCCACGTGCGTGAAGTATGTACGTACTCATGTGTAACATTTAATTGTCCGACGACTAACATGTGCGTTTATAAGCTAGCTAGCTATAGCTCGATCATCATGAGTATAAGCAAACTGCAAAGTTGCATGCATACGCAGGCGGGTCACTGACACGGTGCCGCGGCGCCACAACGCGCGTGCACAGTGATGCGAGCCTAAAGGCTCTAGCTTTATCTGGATTGCAACACGGTTTGATGAATCAGGACAAGCTTCGAGTGCACTCTACCGCACTATATGCGCGAGGCGGCCGGCGCCTGTGAGTCGCTCTAGGTGTTCCACGGATCCGATCAGGGTGCTCGTTGCGCCTGGCCCGCAGCGCGGGCGGGCCTGGCTTATGCCAGGCGTAATTGTGGCGACGCAAGTATGCCCGTATGAAGCACGCAGTGTGAGCCTGTCAGCATCCAGATTCAAATGAGTGAGCGAAGGTCGATAGATTGAGCTGAATCCTGAGGTCCGGCTCCGATGAGTGTGCAGCTACGCGCTGCGCATTCATTATTGTCTGTGTGACGAGGCTGCCGCGCCAGAGACAAACGCCGCCAGCGATAACGATTGCACATCAAAAGTGCCACGCTCGTTTCTGACACTCTGCGCATATGGGTGTTCCCATCGCTGATACCAGTCGGACGGTGGGCCTGTGGATCTGCAAGAAAAAAAGAAGGTATTCGGCAGTGCGCTTAGCAGCGCAGGCTCGGTCTGATCAGCATCACATGATTGCACTTTGCCTTTTGAGTTCGGAAAGAATCCTCATAGCCGGTCAGCCGCTTGTGAAAAAAGAAAGCGTCCTCGCTTCCACGGAACCTGTGACAGCAACCAAAGGGTAACCAAATTTGGACAATGAATCAAGTCAGGAGCATCAGAGCTCTTTGCAGTACAAAAACTTTCGTAGAAAACGCTTGAGAGGCATGACTGGAACCGAGCATACTCTATCTTCATTCAAACAGATAAGACGGTACTCCTCAGGACAAGTCGGACATGCTGATGTGATAGCTCCGCAATACGGAACCCAGAATGCTATCCGAGATAAATCGTTCGTAAAAATGGTACTCAGAGCAGTGTCTTAATATCATTTGCGGGCCGTCTTACCGCTTGACGTCACTCCGAGACATGATGTTTCTTGATCTTGAGGCGCGAGGTGTCATGTCCGGCTTGGCATCGAAGTCTGTGGCCTTCCTTCCAGGCGAGCTTTTGGCAATCTGCTTCGAAACGGAGAAACGACTTAGCAACTTGGTCATATGTGACTGACCTATGTGTAGAGATGCTGAACTTGACGTTTGCAGATTCTGAGGGTCTTCGATCTCTCAACTGAGAGCACTTGAATGAGAAAGCAAACTCGTAAGGAAGAGACTTCAACGAGACTGTGACGAAGTTCACCGCGGTCCTTTCTGCAATCTTAGACAGTAAGTCTCCGAAGCAAAGCTCAAGAGTATAGTGTTTGGTTCACAGCCCTACCTCGGGAACAGTACACAGCCAAACGGCATCTGCTGCAGACCCTGAACTCGCACGAGGCGGCCTCGACGTGGCAGCAGCTCGAGCAGGAGCACTTTCTGCGAAGCTTCTTGTCGGCTTGGACCTGCGCCTCCCCCTCCGAGACGTTGAGTAGGATGTAACTCTTGCCTTCGGGAATTTTCTGAAGCGGATCCTCGCTGTGCTTTTGGGAGAAAGTTTCGGAAGGCGTGCCTGGCTCCCTCGAACCTCGCGCGATTATATAAGGGTCGTTGGCTGCAAAGATCTCGTGGAGCTTCTGGCTTCTCTCTCCCGCTTCAGGATACCTTGCAAACAGCTGCGTCAGCTTTGCCTGCTGCGATGGCGTTGGGAAGTCCTTGTCAGGACCTTCATTCCAGATGGTCATGATTTCCTACTTCAGCGGCGGGAGAAGCAAGTAGACTATGTTCTTCCACTTTTGCTCGAGGCTGGGGCAAAGGCCCAAAGCCAGCAAGTGTCCTACTACCTTCTCTACTCGTGGGTTGCTTCTGTATTCGAAGAGCTTTTTTAGTGTCGTATCCCACTCTTGCAACGTCTGCGCCAAGAGCCTGATTGCGGCTGTGATCGTGAGCGCATCCTCCGACGATGCTATGGCCTTGAAGGCAGTCTCAAAGATTGGGTCCAAAAAGTCCGACAAATCGCATGATCCGATGAGATTATAGCAAAGATTGCTTGCGAAGATGATGATTCCGGTGGAGAATTCTGTGTTGGCCAGGCAGTCCTGCAGAATCCTGTGGATGAGGGGTTTCCTGCTGGCAAACTTTCTCCATGCTTGTTTCACATATTCAGTCAGCCTTGCCAGCACCGATAGACTTGCTAATTTGTGTTCATCCCGTAGTTTCACGTCATTTAATAGGCGCGACAGAGCCTCAGGCATCTCCCAATCTCTGGCGCTGAACACCACAGGCAGCGAGAAGTAGGCTCCTTCGAGGACTGAGAGTATGTCAGGCACAGCCTTCCAAATGAAGCGCGTCGTTCGGGCGTCCAACATGAGAGCGGGCAGCACCGCGAGCGCTATGGCAATCTTTGACAGCGTGATTGGCTCCCTTTGGCTTGGTGACTCACCCAGAACCTTCACCTTGGGATATAAGTAAACATCACCTTCTGTTTGGGCTGCTTTCAGGAGTCTGATGACCTCTTCCAAGATTCCTTCTTCCAACACGTGAGCCACATAAGCTGCGCTAAGCTCCGGCCCCTTGGTCTCCAGCATGCGACAAGTCACCGCTTTAAACCTCCACAGGGCGAAGAAGCGGGCCTCAGAATCACTTGAGCGTAAGTCATTCAAGATATCCTTCAGCCATGCACTGCTCTCTGGATTGCTTAGGTCTAATTCCACGCTTTCTTTCTCTGTAAGGCGCTCTCGGATCTCACTCATGGTCAGCGTTGAGTAGTTGCTAGGTAGAACTCTCGGTTGGATTGGCTTCGCTGCTTCAGCACGAGACCCGTCTTCATGCACTCCTGGGCTCTTCCTGCTGGATTCAATCCTGCAAGATTCTCCGCTCTTTCCTAATCAGGATGTTAGCAGGTGCAGAGATCACCTGCGCCCCAGGCGGCAGCGAGCAGCTTAAAACTGTTTGAAAGCTCGAGGAGAAGCCTTGTGCGCACCCGCTGCAGTCATGAGCAAATCTGCGCCTCATTACATAATCGAACGCCGCCCTTGACTTCTGTAGCTACTTGATCTGAGTAGATGCGCCTCCTCTAAATCTTTCATGGATGCAGCCACGAATTTTGTGCCAATTGCATCATAGACTGCAGTCCGACTCGACTTGGTGACGATGAAATGGACGTGCAGCTCGACAACGATGCAATTCGCAACTTGCGGGTGCGACGCCCGCGGCCGCGTGCGACGCCCGCCGAATCTTCACAGATGTTCTCTGTTTGCCCGCTCTATCTGGCGCTTGGACTAGTAGTTATGGACATGAAGACTCAAATTTCTGGCGCCGCGAGGTTGCAGACGGGGAAAGCTTCGGATAAAATCGTGCAATCCGTCTGCTCAGGGCAGCTTTCTCCAAATCATGGCCCGAGGAAGTGTCGTAGGTTTGTACGTGCTCACAATGACGTACTATAAGAAGATTTGCCTCTTGCAGCATTTCTGATAGAGTCAGTATCAGGAGGCCTGCATTTCGATTCAGAATCATCGCTGAAGAACGAAGGCAATGTTGCTCCTCGAGATATGAAGAGGCAGCTTAGCGGCTTTGCTCTTTTTCCAAAGCAGGTTGAGAAGCCACAAGAGTTGGTTCCACAAGAACTCCATGCACATGCGTGAGAGAAGAACTTTCCAGGCTACGGTTCTTTGCATGCAGACGACCTGCCCATTTAGGCTGCAGAGCCTGATCTGGCGTCTTTCGCTTCGTATGAGGCATCTTGAGGAGCTTGCTCATGTCAGGACTGACTGGAATATTCTGATCGGTTCCGAAGCTTGAATTCATCAACCCGATCTCGACATCAATGCAATCTTCGACACTGTATTGTGTTATGCAGCATTTCCATGGATCCTCTGGATGCAAACGCTGAGTCCGCATGATATAAGCCGTTCTCAAGGGGCCCACGGATCAGCTGAGTCTAGGTTCAAGCACACCATCTGAAGACCGTCGAAAGTGGCACACTAGATAAGGGTAACAAGCTTTTCGAAGATTTTCAATCGAAGTAGAATTGAATTGCAGCATTGACTTCAAGAGATTTCAAAACAAGGCCCTGTGACGACCCATCTTCCTCAGTTCATAGCGACGCCCTGTGACGTAAAAATCTAGCTCAAAGGATACGGAAGTGCATGTGTTGAGTGGAAGTGCTTAAGAAATACGAGAATGCAAGCAAGAATAAAGCTGGGCTCCTCTATTGCGAATCGACTTCCGGATCCTTCTTATCATTCTCGGCCCGTTGAGCCCTTGCCTGTAAAACGAATTGCAACTCCGTTAACACCCCGAAACCACGTCAATTACCTCAGCATTACCTCTAGAGTCGCCTGCTCGTTTTCTTTATCTAAGACGCATCTTAAGATGTTACCGCTTGCTGCACAGCTTTTCTCGAAAATCTTCGAGAAACAGGCTTCTGCCTGTCTATAAGAGCAGAATCGTTTGATGACAGCAACATTCTTGATGGGAGTCGGCGGTTGTATGCCTGCGGATGCTGTGAAGACGGGACTTTGAACTCGCAGTGAATAGTGACGCAATAAAGTGCGTGGTTCACGTGCGCGTATCCAGCAATACCGGGCCGCCGTAGGTTAAGCTGGGCGCTATAGGACCCTATCGAGCCCTTTGGATGATGTTGTGAAGCTACCAAAATCGGCGTAGGACCAGCTCTGCGAAATGTCATCAGAGAACAGCACCAAAAAAGATTCATTGCACAAGTACACTTTCTAAGACGGCTTGCTTCCTTACATTGTCTTAGGCGTTGCTGCCCCCAGCTCGGCACCGTGTTTTGTGGCCTTCCTTCCAGGCAAGCGTCTGGCACTCTGCAGGAGTGAGAAGCGAACCGCCGTATGTAAGACGGTAGTCAACTTGATGATGGAGACAGACAACAGGTCAATGAGTCCCCACGCGCAATCTACAAACATATTTTCGGGATGAAGGAAGAGCGGCAAGGTTCAAGATAAAGCATCCGAGCCCATCTGACAACCTTAAATCCATCTCCGATTCCTGACGTACGTCTAAAGATCTGTCGTCCAGATTCAAACGGAAGAGTGACAAATTCATTGGATCAAGTTCCTTATAGGAGAATATTGAGGATCTAAAAGCAGATCAACTCACATCTGATCATTCTGAAGTGCCCTTGAAACTGACTTCAACAATTTCAAAGAGACTAAAGGAAAGGTGATCACCTCGAGAGCAGTAAATTGCCAGACGGCATTTGCTGCAGATCTTGAACTCGCCAGAAGCAGACTCCTTCTTCGAGCACTCTGTGCGCGAGCACTTTCTGCGGGAGTTCCTTTGCGTTCTGAACTCATCCTCCGTCGCAAGAGTAACAAAACTTGTTCGCTGACCGCTTGGAATTGGGTCTACCTGAAGGAGTCTTCGGGCCTCTGCTCAAGATCTGGCTCCCGGTTGCATTCGCTTGCGAACAGGTCAGTCAGCTGTCGCTTCCTGTCCAGTGCCTTGCTAGAAGCGGCCAATATCTTTTCCAGCTCTTCTTTGTAATCTGCTCTTGCCAGGATGGGGCTGAAGGTTTTGTGATCCAACAGGCAAAGAATTTTGTAGACGTAGCCCTTTCTTTCCTCTTCGAGGCTCGAACAAGTTGCGAGCGCTAGCAGAGGGGCCAAGTACTTTGATGGAAGCTTCTTTTCCTTGGAGAGGAAAGCGGGCCGTTCCTTCAGGTAAAATGCCAAGTTATTGATGGCCAGCCTTATCACCTCCGGGTCCTGGGACACTTCAAAAGCTTTGACCGCAACTTTGAAAAAGTCGTCAAGAGAAATTGGAAGGGCGCGGGGGCCTGAATCGAGCACTGAGATCGTTGTGATGACACGGTCAACAATGTCGGAAGCCAGCCTCGTGTCAGCCAAGCAGTCACTGTGAATCTGGGAAAGAAGGGCCCTTCTGCCGCATATCACCTCTCTGACGTCATCAGTCGCCCAAAGAGCAAAGCCTCCCAGCGTTTCGAGCGATGTCAATTTCTCTTCGTCTCTCAAACTTTCGGACACTGGAGGCACGTTTTTGACCTTCCCTCTTCCCACCAGCATGACCGGGTTCTCAGAGAGGTAAGATCCCTCGAGAATGAAGAGCAAGTCAGGTATGGACTTTTTGACGAAGCGCCATGTCCGAGCATCTGCCATGAGCCCGTTCAGGATCTGGAGGCAGGTCTTGACCTTTGAAAGTACGAGCAGGCCGTCAATCGAATTACAAACAGCCTCCTCCATGCTCCCTCCAGCCATCATGTAGATATCACCTTCTGCCTTCGCTGATTTGAGGATGCGGATGATCTCTTTCAGGATTCCTCGCTCTAGCATGTAGGCTGAGAAGCAGGCGTTGACAGTAGAACCCTTCAGCACTATCCTATGAAGCACAGATCCAAACTTGCGTAGAGCGAAGTAGCGCGTCTCCGGATCTTGGTCCTCAAGTTCTTCAAAGATTGTTTTGAGCCATGCACTGCTCTCTGGGTTCTGCAGGTCCAATTCCACAGTTCCAGGCACTTCAGCGCGCATCCTCATCTCGCTATTAGTCAGCTTAGAATAAGTTCTTTCAAGGTCGAGCACGGGACGGAATGGCTTCACCCTGGGAGCAGGCTTTGATCCATCCCGCTGATTCATCTGCGGTTCGCCGGCACCCTCCGAATGCATGGCGGTTTTCGCGCCTGTGCCAAGGTTTGCGGCTGCACAGCAGCTTTCTTGCACATGCTATTATGCTGAAGTTTGAAACGAAGCCAGGCGCCTCCCACCTTTGCTCCTCCTTGTTTGTTTGCAGCAGTGTGTCAGGAGCAGTCTTACTCGATGTGGCCTCGAAAACAGCAAGAGTAAGCGCGTCGCCTTCTGCTTACTCGATACCAAGCAGGATTCAAGTCACAAGTTGATTTCCTGGCATGTGCTTGCTCGCGCATGCACCTCTGCGCACGCTCTGGCTCTAGACCCTTCGTCACTCGTGCACTTGATTCTGGATCGTCAATCTGACTCAGTTAGCTGCTCAGCTCGATTTACATCGTCTTCTCGCTTGCATCGACTCGCGGGGCCAAACTGCTACGTTTCGAACTAAAGTTCCTCCTGCTTCGCATGGTCACGAGGTTTGAAGGCTATTAAAAAAGAGGATCAAGCTCGTGAATGGTATCAAAAGGGGCGCTTCCTTGCAACAACGACAGACTCCAATAGCAGCCTTCCTCGAGGTGAAAAGCAACTCGTTCCAGCACACTGAAGATAGGCGCCGCAAGGAGCGCCGCGCGCAGATACATTTTTTGCTTGAATGAGAGAACGACTGGTGAACCAAAAGCCAGGGAGGTGCCTCGAGGTGACTTTAGAGCAGCTTTAAGCCCTGCAAGCAAGTCCGGTGAAGTACCGTTCCTTGCAAGCCACAGGAGCCTCTTGTAAACCAGTCCTCCTCTCCCAATCCCCTCAGCCCCCCCAGTCCTCTGGAAAGATGGACGAGTACGAGGATACGTTACTGGTCTTGGTGAACCAGACGTTGGACCTGATGTGGCCCCTGGCCCTGTTCTTCATCCTGCTACTGACGTACCCCCCCCTGGCCGTCTGGCGCTGCGTCAGGTGGCTCTTCACCTTCCCCTGGCCCATGCAGGACAGGGTGGTGCTCATCACCGGGGCATCCTCGGGGATTGGCGAGGTAAGAGTGCTTGGAAACCTTGTTGCAGGGATTTAGCATTTTCTTTGCAAAGCTCTTCCCTCTTTGCGAAGGCATTGGCCGATTCTTTTTGCGGAGAAAACAATGAAATATTCTCTGAGGTGAGCTGGAAGCACAAAATCATTCGACTGAACTCTACACTTTTGTGCATACCCAAGTGCAGAGATGAACCTTCAAAACGACTGGAATGGAGGATGATCCTCCCCCACATCCCATGCTTTCGTTCATTTTTGGAGTACACAGCCTCTAAGCTCTCAGCACTGATTGCATGCCCTTTCTTCGTCTACGCCTCACCTTTTCATGTTATGTCGCCGTCAGTAGAGAAAGCGGCACGACATCCAGAACTAACCGACGGTTTGATTGATTCATAAAGAACCTCGAGCTTAGATGAAATTGCTATCCCGAGCTTGACTTCCAATGATGTTCCGATTTTATCCTGGTTTCCAGCACATCGCGTATGAGTACGCCCGGCTTGGAGCCCGCCTGGCCCTCGTCGCCCGGAGAGAGGAGAGGCTGGAGGAGGTCGAAGACAACTGCAAGTACGAACCCCTGATCCTCTCTGCTTGAAAGATATGGTTTCTGGTTAGAAATACTGGAGAGTACACGCTTAGACGTGAGAGCTGATTCTGCAGTTTCGAAGACAAGCTCTCTCTGGATGCGAGTAGAAGCATCATACAGATTACGAAATTCTGTCTCGGAGGGGCTAAATCACCACTTTGTGCAGTACAACTGTGATTGCTTTGAGGTTTCATTTTGTGGGCTGCTACCAGAGTGGACTAATGAGCTTTTGCCTCATGTAAAACTTCTTCGTTTTCTGCTTGCAGGAGTCTTGGGTCACCTGACGTCCAGATCATCCAAGCTGACGTCAGCAAGGAGGAAGACTGCAAACAGGTGGTGGAAGAAACGGTCCAACACTTCCAGAGACGTGAGGCACTCTCGTTGTTTGAGATTTATCGTTGGTCTTCGAACCGAAAACGGCCATTGCAACTATTATAGAGGTTGCATTCTGTTTCAGAGGTCTGCAGGTGTTTCTTCAAAGGACATTGACAGCGTCCTCAATCAACTTGTGGTTACTCCGGGATGGGATGGTTCCAGCCTTTGAATTTTCTCAAAGGCTGCCCCAGATATTCTTGCTGTCGGTTTGCAAATGTTTGATGCTCGCTCGCTTGCTCAATGCATCAAATGTTAGTCATGTTCTTCTGAGGGAAAAGGGTTGGGTCTCCAAACTTAGACTTACAATTATGTTTCTCAATACCGCTCGAGGGCAAACAATTGCCCATTGTTTGCCGTTAAAGATACTTCGTCTTGATCAGCCGGATTCCGGTTGTCGCTTATAAGCAGCTGTTCCCGGTTCCCGCGCGCTGACGTTTTTCTCTCGCGGTCAAACTTGTCTCTGGCACTCACCTCTTTCCTTGCTCTTCACAAGGATACTGCTTACTTTTCTCAGCCAAAATTGCTTTCGAAGTCTTCCCGTGCGTCAATGCATTCCGCTTTTCTGCCGCAGTCGACACGCTGCTTCTGAACGCGGGAGTGGCGCACATCTACTCTTTCGAAGAGGCCGACGACACCAAGGGCTTCGGGCCGATCATGGTAGGAATCGATTCTGAATTTCTATTTCCGTTTCTAAAGGACATGAAGATTTCGTTCAGGCAGTTCTGCAGAGTGAGAGGAAGCAGGCAATTTCCAACATCTTGGACTTTCATTTCAGACCGCACCTCACATATACGAACGCATTTTCGAATTCGAAAGCGTCGTTTTCGAATTCGAGACCTTACGGCGCTTCTTCGTTACGTGCTCCGCTAGTACTTCCTGCCCTAGATTGGTTAGCACACCCAGAAAGCATTCCCCTTCATTCTGACGTTTCAATATCCTTACCAAGCAAATGCGGCCGATCAGAATGTAACGTTTAAATTATTCCATCTGGGCCAAACTCATTGGAAGTTACCATGATTGAAGAATTTGTTTTCATCATCGAATGTCGAAGGCAAGAATGGAAAAAAATGAAAATAAGCTCGTTCTTTTGCAGGACGTCAACTTCTGGGGCTACGTGTACACGACCAAGTTTGCGCTGCCGCACCTGCGCCGGAGCCAGGGCCAGATCGTGGTCAACGACTCCATCGTCTCCTTCCTGCCGCAGGCCAAGACCAGCATCTACAACGTGAGCTTCGTTCGTGTTGCTTGAATGATCATTCTGAGATTTGAATGGCAAAGCTCTTGATACAGGACAACTTGCATGTACGAAGCTCCATTTTGAGAGGCAGCCAATCTTGTCTCAAGGCATGAAGAGCCCAACTGCTGATTGGCCGAGATCCTAAGCAGCCTTTCTAGGATCCTAAGCAGACTTTCTTAAAAACGGACCGTTCAAGCTTCGCGACCGTCAGAAACAAGCTACAAGGGGTCCGAACCCGCGAGCCTCTGGGCTGCCTCAACCTGTCCAACCGCCCTTCGACACACTACGAAACTAGATACTATTACGTGTCACACCCTGCGAATCCATTTCTCTTCTAAGAGGCCGAACACTTCTGGTTCGCCGGAGACTCCTTCCGCGGAGTTGGGCTGAGGCTCGAACTGGGCGTGCGAAAGAACTTCCCTTTCCGTGACCGGCCTGTTTCTCGCCTGAAGAACAAGATACTCTCGTTTACGCTTTGCTTTCTCTGCCAGGCGTCCAAGGCCGCGGTGAGCCAGTTCTTCGAGACGCTCCGCGTGGAGCTGGGCTCTGCGGTGCCCATCACAGTCTTCCTGCCGGGGGCCATCAAGTCCGAGGTGCGCGCAACCCTTTACTTTTCAGCAAGCTTTATGCTGTCTTCAGACGATTATCATTGCTTCGACTGCAAGTTTGGAACCCTTCAAGGAAATAACGGACCGTATCACAAGTTTCAAGTTACCGCTCACAGCCCACGTCTTCGGATCTGGGGATCTGGGGAAAGACGACTATCTATAAAGATTGGTTGGTCGGATGGCAGGTTCAGCGGACCGTGCAACTTCCTTTTCTTTCCTGATCACGAAAAGAATGCGTTTGGTCCTTCGAACCTCGTGATGCGCCCTTATTATCACCTCATTGACCGAGGACCGTTTGTTACAGTTCACCGCGATTCCCTGAGCTGAGTCAAGGCGCTTCGAGATGCGGCTTCGGCCGCCATGCAGATCTGCAGAACTTTTTGTCCGCCCAGATCAGATTCTGGTTTAAGCCGTAACACCATCTCGCCCTGTCCTGCAGATGACCGACGGGAAAGTTCTTCTCCCCGACGGAAAGGTGGCGTCGCCGGATGAAGCCTTCCGGCTGCGCAACGTAAGCCCTCGGGCGCTTCGTTTTAGCTTTGTCCTATTTGTCCTGAGCTTCCTATTCGGATGAGAATTCCAAAATGTATCAATTTTCTCCGAGCTCTGTACTTTCGTCCGTGCCCCGCTTAAGATTTTCAAACTCGTTTTTGCGGATGATTCTCAGATGAGAACGTCTAGTCCTCAAGTCTTGGGACATCTATTTTGCTGTTTCGCTGCCGCGACGACTGGATGCAGCCTACAGCACGTACCGGAAAGCCGAGCTTATGATTTCCTCGGCCTCTGCATTCTCATGATCTGAAGTTTCTCCATGGAAAAGAAGCACAACAAAGCGCCAGTCGCGGTCTTAATCACTGTGAAAGCTGAGAGTGACGCACGAACGAAGTATGCCAACACCTTGTGCGGGCCACAAAGTTGTCCGAGCGTCTCACATTGCGTGATGTAGCATTCAGATCATGAATTGATTTCAGTAAGAGTTTCGCGAACGAATTCATCCCCTGCAGGAGGCCGGCTTCGGGCTCTTCCCGCTGCTGCCCACCTCCGCGCTCGCGCGCCGTGTGGTGAAGGCGGCGCGCTACCGTCGTCCACGTGTCGTCATCCCGTCGTGGTACAAGACCATGTTCTACCTCAAGATCTTCGAGCCCGAGCTGCTCTACACGTCGCTCCGCATCTTCTGGTCGGGGCGGCCATCGTTCGCCAAGCGCCTGAGCGAAATCTTTGGCGGGGGCATCAAGCCGCCCGGTCCCAAGGAGTTCGAGAGGGGGGGTTTTCGCAAGGACGAGTAGAAACGCGGGGTGGCGCTGAGTAAAGAAAGCAGGAAGATTGGAAAGCACGAGATCGAATGGAGATACTCTCCATTTGAGCGAGACGGCTTAGTAAGAATGAGGGGTGGGCGGGGTGGAGAAGATGAGTAGTGTGACGTACTGTGGCCATATGTTGTTTCAGCAGTCCGCGGCAGACGTGTCTGCGTCTTGGGACAGCTTTGTACATATAAGATTTTTTCCAGTCGGAGTCTTCTTTGCGCCAGCCTACAGGCTTGCTGGGATGTCTGGCAACAACCGAGGTGTAGGGGCTTTTGCTTCATGAAACTATTGTTGACCGCGAGCTCGGTCGTAACAAGGCGTACCGTTCTGTCGCGAGGATACACTCTCCCAACTTTGAATGCATGACAAGATAGCACCAATTGTTGAAGCAATCGAAGCATTTCATGGACGGGTATCGTTCTATTTTGACTGCCATTGCATCACATGGATTACGAAGCGTATGCATCGTGAGATATTAGCGTCAGTCGACGAATGCCAGACAAGATATAACCTTCGCATATGAGAGGAGCCTAATTCGCGAACCTCATATCCAGATGTAGAGCTCTCCCAGAGGTGCTAAATCCATGATACGAAGGACGGCTGATTCAGCGGACGGTCGAAGGAGATACGCGCTCACCTGAGGCAGTGCGGTTCAACTTAGTCGCAGAAAGTTGTGCCAGTCCAGCAGATTGGACAGAATACTTTGGGTACAGCAGAAACGAGCTCAGTAGATGTACTTAGCACTGAGGGCAACCGGCTCTATAAGTGTGCGCGTGTGTCATGTGTATGACCATTTGATCGGATGTTTTGCAATCATGAGCTATTCATGGTCTAGGTCCGCAAAGCTTACCATGATTAATTGACTACCATCATTCGGAACGTACCATTTTGATTCATGAGCACGTGTGCAGCCATATGAGACGTCCTCGCCGACATCGCGCGTGGAGCGCTGTGCTCATTTGCGGTCGCGCGCATCCGCGAACATTGGCACAGCTACTGATTTCTGGCCGGCCTGGCGCCGCTGCGCGCGCATGTGCATGTGTGACGCATTTAATGATTCGGTCTGTGCGCTCAATGTTGCGACACGACTCTTGATCAGGATAAAAAAAACGTGACTTGCATCTTTTCGGGGGGGTTGTTGGCTTTCTTTGACGACTCCTGTGGTCACTCAAAGACAGTCTGCTACCGATCCAGTTGTGCTGGTCGCTGCGTCCATAAAAGTCTTGCTCCACGTTTGGTGGGTTTATGCTCAAAGCTAGCTCTCACTGATGCAGGATGCCTCCAGCACAGCATGGTGAAACATAAACCCAACCTATCGATTGCTACGCGTTACTCAATGTGGCCTCAATCCGTCTGGTACACCGTCCCAATGCAAGCGACTAGACCTAACTTAGTAAAGTGACTTAGCGCACCGCAGCTAAAATTGTCTTCCCTATGCTAGGTGGCGGCCGGTATGGTCACTGTCAATAAATACATGTACAAGTGGTACAAACACAAATATAGATACACAAATACAGATATAGAAACCAACGAAGGTTTCTATACACACCTATCTCGAGTCCATAAATTGGGCCCATCTTTGTCTTGTCAAAGTTCTTAGCCCAGGACAGCAACATTGGAACTCGGCGAGCCTTCACATCGCCCAAGCCATGCTTGCCTGTAAGGAAATATCCTTGCACTTTTGAGCAATCAGACTCCTCACTTTAAGGTCTACGCTGAAATTTCTGAGAGTCTCTTTCTGCCAGCTCTCTGGAGCCTGCTTCCGCTGGCAACCAGAGATGTTCAGCAAGGGCTGAAGGGACGACATGGATCCTTTGCACACAACGGTATACGTTTTAGGCAGTTACCTTTTACGCGGAGTTAAACTAAGACTGCAAAAAGTAGACTGGTTTCAAACCAGCAAAAGTCATGTAGAGTTGCTGATCTCTGTGGGCCAAAGTCTGTAGATGACTGCTTCTGGAGATTCATGCCCTCAAATGAAGGACCAAACAGACACGGACGGAAGCTCCTCATTGCTTGCAATAGATACGAAACTGAGCCAGACATTGCCTCTTGTTTTTAAGAGGGGACCAGCACTCAAGCACTTCAGAAATATGACAAGCAGGCTGCCTGATCCAGCTGAAGCTTATATACCTTTTCTGAGGTTCTGAAATGCATGTTGAGGGACTATTTTTTTTGAATAATTTTCAGATCCATGTTGAGAGCTTCAGCACTAATCCGATTACCGGATCAGCTGACATCTAGTGGAACATGAGTGACATAGAAACGCTGCAAATCCTCACCTTCTAGCTGAACTTGTCTTCGTCTGAGATTGGCGCGTCCGGCAGCACCCCCAACGGATTCGGCGTGTTGTGCTTGGAGTACCACGCTGAAATCTGCCCCACCACTAAGCGGAAAAAGCTCCTGGCTATGAACCTTGCGCCGGGGTCGCCAGGGGGGGCTGTCAGGGGGTTTGCCTCGTGCGGCGTGCGGTCAGTGAACCAGCACAACTCTCGGGCTGCTAAATTTCTTCCAGGGCCTAAGCGCTCAATGCCCCCATGCCGATCGGAGACTTCATCCGGTTTGTTGATCAGCACTGGCCAGACAGTGCAAGAGTCGCTGACGTTGGAAGCCATGTAGATACCGTCAGTGAGCTCATTCTGGCCCGCAGCCTTATAGCCCCCGCCCCAGAAACGATGCGAGGTCTCAAGTGTCTTAGCCAGACCGCCATCCCGGATCTCCCCGGGCCGCTCAACATGTAGCCCAGGCCGGCGCTGGGACTCTCCTATTGGGACGAGGCTTTCATGAATTGTTAGGTATGCGACCTGGTTGAATTTTGCTGGGAGCGCCGCACGCTTGCACATCTCAATAAACTTATAGTACTGACGGCAGTATGCTGGGAGAGTGTTGAGAAGGTCAAGGTCATGTGGTTTGATCGGCATCATATTTATCTGGATGCCCTTTGGTTCTGGGAAGGAGATCAGCTTAGGGTGCCACTTGCGCGCCGGCCCTAAATGCTGTGAGGCAATGTCAAATGCCACCGACTTCCGGTCCATGTGCTCCTCATACCAGGTGTCTACAAGGCAAAACACCCTGGTCCAGATGTGTTCGTTTCCTCGAAGGAGCGAGAGGGGGTTTCCTTCGTCCAGCGTGCCACGCAGGATAGTGAATCTGACAGTGTCCGCAATAGGAATGTTGCAACGCTCCGCTTGCTCTGCGCTGTCAACCGATTTCATCATCACTTTCAGAATATGAGTAAACCCTGTCCACAAATCTAGGCACCAGAGCGAGCTCGACAGATTTGACACCATCATTCGCCTGCGACTCAGCGGCCCTTTCCTAGAGCCAGCGGCCAGCTCCTTTCCTGATCTGAAGAAGGGAATGGTCAACCATGTAGTAGTGCACTGTGCAGCATTCCCTTGCACAATCATGCAATCATGACATGGCTCAGGGTGGGGGATCATCCTAGAAATTGGAGAAGCCGCGCGCGCCCCAGGCAGCATAAGCCTGAACTTGAAGCCTCTAAGTCGCGTGCCAGGCCGCTAGCCGGCCGCGCTAGTCACGCCCGCGCGCCTCTGAAGAGAATTCTTGGTCATGACAGTGCATGGTGGTCAAGCTAAGTTAGAGAGCGGCTAGATCTGCGCCCTTTTAGTCTGTGCAGCGCACACTGACAGCGAGGCTTTGCAGAAGTGAACACGATGGTTTCCACCGGCGTCGTGAAGCCTCTGCAGCCAAGGATCCTGCCGAAAAGTTTCTCACAGCTCGGTTCGAAGGAAATGGGAGAGCGGTTGACTGAGGAGAGGGCTGTAGAAGTAGACCTGCGCAAGCCAGAAAGCAGTGCAGCCTTCTCAAAGAAGTGCAGTCCAGTGACACTGAGGCAAGGTCGTTTGCATTGTTTAGATTGAGAGCAGGTTTGAACAGCATGGTGCCCACCAAGGGGCGAGCACTCAGCGCGGGGCTCGCAGCTTATGTGTTGGAACAGGGCGTGCTGGATGCAGTCAGGAAGATTCTGAAAGCAGCGCAGACAGAAGGCGACTTTTACGTACTCCCCAAGATCAGGAGTCAGGATGAACTGAATCGTACAAAATACTTTGTGGTCTCAAAAGTGGACATCTGCTTTGGGTTGCTTCATGTCCTCATCTTGGACACTCGAACGGCACGTTTCGTCCTGAAGGGCATCCCTGACCTCATTCGGTTTCTTGAAGGAGCCTACTATTCCTTGCCAGCGGTCTCTCCCGTCAGAGACTCAGATTTCGTGCTGGGGTCTGCTTACCTGGAGGGCGTAAGGGATGACGACAGGTTGTCCAGTCTTGAAGTGCTGGTTTCCCTGGCTAGCTATTCTGATCGAGCTAAGGAAAATCTATGCAGTCGGAAGGTCCTTCTTCATCGGATTCTGCGGGACTGCATGACTGAGAGAGATTTTTTCAGCCGAGTACTGGAATGCACTCTTCACTGCTTCAGCAACCTTTCTACCACGTGCGATCTCTCAGAGTACCTGAGTGAAATCATTGGGGTCGTGTTGAAGACTCTGGCGGAGACTCAGACCGCAGGGCTGATCTTCATGGCAATCCATCTTTTTGCTTCAATAGTGCAGCACGGTCAAGTAGAGGCAGTAGTATGTAAGCTTCATGAACTCGCAGGCAGTGGAAGAGTAGAGCACCTCTTCCCGGCCCTCTTCGCATTAGCAGCCTGCCCGGCTCTTGACGGGAAGACCAAGCTTCAAGTCTCTACATTGCTGGGCTCTCTGAATAAGCACTTCAATAGGACAATTCTCGAGGAGCGGCCAACCGAGCCTTTGACACCGACACAGCAAGAGAAGTTGGAGAAGCTGGTACGCTCGTTACCTGGCGCGATGGTGAGAAGGGAACAGCTGCGTGAAATTTTTGCAGCTCACGAGAGCGAAACGTCCTCACAGGAAGCTGCATCTCCGAGTTCTGGAACTCAAAGTAGTCTCTTTCAGAAAACCATTGACACTCCGCTTGACTCCGTTCCGGACAAGGCCCATGTGTCATACATACCAGCGGGGGACCTCGATGCACACAATAGGCCCTGCAGAAAGTGTTCTCGCGCAAGCTGCTCAAATGTGGAGTCAACTTCATGCGAGTTCAAGGTGTGCAGTGGGTGCCGTCTGACGATCTATTGCTCCAGAGGTAAGACTTTTGAGCTCGTGCTAAGAACCTAGAGGGACTTTACGAGCTAACATTGAAAACGCAAGCGTAGTCTGATTCAATTGCAAGCCCTTAAAAAGAGTTGCTTTGTGCTCCTAGCCCCCAAACTGCACTAGGATGAACACGGGAGGAACAGTCTCTCTGACCGTCAATTCTGAGCCACTCTCTTGACTAGGTTTCCCTAAGAAATGCCGAGGATGAGGAAACAGGATCAGTCTGAACGTGTGAACATCTTTGGAGGGCTTCTGGAAGGTACCCATACCGGAGGGGAAGAGAATCTGAATGGTTGTCCCCTTTATTGCAGAGTGCCAGAAGATTGCCTAGAAGGAAGGCCACAAGTCGCGCTGCCGAGCAGGCGCGGGCGAAAAGCGCCCGAAAGCTGAGGAGGAGGTCTCAAAGTAATGTCAGAAGGTACAGCCGTTCTTGACTCTGCTCATGGCCCGATCAGGAGACGTTAGCTCATCAACGACTTGTATTGTCTTGCAAAAGGTTTCTTGCTGAGACACGAGTGAGTGAATGGGGCACTGACAACAGTATCCAAGCATTTGATTTACAAGTATCCAACTTTTAGGATCATTCCGATGGGTTTTATTCCTTTTGTCGCAGGTTTCATGCAGCCAACATTTTCCAACACAGATAGTCCGTTCGTGAGGTTTAGGAGCCTCCGCGGGGCAGCCATTTGTCTCTTAGAATGTTGTTCATATTATTGATATAGCTGGATAATATGAACGGACTCTGGTACATGCAACTGATTGCTGCGTTTATAAACCACCCTAAGCAGTTTTGCGGCACAGATTGATGAAGGCTGAATGTCCCTAAGTTAGCCTAGCGATCTGACGCCTTTATTGAAGTCCATGTTCTTCCATGAGTTGTTGTATCGCCGTCATATATTATTTCAATCTGGCGCCTCAATTTGGCTGTAGAAGTCACGGATCATATCGTTTTCAATCTTTCACACAAGTCGAATGCAACTTTGAATCTACATGATGCACCTTGCACCGAAGCGCTCAAGCGGCTTGTCTGGCGGGCCGGTGCAGCCTGCAAATGCCAAGGAACGCATGCTCTTTGAGGGAAAGTAGTAAGCCCTCGTTCGTTCACCATGAAGTGACCGGAGAGAGCTTGCATCTAATTTTAATTAGGCCTGCACACGTGATCTAAAAGACTCATTGACCGCGCCTGACACTGTGGCCCCGGAAGCGCATGTTCTGAAGCTACATGGTAAACCTAGGTAGCGCTGCCACATCCTTGCATGACTGATTGCATGGGTGGTTCTCGAACACTTAAATCCCTACCATGCATTCCTTCGCGGCTATGATCCGATCAACAAGGAAACAATTTCGTGAAGCGCACCGCGCACTCAGCTTCTCGTATAGCGCAAGAGCTTCAAGACACGCATGCATGTACAACTTCATGTGCCACAGGATCGAAGTAAACATTTGCAAAACTCAAACTCAATCCATTTTGCCAACGCGGTCTTGATTCAGTGCTACTGTAGTGCAATGTGCAAGCAGAAAATCTCACTTGATTGGCGGACATTCATGCAAGGCGTACGCATCAGTGCGTCACTATTGGAATTGAACGTACACCCGCCTTGGGGCCACAACACCTGATCTACTTCATTTTAACTTCACTGTTGTAAATACATTCAGACCTTAAGGTTGCGCAAGAAAGGCCGTCTGAGTACGCCACCGGGACGCGTGAGCGCTGATTCGGTACAAGCAGGTACAAGGCTGGACGGTATGTGCGGAGCCAGGGCTTCAAGTTCCTGAGCCACGTGGCCGAGTCGAAGGGGGGTCGAAGTCATCATCGTCAACAGCTGGCAAGCTGGATCCGGAAAGTTAAATAGAGTCCGGAAGGGAGGAGATCTTGCGCAAAGTTGTGGAGGCTTGAGAGCGCCTCGATCTTTGTCAGCGCGAAGAACCATGTGAACTTCACGATCGAGCAAAAAGCTTGCACCATCTGGCATTTGAAGCGGTGCATAGCCAAGATTCTCCGTAGATGTGCTTGAGACCTGCGCTGCAGAGGCAGCAGAGGCGCCCCACTTCGGACGGCCTTGTCAAACAACTGGTAAAGAGTACCGATTGTAAGTTTTGATAGAGCTGAGTCTTGACAGAGCTGGTGTTCGCAGCGGCGGCACAGATCCAAAGAAATGAGGACAAGGAGGTGCGCGTGCCATCAGAAGCTTGACAGCATTCATTCGTAGTAAACGCATGATGGGGTCCAAAGCCGCTGAAGTGCGGATTGCACAAGGTCACGCTGATGCCGTGAAACCCCCTGCAGCCCAGGTTCCTGCCTCACACTTTCTCCAAGCTAACCTTAAGAGAGATGGCGCAGCGGCTCACGGAGGAGGGGCCTGTGGAACTGGACCTGCACAAACCGGAGAGCAGTGCATGGCTCAAGAACATTCTTAAACAAGCGCGAAATAAAGATTTTGAGACACGATGCTTCGCTCTGTCTAGGTTCCGTGCAGTCTTGAACAGCATGGTGATCAACAAAGGACATGCACTTTGCGCTGGTTTCGCAGCGTACGTGCTGGAGGAAGGCATCCTCGAAGAAGTCATCAGGAATCTAAGAGCAGCTCAATCAGAAGGCGACTTCTACGTCTTCCCGAAGATCGAGTTCCGGGACCTTATGATCAATCAAAGATCTTTTACGCTCTCGAAAGTGGAGATCTGCTTCAGACTGTTGCATGTGCTGATCCTAGACACTCGAACTGCGCGCTTTGTCCTTAAGGCCATACCCAACTTGCTTTCCATCCTCGAAGGAGCTTACTTCTCGTTATCATTACGTTTCTCACACGAAGGGTTGGAATTACCTGACAACACGGCGGAGTTGGAGCTACTCAGAGAAGGCGTCAAAGCTTCTAGCCTCTCGGTGCTTGTTTCTCTGGTGAACTGTACCGAGAAATGCAGGGACAAGATAAGCAGCAGAAAGGTCTTTCTTCAGCACATCCTAAGAGACAGCGTCGCGGACACGGAGTTCTCGGGACGAATCATTGAATGTGCAATTCCCTTTTTCAACGACCTCTCCTCTTCGTGCGATCTTTCCCAGTTCCTCGACGAGACTATCAGGCTTACTCTAAAAGGTCTGACCGTGCTTGACAGCGCTACTCTGCTGAAAATGACCGTCAGCCTTATTGGCAAAGCAATGAAGGAACACATCAATGAAGTGATTGAGAAGCTGTACGAACTCAGAGCGAACGGGAGAGTGAAGCACGAAGTGCCGGCACTGTTGGGAGTAGCATCTTGCCCTGACCTCGACGAAACAACAAGAGCGCTCGTTTACATGCTTCTGGCCAATCTGAACGAGCAGTTTGAGATGATTTTCGACCAGACTCGTCCATTTTCTCTAACGCCAGCGCAAGAAGAGAAGCTAGAGAAGTTGGTAGCTGCCTATCCTCAAGCAGTGGCCAGGAGAGAGCAACTGAGCAGAGTTTTGCGGGCAGCGGAAATCCAGTCTGCGGGAGAGCATGGAATGAAGTCAACGCCCGGCACTCCAGCTACGATTTTCCAGGCGGCCTCTAAGAGTCTACTCGAGTACGTTCGAGACAAGGCATACTTTCCAGGGGTACCAGCTACGGATCCTAAGGCACGGAAGAAACCCTGCAGAAAGTGCTCCCGCTCAAGTTGCTCTCGTGTGGAGTCTGCCCCGTGCGAATTCAAGGTCTGCAGCGGGTGTCGTCTCGCGGTCTACTGCTCCAAAGGTGAGACTTGGTTTCTTCGAGCCCTTCGTCTGATGAGAACTCAGCTGAGGACATGAAGCGGTCTGAAGAGGCTCAATCTTCCGAGGTTAATGTGCTGTCTGAATCCTTTGATGTGTCTTCGTGACGTAACATGTGTGCATCTTGCCTTCCAGTCCGGATGGCTCTGACAACTAGAACTGATTGTTCTGAGAAGGTTCAGTCGAGACTCCAGATCTGACCTCTGAGGCGGCCTGAAATCTCTTTTCTCAAGAGGTGACTAGTCTCGATCGTTTGCCATGATCATCTCTACAGATTGCCAAAAGCTTGCCTGGAAAGAAGGACACAACCTCCGTTGCCAAGCCGGATCAGATGAACAGCGGCCCGAGGCGCAGAAGAAGTCTTTTAAGTGAGGAACTACAGCTGGATGGATTTCTTAGATCTCAACGCTTCTGCTTTCCTGCTCCAAAGGATTGGATGTTGTTGGCTACATGGAAGCAATAACAAAGTTATCACCACAATATCCAACTCGCTTTCTTTACTCGACTTTCCCCGTATTTCTCGTCTCGTAAGCAGAAGGCGGATGCGGAATGGGCACTGATGCACGCCACTGCTTTACATCACTCGTCTTCTCCGATTGGATTGGGTAGGTCGAGCAGCGCATGTGTGCTCAATGCATTTAGAATGCTAACTTAATGTTCCGAAGTTCCAAATCAACTGCAAATACTATGTCTACGTACATGTTTGCATGAAGCAATGATAACTCAGAAGCCGGGCATGCGCGAAGTTGATCCGATCGCGGCTCAGTGCCAGGCAACATATCAAATGGATCGAAATTGTGACGTACGTTTAGGCCAGGCTCTGTTCTCATGTGGTCCATGCAACCAATCATAGAAGATATGATATGCTAGCTCATGCGCCGTACCGGGCTACAGAACGAGTTACCTACGTGTCTCTGCTTGAAGCCTGAATGATACTGTTGCCGAGCTTAGACCATGAGCAGATTGGATTGAATGTATCATGGTGGCGTCAAGGGCCGTTATGGAAAAGCGGCCTGCAACGTATACCGTAGGGCACAGATCATTGCTTATAAGTCAATGCGTTGGTATATGTGTGCATGCCGCCACATCTTAGATGGCAAGTCCGACAGGGAATCGGTCATAGACCACGTCGTTTCAGTCAGTTTTTCTGCGAATCTGAAGTGGACTGTGCACAGTTACATCCTCGCTTGCGAAGGCCAGCATATGCTCATACCTCGGCAATGCTCTGTTATTGAAGCCACACTGAGTAACGGCCGCTCCACTCCTCAGTGGCACCGCCGCGGGCTTAAGTCAGTGACAGTGTTCACGGTTCTATTCGAGCTGGCCGGTCGAACATGGACCGTATCTCGGCAGGCTGCTCATTACATGCAGTCTAGTCACTCAATTGCGTCCCTCGCCTGATCTGTTTGGCCCCTGAGTGGATCTTGTTTGGCAACGAACGAGTCTGTTATCGACCAAGGGCGGAAAGTCAAAGCCGCCGTATTTTGTATTCTGTCACACTGGGTGGTCCTGAACACTTGGATTTACAACAGCGAGCGAAAGTTGACGTCCCAGTATGAGACACGGCAAACCTCTTGTTACGTCCTCGGATGTAGTTGCAAAGCAGAGCTGATGCTTTTGGCAGATTTACCGTTTTCGTTTTGCCGGGGCTCGGGGTTTGGGCGGGGGCATGTCGCTGTCGTCACGGCGTGGGGCCGCCTTTGCAGCTGCCTTTTGTCTCCTGATCTGAAACGAATTGCAGTGAAAGATCAGTTTCCTGTTCACGAAGGTGCTCGACGCTTCAAAAGGGCAGCCGACCTACAGAATCCATCTTTTCATGCTGATACGAAAAGCGTAGACGCTGTCATGCCAGCGTCTGCATGACAGCGGTAGCACTTCACGGGTGCCGTTGATGAAGAGCCATACGGTAAAACGACGAAGCAGGTATTTGCCTGCTTCGTGATCACCAGAGGAAGCGGTCTCCCTACTCCCTTACAGACCAAAACACGCAGACGCAACCACGCTTCAGCTACAAACACATGCATTGCTCATCCGCGCTAACGAGCAAAAACTAAACCCATAATGCACAATATCAGCACGCAGTGCGTGAATTGCGGTTCGACCGTCCATCCCTCACCTTTTCAGCGTTGAACAAGTCGTCTGCGGCCGCCGCTGCGACCGTCTTCGCCTTCTCTTCGCGCACGAAATCTTCCACTTCGCGGTTGCGAAACTCGTTGGACTCCCTGCCAAGCGGGAACAACTTTTTCAGGTAAAGGGTCTGAGGCCTACCGAAAGCGTTCCACAACCGCAATGTTTGGCGACTCCAATGCTCTGCAAGCACCTGGTCAATCGCTTTCAACCTTACCACAGGGTCCGTCCCAGTGCCCAGTGGAAGCCGAAACGCAACACGGAAATACGCTTTTTTCCAATCAAAGGCAAGCGGTTGTCCACACTACTAACCGTCAAGCCGACCCGCGATTTGATTCTAAGCTGAATTGCCCTGACGGCCCTTACAGAACGGGCATCACATTCACTCGCCAAAATGGACCCTCAGCAATACCCGTGAACAAGGTTCTGTGCGACTTGTGCTCCTGAGAGCGCGCAACATCTGTTCAAGGTGAGCTTCCCTGTGGACCCTGGGACAGCTTTTCAACCTCATATATCCGAGTTCCAAGTATTTTCGCTGCCGGCAAAAAGATACCCCTGCTTCTCCCCGAGCCACCTGCCTACGGGGGTCGCCGAGACCTGCACCCCCATCAAACGGACACTGCACTGAACAAAAGCCAACCTCTTTACGCGGAGCATTGAGAAAGGCGGTACTAGTCAAGTTTCCACACCATGAAGCCGTGAACCGGCCAGCTTACTTGTAGGGCTCCTTGGCGTAGGGTATCAATGTCTCGAAGCTGTTCCCCGCGCCCCCGATCGGAAGGACCTGTCGTTCAGGCGCCACGTGTCAAACCCTTAAAGCGCAGACAATCAGGACTGGTGTCACCATGAATCCACTGAGTTCCGGCCATTCCGTCCGATCCGTTGCGGGCGGAGGCAGCAGCTCGGCAGAAAAATGGACCAGAGGGCGGAGTAGAGTGCCGAGAACTGACTTCAACGCAATATTCTGCAGGGCCCCGTATCGGCGGCAGTCGAGGGTGGGGAAAGGATGGAAGCAGATGTAAACAAAGGTTTCTGCAGGCTACGCAACGGTACAGTAACAGAAACCCAGGAAGGACAAACCAAGTGGTGCTTATGCTTGTGCTTCTTCTGGGAGCGGCGCACCTTCCTGAACCGCTTGAAATTGGGCCCCGTTCCGTCCCACTGCGAACTCGCTCCTATGCCGTACACAGGCTGCGGCCGGTTGAGGTCCACCTTGACAAGGCCCGGCTCGAAGAGAATCTCCGCTTTTGAGTCTGCGCCGGATCCCTCGCGGTCGCCAGCTGGCGTCGCGCCGTTGGCTTGCGTCGCGCGGCTGGGGGATTCCGCCGGAGTTGACGGGGTGGCAACGGAACGGCGAGGGGGAAGCACAACGGGAGGCCTGCACCGAAGAAAAGAGCAAGGATTGAGGGTTCGCATGCAGTGGTATATTTGAGAAACTGAAGTCTCAAAGACCTGCCTGGGTCAGCAAAACAAAGAATCTGGGCCCAATCTCTCCTGGAAAAAGTGCTGGAAAGCAGGTATGGACGGTAAACGCGGAAGATGCCATACATACAACTTGAGGATGAGCCGTTGACAGGCAAAGTGGTCGCGAGACCCCGCTGTGCTGAGGCCATGCGGAACACAAGCCAGGACAAGATACCTGTAACGATTCACGATCCGTAGTAGGTTCGGCCCCCACGCGCAGGGCAAGACCACAGATCCGACGCTTGTCCATACTTATCCTCCCTCCTCGAATCTCCTTTTCAAAAAGCGCACTAGCCCGACCCAGGCAGGGTAAGTGCTGCTGTAATCGTCAAGGCGGCCAGGAAACAAGCTGAAAATCCTACCTGGGCGGTGGTTTTTGCGCTTGCGACGTGCGTATGTGCGGTGTGGAGTTCCAGCCGTCTCCTGGGGCGGTCGACGGCCCCGCCACCTCCTCCCCGGCCTCTGCCATCTCGTCGTCCGTTGTCACGTCCGTTCCTTTGCTGCCCTCGGACGCTGCGCAGGGGTTACAGGTGTCACAACTCTAGGACATTGTTCTTTCTATCAGAGCGGCTGACGCAAATCTAATGAAGGAGAAGCAGGAAAACAGCTCACTAGAGTTGGCAGGTCTCATAAGCAGGCGAAACGAAGACTGAAGGCCAAAGAAGCATACTCTACAGCTTTCAAGTCAGGACTTCGACGGGAAAAGCGGAAGCTTGCATACATTGACGAAACAGCCACGCTTGCGGCTCGCCACGTGCAATTTTTTGGTGCTCAGTTGCAACCGTCAAAATCTCTCTCAAGTTTGAGGCAACAATCTGAACGAGCAGCAATGTCCACGGCGGCTGTCTCACCAGCAGGCTGTGGTACAGTGACGTCAGCCAGTGCCAGCTGTCCCGTCAGGATCGCAAGCATGAGTTTTTGCTCCGTCGCCTGCTGACACTTCTCTGCGTCCGCCGGATCCTCGTCCCCTGCCGCAGCTTTGCTGGCCTTGACGTATAAGCGTTGCTGCAGATGAGAGTATGGAGGATAGCGTATGGTAAGACATTCTGCTCGTCCCAGAATCAAACACGAGGAGTCTGCTTTCGCACGCTCACACAAACCGAAACTTGCTCGCACGTAGAGATGCAACGACTGAGCGGGACGAGTTGCGCATTAGATCCAAAGACTACGCTCAATCCTTCTGGGTTCGCAACCGGCTCCAAAAGCGGGGTAGGTCAAGCTGGCGGCGTCACCAAAGCTCGACGCTCACCACTCGACTCAGTCAGCGTCGTCCGTGGTTTTCGATTCTTTCGACCCAGTTCAGACAGAAGTGCGCCTGCTGTGCCCATTCGAAATTCCAACAAGGAAATGATTCCAATCTGGTCCACGAATCACACCAGGCCCTACTGTACTTACTCGGTGTTTCTTCTCGGACGGCAGAGCTGTCTCCTCGAGCTGCCCGCCAGCTGCGGAGATCATATCCCGAAGGTGCGGGTCATACTGCGATGGCGAGAGTGGAAAAAGGTGAGCGTATCTCCAAAGATATATCGATGTCTAGTACCACAAAGAAGTCTAGTACCACAAAATCAACCACAACGGCACGACTCGCACCCTCCTCTTCTGCAACAATGTCAAGACCTTTCGGCCTGCCGTTCAAGGAAATCAGGAGGTTTCGCATTTTAGAAATCAGCAATCAGCAATGACTGCTACTCGCGCTTTGCTTCACCTTGTACGACACTCTAAATCCGGAAGCTGCTCTGCATAACACCTTGCTCACATTGAGGAAGCACCGCTTGATTACTCCGTGACAAAACTCTTCACGGTTGGCTATGTCAATCCTGCATGGTCTCCCCGCAGATAGAAAAGGGAGTCGCAGAGAGTCCACTGTTCTTTGCAATAGACTGCGGGGTTCCGCTGATCGAGTACTTGAACAGCTCACCGGTGCGGTTGCGGCAAGCAGTACCACAAAGCCGCTCAAAAGGCCTCGCCGCGCCTCAGGAAGGGCGACTTGGTGCGAGGCTGGGGGTGCTCTTGCGCGAGCGACTGTGAAAGTTGGTAAAAAGCTGCGCGCGCGAGAATTATGTGCTCGGTGAATTGGGGCCCGACAAGTGTTCGAATGTACTCGATTTCGAAGGTGCGAAAATCGCCTGATAGGGGATATGCGAGCTGTTGGGCAGGGAGACAGATGCAGTCAATCGCGTAAGGCGCGAGCATTAAGGAGCGAGCTGTTCAGTGTCCGGTTTAATATTCACTTCAAGATCTGCCTTTTCTGATTGTGCTTCAAGATTCTCATTGTCGTAGGACGCTGCTAGGATATCTACGACCAACAACTTTAAGCTGCCCTGGCTGGAAGGCCAAGGTATTCAGAACGACGGGAATTAGCAAGTGATTTTCGTGCAAGTTCGGAATGTTGTTCGCACAGTGAAGTGGGCCCTCTTAAAGTGTTCGGTCCTTTTCATCCTCAACCAAACAACCAATATCAAAGGTTGAGTCCAAGTCCTACTCAAAAGCGGCGCTTCCTCTCCTATTCGGACAGTTCGCCAACCAGGAAAATTGAGCAGGTGAAGCAGCTGAAGCAACAAACGGAAACACACGTAAAGGTCTCCCTGACAAAGGGACACCAGATCGTCCTGACCTCTAAGGAACTTCGGCTCACCTGGACGGGTCTGGTACGGGTTTCGAAGGAGTCTCCCGGGCAGCAAACGCCTGTATCCATTCTAGCGTCACAACAGGCTTGCCGGCGCCAACCGCCTCGTAGAACAGGGGGGAGAGAGCGGTGCCGTCTTCCGCCAACAGGTGAGTACACTGAGGGCTCCAAGTGTCGACCAGAAACGCCCCTGAAAACAAATCAGAACAGTGGATTTCAGGATTGTTGTCGACCAGAACAGCTCAGGTCGACAGGATCCTTATTTCTGGTTCACAAACAGGCTGTCACACGTCTGCTCCAAAGCTCTGACTAAGGGGTGTCCAGAGGGAAAAAGCATCAGACACAGCCTGCGTGCTTCGATTGCAAGAGCACACAAATATCTCATACCCCATTGCTTACTGAGCTACGCGTCCGGCATGCCTCAAACACCCTAAACGAGTAGCTATTACACAAGGTAACTCTCTGCAAGCTGAAGAGTCCTGTCGAAGAGAAGGCAGCCTCACCAATCTGCTTGGCTGCCCTCTCCACAATCTGCGCCTTGGATGTGCTCAGTCCGCAGGGAAGGCACAACACTAGCGGGATGAAGGTCAACCTGCCAAAAGATGAATGGTTCAGAATCGACAGAAAGGGCCGTTTTGCTGTATCACAAGTTCTACCTGAGCTCCAGCTTGACACAGGGGTGTACAACTTGTTTGAATGCTCTTCAGGAAGGATCTGCTAGTGGAGGCTTCTTGAAGTGAAAGCAGTTCCGAAATTGCAAGACGGTTGAAACTCTTCGTCAAGCCCTGGCACTGAGAAGCAGCGGTGCATACCTGAAGGAACAGTGGGTCGAGCCAAACGTGACGATGTCGCCATCCTTGAGGTGCGCTTCAGCGTCCGGCAGGTCCTTGATTGGGTGTGACTCGTGCTGCTTGTTGATGAAGGTCCCAAACTTGGACAAGTCCTTGATCTTAATAAAAGGCCTGGGAATCGCACCCTCCGGTGACAGGACAGTGGGAGAAGGGCCGACGATGATGTCAGCGTGCAAGCGCGAGACGGTCTTGTCGGTGTTGATGGTCACGGTGCAGTCTGCACAGATAGAAGAGACTGGTTGAGTTTGATACGAAATTCACAGCATTTTGTCCTAGACGTTTTGAGAAAGCTGATCTTCAAGCGTAAGTAATTGGTGAATCCCAGTTCCTTACCAAGGGCCAGAAGAGAAGCCACAAGAGAACGTATGGTTCAGAGTCCATGACAAGTGAGACAGCAGATTGTCTCCAAAAAAGGGCCCCTTGCCTTGAGAGCCAGCTTGAGCCTCAAAGAAAGCCCTTTGGTACCTCTATCCCATGCTTCCAGGACTTGAACCTGTGCTGCTTTAGGTTAATCAACACCAAAGTCCCAGACAGCTTCAGATATCTGAACAAACGGCAGCAGTAGACTTCCTGACTTTATGCGGCTGAGGGTTTCTGTTCAATTGAACAATCAAGATGCCTATCCAGAACCAAGCCAACACGATGCACGGCAGGTTTGCCACCAACACAAATCAGCAGGAGGCACTTCCAAAAAAGATGGCTTCGCCAGTTGGTTGCTGTGTTCAGTCTCGTTCAGTTTCTACAAGACAGTGTCAGGCGCTGTGCTTCATACCCAGCTAGCTATCATGAGCCCTCAGTATGCTGGGAAGGTTCTGCCTCTCACCTTTTCTCCCCACCTTATACTCCCCCGGCGCTGTGAAATGATATGTGATAGGGACAGGTGCTGCAAGGCAAAACGTTTTTGCTTTGACAGGCGCAAACAGTTGCTCTAGTCTTTTAACAAACAGAAAACAAGCTTATGCAGCATCTGGCAGCTGCTTGCAAAGAGGGGCGCCAAGCGCTAGCACTTTCATGAAGCTCCATGAGCACACGAGAAGAGCAATGCAAACCCAATGGAAAATATTGGGGGTCCAAAATACCTGGATTAGTTGGGGTTGAGGACAATTGCCAGACCATGGTGCCTCACAAGTTGTAAAACTTTTTGATGCGGCAACGAGAACCGTGAATCGAGAGTATCTGTGCCGCTGCCTGCTGCACCTTTGATCACCAAGCAGCATCTTCAATCAGCATCCCTCAATGCATTTGACATGGTGATGCTTGGTCGAGGATGCCAGTGCCACGGCCAATGGCGCCCTTTTGCTTGAATTCTCCCCTAGCCCTAGGCTCTAGAGCTGGTTGGAATGAAACTTGAAAGCAGACCTTCAATGCTGGCCAGACTTGTTCAAGTTCTTGTTTCAAGAAGTTCCTGAGGCAAATTCTGGAGGCCGCCAAAATGTAATTAATCTCAATTGGCCTGACGGTTTTCCGTCCTCCAAAAGACGTTGTGGCGGGCAACGTCCGAGAGCCGTAACGTCTTGCAGCATTTTGCAGGCGGAGCTACACATCGAGCAATGCGGAGGAAGCACGCCCGGGCGCTCCGGTTCGCCGTCTCTTTAAGAGATTGTCTCCGCGTCTCTGCTCTGAGATTCATCGGCGAATTCAAACTATAAAGTCTTAGCTTCTCTCGATCGTCGAATTTATTTTTACTCGTATCGGACGACGCAAATTCAGTAATGGTTCGATTTGACTGGCGCTCACTGACGGGTAACGACGTAAACTACTTCAACCGTCGGATACAGGAATCGACGACTGGTGCAGCAAACTACAGCACGCCTGGCGGACCATAGGACGGTCCAAACTGTCCAACCGGGACCATCCAGCACTCAAGTGCCGACAAACTCGATTATATAGAAACTTCATCTCAAAATGGTATTGCTTAGGTACGTCGGAGCTTACAATTATCTATTAGGTATGCACATCAAGGTTGAAGATCTGATAGGTAATTGTTCACAAATACCTAGGTACGATACCGTAGTACGGTATCCTACGTACTTGTGTATCCGGATATCCGGCATGCAAACATAATACGTACATATTCTAGGATTGAAGGCTCTATATGTGGAGAACATTGGCCGGTAGGCCAATGTTCCACACCCCTCAAAAATTCTCTTAAGCCTCAGGTTATGGCGAGCCAATCTCTCCACCTCTTAGTTGACGGTCGTGCCAAATCCTTCCGCCAAATTTTGTCAATTGGCTCGAATGCTGATCTCTGGAGTCTACTTTAAGCTGTGTCTTGAATTTTGGACTGTTCACACTTGAACTCGAAGCTGTAAGGGAGGAAGAGGCGAGCGGAATCTGTGAACAGTGTCCAAAGGAAATGGGTTCAGCCAGTATGCAAGGCTAGGGCGGACTATACATAGCTCTAACCCCAGCATCATACCCTTGATTGCTTGATCCGAGTTTGAATATGGCGGGCGCCAAGGTGGGCGCAAAGGCAGAGGCGGTTGTTGACGTGCGGCGGACTTTGAAGTTTATAGGCCGCTTGGCGGTCAGGCTGCAGGCAGATACGGAAGCATCAACAGAGCCCCAGGCTCTGGAGGAAGCGCTTCAGCAAGTGGTGTCAAACCTGCCGGACGGGGTGGTGAGGCAGACGCTTGAGAGTGATTTGGACAGGTTCGGACGGGCGCTTCTGGACAGAGTCGCTTCCTTGCGGAGTGCCAAAGACAAGGGTCCCGTCGAACAGGACGCGGGTCAGCTTGACCTCGATGGGTTAGCTGCAGGAGAGCTGGTCGGCGAAGCTGGTTATCATGCGGCAGTGGATACGTTGCTCAGCAGGTGGGGCGAGGTGCTCGATGAGAGCGTAGGAGACGGCGCCAAGTGGCAAGTGGGGGAGCTTGAAAATTGGCGCGAGCTATCTCTCAAAGTTCTGGCTGCGAGGCCATCGTTGCCCGAGACATTGGCAGCGGCTTATGTCAATGTGGAGATTGCAATCTGGAAGGAAGCAAATGGAGGTGGTGGTCATGACAGCATGGGGGAGGCAAGTGCGAAGGTGGGCATGCAACCTAATGTGCGAGACAAGAATGTTTCGCACATTCTTGATACGACAAGCACAACATGGTGGTTTTCCATCAGTGACTGGACTCCCTGTAAAAGTATGTAGATGAGTGGTTTGAAGAACCATTACCATGCTGCTGGAGGTATCATCAGGTCCACTTCTTTTTTTGCCGTGCTCTGCATCTTCAGCTGCCGGCCTTTTATCTCTCATCTTTTATGTATCTTGTTGTCGCACTCGGAGCCCTCATTATGGAGCGAAAACTGGTCCATTGATATGAAACGAATGATGGTTGATTGACCAAGAGGCTGCTCTTTTGCTTGATAAAGAGGCTGCTCTTTCGCCTTAACTGTGGAACTCCCTTCATCTTGAATGTTTTGGAGACTTGGTTGGCTTTAAACGGGTCAATAAACGAGTCAATTTTCCTCCCCTGCAGATCTCTGCGGCTGAAGCAGTGACGTCCTCCGTTCTTTTCTCCTCAGCCTTTCTCAGTCCTGAGAGCCGCCTCGTCCTCCTCTCACCGCTCGCCACCCTTCTCTCAATCACTATCACATCGCTTGTTAGATCTGCGGCAGAACTGCAAATCACCAGCGCAGCCAAGCGACTCCAGAAGCTCGCCCGCATCCTTGTCACAGTTCACAGCTCCCACTTGAAGCAGTGTGCTCTGCCTCCGGCAGGCGCGTCTAGAACTGGGGCTGTGCTGGTTGTGGGGCTGGTGGTCACCAGGTACCTGTTTCTGACTAGCAGGTTAGAAGGGGAGCTAGGGGACGCAGGTCTAACCAAGCTGCAGCAGACGGCGGCTGAGGCGCAGGCAGGTCTGGCAGCGGGGGAGAGAGGGGCGCTGGTCGAGTTGCTGTGTGAACCAGAGGAATTGGAGGCAGTGCAGAATCTGGACAAGGAGGGGGGGTATGCAGTGCGGGGGGCGCTTTATGAGGCAGCTGTGAGGGTGGTGCCATTTGAGGAGGTGGATGCGACGCTGGGCGGCTCGCTCAGGAGAGTGGAGCTTGCGAGGAAAGCCGTGGCATTGCTCAGGTCAGACAAACCGAGTTGTTTGGTTTGTCTGTTCTTTCCTTTTCTCACATATGCTGATCTACTTCTGAAAGATGCTCTTTTCATAATTTGGTTGGTTCTAGCGCTTTTGGGCTGAAATGTCCATGGAGCGTTCTGATTATTCGACCTGTGAAGGAGATTTGCATAACTTGAAGTTGGTCCTCTTTGGCGTTGAAGACCAGCGGGGATAAGGTCAAACGCGAAATTACACATTCGTGAAAGACTCGAATAGCAATTTGGCTTGCATCGGATACAAAACTGGGAGACAAACCCATGACGAAGATCAGTAATCTAGGAGCGCTTTTCACCTCCAGGCAGAAGTTTTCACCTCTGCTTCAAGTCTGTCAGTCTGACTCCTTCCTGGCACCTCAACCAAGAAAGCCCTGCTGACGCTGAATATCTGGTTCTGTGTCCCCCAGGTCAAACGGCGATCGTTCTAGAGCGTCCGCAATCTTGACAGCTGTCCTTGACGCTGGAGGCCATCTGAAAATTGCGGCTGCATCGAAGGCGCAGCTTGAGCGCCTGAGGGCAGTACTGCCCTCCGAAGGGCTCTTGACCGACCCCCGGGGACTTACGAGTGAGTAGCCAGTGCACTACTATCGAGCTGTCTTCTGGTCAGTTGGACATTCTTTCAAATTTCGACTTCTATTTTGGATCACACGCTTTCGGACAAAGAGTGACACGGGCGGGTTCGACGTTACATTCTCACATCTAGAGGCTATTTCGTTACAGCTTTTGCTTCCTACCTTATTGACAGCCACTTCAAAAAGCAACATTGTGCTCGAAACACACTGTGGTTCGTTTCAGATTGCTAAGTCTGGAGTCAATCTTGTGCAGCCTGGCTCGTCAACTCCGCAAGCGACAGCGCATTTTCTGCCGCCCGCGCTGCCCTTCAATCCGATGGCGATACTGACATTCCGTCAGCGGACCGCCCTTCAGAAGCAGTCCCCCAGGCGAGCCCCGCAAAGGCCGAAGATGAGACCCTGTTCTACATTGACAAGACGGGCAGTGGGGCTGCAACTGATCCTGCGGAGAGTCGACTCATAGCCGCAGTGGAGCAGATTGCGCAAGCGGGCCCGTCAAAGTCGACAACCAGGAGCGGTCGCAAAGGTCCGCGGGCGCAGAACGGAAACAACGCAGGCGACGAAAGCGAGAGGAGTGAGGAGAATGAAGAAAGTGATTTGGACCGGAGCGGTTTGGAAGGGGAGTCGGACGATGAGAAGCGTCCGGCAGAAGAACTAGGGAGGGCGGATTCGGACGAGAGTTCAGAGGACGAGGACGACGATCCGGACGAGGATGAGCGTCCGAGGAAGAAACGGTTGACAGCAGAACTGGTCGAAAAGGCGTCTGCAGAAAAGCATGGGGAGGCCGAACCAGCCGCACAAAGCGAAGGGCCGCAGGCGCACGGGGAATCGGACGGCGAGAAGCGTCCGCAGGAGGAACTAGAAAGGGCGGGTTCGGACGAGGGTTCAGAGGAGGGGGACGACGAGTCGCGCGAGGACAGTGATGCGGACGAGGATGAGCGTCCGAGGAAGAAACTAGTAATGGCGAGAGTCGACGAAAAGGTGGTTGAAGAAAACACGGCGGAGGTCAGACCAGACGCGCAAAGCGAACGCGGGCAGGCGCAAGCTGAAGACGGCGAGGAAGAAAGCGGGGAGGGTGATTCGGACGAGGGGCGCTCTTTAGACGACGACAACCCGTCGGACGGGGATGACTCGTCCGACGATGGGCTAGACGAGAACGCGTTCATTGCACGGATGCCGTTCGGGCCGCTGGATGAAAGTAGCGAGAGCGAGACCGAGGAGGGGCGGAAACGTCAAAAGGAGGAGAAATTGGTGCCGCTGCCGGTGCCTGTAGGGATACCCATACCGGGCCCCAACGACCCTTACTATACGCGCGTCGACGGGAAATCTCCGGCGGCGGAGACCAGACGGAACGACGGAGTCAGCGGCCAAGAGGCGCCGAGCGTGGGGACAAAGAAGAAGGGCTTGAAAAGCGGGGGGGCGGCAGAGGAGAAAAGCGGAGGGACACCGGCAGCCGGCAAAGTGCAGCCCGTAAAAGTTGGGTTGAAGAAGAAGGGTGCCAAGGGGGCGGAAGCGGAAGACGGGATCTCGCCGCTGCACACAAGGAGCGGACGGACTGTGGTGATGTCACCAGGGCCGGGTTCGGTGTCGAAGAAGACGCCGGGGGGTGCGGGAAGAAAGAAAGCGGGGCTGAGCGCGGTTGCGGAACAGGGGGGTGCGGACGAAGCAGGGGATGCCTTGGTGGGGGAACAGAAACCAATAAGGAAGAAGGGGGAGGTGGAGGAAGCGGTAGACGCCGGGGGGGAGGACGAAACCGCCAAAGTCGGCGGTTCTGATGCTGGCGGAACGGAAAGGGAACCGGCAATGGCGCAGAAGGGGGGTGATAGCACAAAGCTCAAAGCGCCCATGCCGTCCTCCGTAAAGAAGGGACAGAAGGGGGATGATGCGATTGCCGCTCAGGAAGAGGGGGCCGAGGATTACGTGTCTCCGCTCCATACGCGGAGCGGAAGGATCGTCGGGCCGCCTAGTACGGTCAAGAAGACGGTCAAGAAAAAGAAAGGGGCGCTGGACGGGGTGCTCGAAGAGGGGAGAGAGAGAGACGTGTCGCCGCTACACACACGTAGCGGGAAAGCAATTGGTATGGTTACCCCGGCCCCTAAAACTGCGGTAAAGAGTAGAGCCGTGGCTACGCCAGTTGCCGGTGCTTCTACTGTGAAGCGCTCAAAGAAGCAGTAAGCTGAGGTTGCGAGGGGTCCATTGTAGATTTACCGATCATGCAAAATCGTGTAGCCTCCTTGACCCAGCAACGGAAATTGCAGGTCTTTCCGTCCTTGTTTCTCGATCTCAAGTTGTGTCTGATTATTTGGACTCCTACGATGCAGGTTGTGTCGTTGCCGTTCATGATGATTGTTTGTGCATGCAACTAATGCACTTGCGAGCATGGCTGTAAACTGCGCTCATGGGTTGCAAATGTTAGGAATGGACGGATCCTTAACTAGCTAAGCCTAGGTTCGGTACTAATCATGGTACCCAGCCACAAAATGCTATTTGAGCGGGCGCAGCTTACAAGAAGAACAAGAAATCTGGCCGCGCTCGATCATGAAGTGTCCGGCCAAAAAAAGTGCACACGCATCCGATCTGGGGCAGTGTGACCTTCGATTGTACAATATCAACCGGCAGCCGCGCGGGACGACAATCTGCAGGGCTTGCATGCGTAGGATACCCGCCGGTGCGGGTACTAATACAGACCGTCTCAAGGATCGATCAAGTACGGCAAGCAGCAGTGTTACATGAATCACACAAACAGCCGAACCCTGTAAAGGCCTGCATCTCATTGCATATACCTGTCGGACAGCTTTTGCAATCAATAGCAGTATACGGACCTGTGCAATGCATGAGGATCAATCTGCGCCAACTGCGCGGCACACACAGATCATCAGCGCGTTCAAAGTCGACGCGCCTATATCATTAGACTTCCGTTCCGAATCGGACACAGTTGAAAAGGCCACGAAGGAGGCTAAGCTCTGCACAAGCTTGTCCTAAAACTTTATGCAGTCGTGCACGACAGTGTCAAATACAGAAGTCAGTGGCCAGAGCTATGTAAGTCATCTGCAGATCCTAATCTCTTGAACCGAGGTCCACACCAATTGTCTACCAGATCTCATAAAGCCGGAAAGCCTTTGAGCATTGAGCGACACAAGGAAACTCAAACGGTGTCCTCTTCCGCAGCCGTGAGCAGTTTGCCTCGGTCCTCTCCCCACTCCGGAATGACCACCAGCAGAGCTGCCACGCAGTAGTGGACCTCAACGCTTGGTTCGTTGCCATACGCCGATCCGATCTTGCCTGGCTCCTGGAAGTTGCTTCCTTGGACACACCAGGTGACGTCATTGTAGTCAACATTGCAAGAGAGCCTGAAGTTGTTTCTGAGGTGGTCAAGCCCACGCTCTTCTTCGTTCTCGTACATTGTTGAGACGTCTTGCACGTCGAGTTGATCAAGCTCGCTGTCGTAGTAGACCTGAACAAACTGGGTCTCCAAGCCGAGCTGCTTTGCGACCGCAAAGATCACAGCGTCCGCTCCTTTCAGCATCATTTCAGGCGCCTTGACAAACACCTCGCTGACGTGCGGGTAACGATGCTGTAGCGAAAGCCCCAGAATGCCCCCATCGTGCATGAAGCTGTCGAGGCTCAATGCTTTGACCAGAGTCTGATACAGGACGGTGTGCTTCAAAACCACGTTGGGATGAGTAAGCGGGCTTTTCCGCGGGCCAGGCAGAGGATCTGCGTACAGGTTGTACGTGAGCGTGACTCGGTAGCCTCCCAGCACTTCTTTCACCTGCAACAGGAAAAGCGGTTAGGTGGTTCCTAGCACGGTATTGCAGCCTTTTCTGTCGTGTTGCCCTCGGTAGAAGATGCGAGCCGCAAGAGCGCGTTACAACTCAAAAAACAGGAGACCTGAGAAGGCGATGCATTTCGAAGTTGGACGAGCAACTTGCAAGGAGGGCTTTCCAACTCTGTAAGCTATCTTCACAGTAGCTATCAATCTTTGAGACAATTCGCGTCACCCTGCAAAGACTGAACCAATTCAAGGGATGCTGTCAGAAATCGAGCCCTGAAAGAAAGGCTTGATTTACCTCGTGCTCGCAATCCGAGTATAAAGCTACCCACTGGATATGATCTTCCGACTTTTCGCTCCAGTCGATGTTCACGTTCTTCTTGCCATGAGATATGCGGAGATTGCCGCCGTTATGAGCGCTTGGCAAGCAGATGATGAGAGAACCGAACATCTGAGGTCCTCGAGGAGTGTCCACGTGCGCCTTGAAGAAGTCCCCAGCCCTGCGAGGAGATTACCAAACAGGTCTGGCACCATCATACATCTGATGAGCAGATTGTACAAATAAACAGCACGGAGTTCATCCAGTATGCGGCTTTCAAAGCAAACGACAGGTTCTTCCCATAACGTTAGGTTGAGCTTCTGCTGAAATGTACAACGATGGTAGGATCCGCAAACTGGAATTCCCTGCACAGAACGTAAAAAGGAGCGACACGGTGGTGACGCCTTTGACAATTCTGAACAAAAACAGGACTCAAAGCTGAGCTTATGATGTCCTTCGCTTCTTAGTGCCTCACCTGTAGACGTTCAGCTTATGCAGCTCTGTTCTGATGCACTTGTCTTCCGTGGTCATGACCTTCTGAATGGCACTAAGGATCCCGTAATCTGACACCTGGAACGAGCAGGTGAAGGCACTCGGATCGAGCTTGAGGGCCTTCCTGCAGAAAGTCAAACAGTGGTACGTGGTTTGAGTGTCCTCCAAAAAAGACACAACTGTTTTCAACATGTTGCAATTTGAAGCTTGACAGGCTAGGGAGTCTATATTCAAGAAGGACGTGGCATGTGAAGTAGTTGTGATGAACATGTTGGGTATCTTCAAGACATCTTGTTGAAGAGATGTACCAGTAGCTTGGATCCAGAACCGGATTCTCTTTGCCAGCTTTTCCAAAGGTCGCTTCTTCACAGGCACTGCAAAGGTCAGCCATCTCCGTGCTCTGGTCACCGCGTACTGGGAAGCTGGAGGCGTGCATAGTGGTGTTTTCGTCTTTGACCTGTATTCGAGTTCAGAGTTTTAAAAGCGATTTCAGCTCTCAGTCGCACCGAAAAGGAATCTGATCTCGGAGCAGTCTTCGATGTCCTCCTTATAGCATCTTCAAAATTTGTTGAAAGAAAGGCACTGGGTTTTTGTTTCAGATATCATGGAAGTTTATAGAAACATAGGTGAGATGCGCTCCACCACACCCTCAAATATCCTACAGAGATTCATTCACATTTGAAGACGCAAGCCAACAGGAGGTCTAAAAGATTTTCCTCACTTTCTCGAAGTGCAGCCGGATCTTGTCATTGTCCTTCACATGGAAGCTTCCCTCACAGAAAAATGTGGCCGAGACGCCTGTTACGCTTTCAGCTTAAGAATCCACGACAGCATCCTCGCTCATCTTGACAAGAGATTTCTCCTCTACCGTACTGGAAGCCATGATGTTCAAGCTTCTTTCGAATAGAAATGTGCAGAGAAGGCGCTGCGGTTTCGAAGCTTTGAAGGCTGCACTGCTTTGTTCAAATGCAAGACTTGCGGTGCTTATGCACTTTGGCAACTCTCGTGTGACTTTAGAGGCGTGTGACTTAAGATGGGCGCCCGGGAGACGGGTGGGGTAAGTAAGGTGGTTAGGGTGGGTTGGGGTGCGGAGCGGGAGATTATTTCGGTTAGGATTTTTAGTTTGTATGCCCCGGTAGCTTGAATGTTAGGTCACACGCCCGTTAGGTCACACGAGAGTTGCCATTATTGCTTATGCCAGCAACTCGTGGCGGGAACTACTTTATGCTTGATCTAGCGCGGCCGCGGAACTTCGCAACATATCTCTCGATTTTATGAAGGATAAGCGTCATGAAGGGTAACAGCAAGACTTAACTAAAAACCTAGACCAATAGTTTACATGCTCCGCACCTGTACCCATGCCTGTACCCATCCTACCCCCCTAACCAACCCCACCCGTCCCAGTTACCCTTCATGGCTCTTTACCTTCATAAATTCGATATCAGAATTTTCGCAACCCGGACCGACCGGCGACGCGCGCATCGAGTTCAGCGCGGCCGCGCCGCGCCGCCTCGATCGTCACATGCATACGTGATGTCTCATACCAACTGGCATGAGTAGCACATGAAGGATTGCGGCTTTCCTTGCTGACTGGGACGAAGTAGGCCAGACTAGGTAATTCTTTTGTTCATCGAAGCTTACCGTCACCCAAACTTCCGTTGCATTCGGTTTGTTTGCGCGCAAAAGTTCAGGACCTGACGTCAACAAATGCTGCCTGCGCTAGCAGAGGTCTTTTCTCCTCGTAACCATCTCGAAAGAGGCCACTTCATCGAGCTTCAATTGAGCAAACCTTGGGCGCCTGGCTGTGATCCTACTCTCAGCAAACCAGATCTGGATCGTTGAACAAAAGAGTCACGCTGAACTTCTGCACAACGGGCAGCTCTTCTCAGAGCGCACAAAGCATCTGAAAGGGAGGACTTTCTAGTCAAAAATCAGTCTTGCCGCAAGCGTGCGCGCCGATCCTCCACTAGGATTCCTCCGCCATACCATACCGCATGAAATTCACGGAGCTTGACCAGGCGAGCTTCTGGCAGATCCTGCAGCTAACGCAAGCTCAGGGCAAGTACGTCCTGGAAACATTCAAGGCTAAAACAGACGCATTCATGGATCGCTTTGAGGATGCCGTTCTGGTCACCGTCAATAGGGTTCTCGAGTTTGCGGCTCCCATTGCTGTGTTCCTCTGGCTGTTCTTCACGTTCCCTGCTGTTGCCACGTGGCGCTTCCTGAAGTGGCTGTTTACTCTACCTTGGGACATGAACAACCGGGTGGTGCTTGTACTGGGGGCGTCTTCCGGCATCGGGGCAGTAAGTGGATTGAGCCTTCCTTTCCGGCATCGATTGAAAATCCCCGTCTGGTTTGAGGCCCCTTTGGCGAGTTGGATGACATGGCTGATACAACCCCTCTTGAAACCATTGCTCATGACTTGTAGTCTGGATCCCAGGCTTTTTTGAATGCTTCAATCCTTATTGGTTGATCGATATGTTTCAAATTTTCACGAAGCAAAGTGCCTTCTGAAAGGATTATTAAACAGCTAGGATTTTAATCAGCAACTTCCACTCGCATTCAACGCCTTTCCACATACCCCTCTGTCTTAATTGCTTCTGTCGGATTTGTTCGAGCATAGTCACGCCTTCGAAGCTGCAACCCGTCGTAGACACAAAGGATGTGGAAACACCAGAGCGCGATCTAGGTGGCTTCAAGCTGTTTTTCCTGCAGACCATCAGCTCACTTATGAACAAAGACCAAGGTTCGATGCTTAGATGTGCCTCCTAAGCTCCCTTGAGGGTCCCCAAGGTATTGTTCCAGGGGCATTCTGTGGTGGAAGTAGCTAACGGGCCACGAAATAAGCAACCTGTTCCATCTAGCCTTTTCATCTCTGTCATTCTGGGCCCGTTGCAGTTCTTGGCTTACGAGTACGCGAAGCTCGGAGCGCGCCTCTCCATTGTAGCAAGACGGGAGGAGAAGCTGGAGGACGTTGCAGAACGATGCAGGTTGGCCTCAGACGTCATCAGAACCTTCGAATTCTTCTTCATTCGTCCGGATTCTCACCTCGAACCGTTTTTTCTGTCTGAGATGCGAACCTGTACCCTGATCCTGCGAAGAAATTGGAAACGAAAGTTTCTAATGACAGGTCTGGTTGTCCTATTCTCCGGGAAGAGCAAAGCTGAAACCCTTTCCAGGCTACACACACTGGCAGTCTGTTCAGGGCCTGAACTCTGATTCGCCCTCTGTCTACGAAGCCCTTCTCAAACTCTCAGCTTTTCTGAATTCTGGCGAGATGATGCGTTGTTTTACGAGCTGGATAGCTGGTTTGGTAATTCAGTAAGATCTGTCTTTCACGCTCTGTCACGGCAACGTCCGTTCAGCTTATGAGCTACCATGTCGAATGAATAGCAGCGAGGTCTGTAGCTCGTTCAAAGATAGTGGGGTCCGCTAAGCAGTCGTACCTGCAGGGTCAGTAAGTGATTCGTAGCGAGCGTAAGCTTCGAATAAGTTGATTCAGTTCTTCTCCTCTACCTCGTTTTACGCCCTCCTTGAACAAGCTGAAGCCTCCGCATCTCCAGGTGTTTCCATGACGTGCACGCCCTCTGTCCGCGTGCATCATCTCCGCCTTTAGCGTCTCGATTTTGGGAAGCGCTGCAAGACTTCCAAATCTGTTGCAGGCGACTTGGTTCTCCTGACGTCCTGGTCGTACAAGCTGACGTCAGCCAGGAGGAAGGGTGCAAGCAGGCAGTGGACACGACCCTTCGGCACTTCCGCAGACGTGAGATCAGAATCCTCTGGTTTTTGGCTCTCCTTTCTCGACGTGCGGAATAGCGTCTCCGTGCACTGTAGACATTCGCTGTTGAAAATCTTCTTTCACGGTTCGTCACATATGATGATAGGACCGTGTCGGTTCCCGCTCTCAGATGCGGCCGGCTCAAAGACCACTGTTGGATTCTCTAAAAGAGGCTTCAGCGAATGCTGACCACGCAAACCGCCAATATGACCGAACGTCTGTGACGAGATGTCATTCAAGTAGGGTAAAACATACCGTCAAGTGAGCTTAGAAAGCAACGGGATCGCGCAGTTTGGAAACGTCGGTCTGCGTCTTGGTCGTTGCAAACCGTTTGAAAGCGTCGTAAATGACGGTCTCCGTTCAAGTAAAAAGTCTGTAATTCCAGCACTCTTCATTACTTATTTCGATATGACCTAAACAGCGCTTGGAGGTACTTGTTCTTGACGACGCTCTGGTGCCATCTGGTTTACCGCCAGAAACTTGCGCGTCGGGAAGTTTCTTCCGTTGAGTCTCTTCGTTCATCACTTACAAGGAAAAGCGACTTGAAGAACGTGGATAGTAGTCTTTTGTCTTGAATGGTGCGCAGTCTGCAAGTAACTTCTGCTAATTGTGCAGTCGACGCGCTGGTTCTCGCCGCGGCAGTGGGCCACATTTACTACTTCGAAGAGGCGGAGGACACCAGAGGATTCCGCCAAATCATGGTGAGCTTCTGAAACTTATTGCCCCTTCAATCCATGGGACATCTCTTGGCCGCGAGGTAATTGGCGCCTTCAGTCTTGAGGGACATTATCATGCGGAGGGGCTGACGGTTTGCAAGAGTTCATGGGTCTGAGATCTTCAGGCACCTTTGACCAGATTGCTGTAAAAGATTGTTCACGTAACGGGACACGTGGACCTTTATTCCTTTCGCGAACCTAGCGAGCAAGAATTGATCTCAATCGTGCGCGCCTCGATCCACTTTGGTGCGGCCAAGACCACCAAGTTCGTTGTCCTGCTTCGAAAGGTACCGAAATGACCGACCCTCCGAATTCACTCTGCGCAATTCTCTGCACGAAAGTGCTGAGAAGTCTCCAATGTCACCGCGCGCGGCACTGACCCCTTGCTGACGCGGCCAGGACGTCAACTTCTGGAGCTACGTGTACACGACCAAGTTCGCGCTGCCGGCGCTGCTCGAGAGCCAGGGCCAGATCGTGGCCGTTGACTCCTGCACCGCCTTCATCAACCTGCCCGCCTTCAGCCTGTACAACGTGAGGAACAACTTCCGTTTCTCGAACTGTCGTCGCCCTTGGTTCCGCTGTTTTCAGGGCACTAGTACTCCTGGTTATCAAAAATGGAAGGGAAACAGTCGCGGGTTCCATAATTAACTGATGTTCGCATTTTGACGCTTCAGCCATCCCCCTTCAACTGGAGTCGTCACCTAGAGCTCCATCCCACTGATTTGGCGCACGGCGTCAAAATTGGCGGTGCTTCAGCCCTTCACGTTTTCGTCCAGACCACCTGTTCTTGCAGATTTTGAGGGCGTTTTCGATTCTTCCGTGACCCTTCAAGACTGACGGGTGTTGAGTTTCTGCCGTCTAAGTTGTTTTGCAATATATCCGTCCCGTTCAAGTTTCTTACGGAGGCGATGTTGCAACCTAGAGCAGCTAGTGAAACAAAAACGAGTACACGGAGCCGTTGTTTCTCCACTGGTAAGAAAAGTGAGAAGCACTCCTCGAGCAAGTCAGAGAACGGGGAAACTTACTTCGACGCGACCGGAATCCGTTGTTCCACTGTTCTGGTGCTTCCAAGGCAATCGATGCTTCTCCGGTTCCCAGGGATGGTTGTATCTGAAACAGGCTACGGACCTGCTTCTCCATCGTAAGAAAAGTAGAGAAGGTTGGAAGATTGCTTCGGCCCCAGAACGCATTCCGCAGTTCCGCCGTTCCGGTGCAGGCGTCCAAGGCGGCGGTGACGCAGTTCTTCGAGACGCTGCGCGTGGAGCTGGGCGACTGCGTGCCCATCACGGTGCTCTTCCCCGGGGTGGTCAAGACGGAGCTCACCGACGGCAAGGTCATCCTGCCGACCGGCGAGGTCGCCTCCCCGCTCGAGGGTGCCGAGCTGCGCAAGGTGACGTCACTCTTACGCGCGCACCCTTCCCCCATGCCCCGCTATTTGATTCGCCGCACCCGGGTCGTCGGGGCCCCTGACGTGCGGCGTGAGGTGAGAGTGTGGGGGAACGTGCTTGAAAACGGAACGTTTGTGGGTGCTGGTCTTCTGCGGATTCTAAACTTGTTTCGGTAGCTTCACGAGGTTCTGAGAATTGGAGACGTCACGAAAGTTCCAGTGGTGACTACAGTAGCTTGAACGCTAAGCCGAAGAGATGAACGGCTGTCAAGGGCGGCGGTCATTGTGGCGGCAGCTTCGAACCTGCCGTGAACGGATCATCGGTTCTCATTTCAAAGAAAGAGAATTCAATCGGCCGTGAACGGATCATGGTAGGGCAGAAACATCTTGGCTATTGTTTGCAAATTAATGGCCGTCCAGAGTAAAGTAGACTTGACTGTTGTATGGAGACTTTAGCTTCCCTTGCGACCCACTTGAAACTGCCCTGGAATATCGATTGATGTCTGATGTTTGCGACTCGGATTAAAATGCTGATCACGTGCTGACGGACGAACTTGAAATTAGAATCTGCATTTTCTTATTTGACTACTGCTCACAGACTTCGATCCCTCTCTTTGACTCACCCTCGCCCGTCTTCTCTTCGCAGAAAGGCGGCTTCGGCCTGGCGCCCGTCATCCCCGCGCCCTACTTCGCCAAGCGTGCCGTCAAGGCCGCCCGCTATCGACGTCAGCGTGCCGTCATCCCGTCGTGGTACAGCATGGCGCTCTACCTGCAAGTCTTCCAGCCGGAGGTCCTGCTGACGGTTCTCGGTTTTCTCTACCGGGGGCGGCCGTCCGTGGCCAAGATCGCAATGGAGGCCCTCGGGGGAGGGGTGAAGCACCCGGGGGGCAAGGAGTTCAAGGAGGCGGGATACAGGAAGGGCGGGTGAAATGGTCGGGAGCACTAATTGCGGGTGCTTTCGTATGAAGGTGAATGCATGTGAAGCTGGCAAAAGGATGGCGTTCGCGTGTCTCAGACAGGACGTGACAAGGGAAGGAGATTGTCTTGAGACGTCGATTGATCAAGCTAGCCCTCTGTAGCATGTGCAAGGTGTACAGCAGTAAGAGGCAGGCACAAATTATGGGACAATCAACTTTATGCATGCATAATAACGTTTTGTGAGACAATTAAGGGGTTCGAGCAAGCTTTGGATGTCGTGAACTGAGATTTGCACAACGCCAATTAGCCAGCAAGGACCTAAAAAGCAGGCAAGGAAAGCTACGAGCATGCAAATGTGGTCAAATTCAAAGGGCTTCTCAATTACGAAAGTCTGCCAACATTCCGAACAATTACACTCTACTTAATTGGGTCGCAAGCTGCTGCATGCAAGATTAGCATGTAGTCGTGGTTGGTGGAAGTTGTTGAATTGGAAATTTGACATACACTTCTCAATGTTGAACCATGAACCGAGTGCAGCTATGCAATGAATGACTGTAAAAAGGTATCAAGTAGATGCACATACCAACATGATTAGAGCCTGCGCATGGAAGTCTCTATAAAGCAGGCCTTCACAAGGTATTGGTGGACACCTTACCTTAATCACGCTGAACATGGTCAGACGCGCGATACTACTCACTCGCCAATTGTAGGGAATTCGAACGAGCATCACATGCCAGAAACTGCGAAAGGTTTCTGGGAGGCCATGCCAGGCAATGATAGTTCACTGCTGCTCCATAATGGCAGGCCGGCGGAGTCGGATATCATATATGTCATTAATACAATCTAAATGTTTTGGATACCTAAATGCTCACGTGCATGATTCAATCATGCTCATGCGAAGTTCGTATATATGTATTTTGCGCGTCAAAGCGCACGCCGGGTCAGTGACTAGGAGAATTGGCCGGCCAAGGATGCCCAGCCACGGACCATTGATTACTTGATCGACGAGATTCATGACGTGTTGCCTGAAATTGAATGCTCTGATTGAATGCAGAGCATTCATCAAGCTTAGCCGCTGGAATTCATAGGCCGCCTCTGGCATAACATTGAAGTACGTTTGACTGCGTAGCCTGATTTGCAGGCTGTGCGTTAAGCAGATTGTTGAGAAAGCCCACTGCTAGTAAGACGAGACACGGTTCAAGTTATCATTCCATCTGCAAGTCTCAATTCGAACATGGGGGCCATCGAAGGAAATTGCTGACCTAGCAGTCCGTTTTTCTAGCACCTAGAGCGGTCCTGCCAACTTTCTAACGTTTACCTGTATTGAATGGCCGAGCCTGCCTCAAGATCTGAGTTGTTTCAAAAAGCTCTTCCAACTATCCAAACTGATGGCGCCCAGACAACACTGATATTCTAAAACTGCTTCAGCCTATTAGTACATAGTAATATAGTAAATGTCAAGCAAACAAGAATCTACACGAGGCCTTATTCCTTCAAATCAGTACCCTTTCACTGGCCGTATGAGCTGCCCAGGGATTTAAGGTAAAACTAAGTTGCGGTCTAGGAGGCAGCAATAACCCGCAACACAGAGACAGCTCCCCAAGCTTAATGCCGTCTTACCATTGACAGCTTTCGTCAGGAAAGTCGTGCCTGACGCACTACATAGCCGCACTATCCTTGCATCTCCTTTTTCTCATGTTTGCCCAATTGCCACCTGATTTCAATGTCCACCTGATTCCTATTTCTTATGCCGCCTACAAGTCAAATATATGCAGATAACCAACATCTCAACTTGCATTGGAGCAATTTGCAGCCTCCGCCCATCATTGCTTGATGACCCGGACATCAAGAGTGCCGCCTTCTCACTTCCGTTTCTTTGACCCACCCTTCTGACTCCCCGCCCTTGCTAGTTCCTCATTCTCTGCTGCTTCCTCTTTCAGTGCTTCCTGCACTTTCCGAGCCTTCTCTTCTTCGTTCATCGCTCTTCTTGACAGCACGAAAAGCGCCATGAGGGCAAGTGCTGCGTGCACATCAGAGATGATCTTGTAGTAAAACAGCGCGCCCGGGATGATTCCCAGGAAGAGCAGAAAGATCTGAACCTTGCGGTAATCCATTAATTTGAGCCAAAGTAGATCTCAAAAGTGTATGCTAGGAGGGCAGTTCAGCAAAGCGCTAGCTGTGAATCAGCTGTATTGAGTCATCTTGCTGTACACGAAAGGTTGCAACCAAAGAGCGCAAGCATGTGCGTATTGAGGCAGCCAACTGTTGAAGAGGACAACGCAAGCTACCCTGTTGATGCAACGACTTCGCGGATGTACCTACGTGGTCTGTTGACATCATGATCAGGTGCTGCTGCAAATCGCAATGCTCGCTACGAAGCTAGCCAGCACAAACGCTAGCTAGCTGGCTGTACCTAGCTCAGCTGGCTGTACCTAGCTCAGCTGGCTCCAGCATGACGCCGCAAAGTGTGAACACCTCCGACGGTACAGTCTGAACTTGCCGGCTTTTGCAATCAAGATTTTGAAGGAAAGTTCACGAATTCATAAAACGGCAGGACCAACGGCGCCCGGCAGCTATTTCACACCTCGCTACGAATGGGTCTGAAGGGAAAGAAATTTGAAAAGCTTGAAGCTGGCCCGCGGCCAGGTTTGCAGAATTTGCACTTCAATCTAGGCAGCCAAAAGAGTGCAATCGCATGGCGCTCTCCATCAGCAAAAGCCTGGTCCACTCTCCATTGCTTGCTCCCGTCCAGTTCCCCAGCAAGCAAGGCAGCCAAGAACGCCCCGTCAGCGATGCTGCATTCACGCGCCCATCTCGCAGGAATAGGAAATGCAATTGCTGTCAAGCAAAGCCTACAGAGCAAGATTGGTTCTCACTTGAACCTTTCTTGGGCAGCCTCTCGCGGCTGCAGGTAAGTGGGGCTTTGGTTTCTTTGCCCCATGCAAGTCCCATGCAAGGTGTGCCTCTGAATGAGGGCCAGCGTGTCAAACGCCACTCAACGCTTTTGCAGAGTGGTTCCAGCACAAAAGTATTCCAGTCTAGTTGGCCTGCTGTCCACAGCTGCTCGCTTCGCTTCTGAGCTGGCAAAACCACTATTCTGCATTTACCCCTTGATTTACATTCTGACAGATTTACTTAGTACCTCTCCTGAATGGTGATGACACATCGTGTGGGCTTTCAACTCTGTGCCCCTCTTAGCTTCTCAGATAGACGTCATACAATTCTTGGAGTCTTATGCTGGTTCTAGACAAAGGCAGCCACCGATGTCATACCAACATCAGCTTTCATCTTCTGCCAGGCGCCCTTGACGAGCCCACGTAGATTTTCCCCAGATGCCAGCAAACATCAAAGCAGGCAGGCAGCCGCACGGGCGAGCAGCAGTGCCAAGGTCAGCACAAGTGGCAGTAGTGGAAGCGCAGCTCCCCAGAGCTTGCAGGAGCAGAAAGCGGCAATACTCAAGGTGGTGGCAAACACAAACAGGGGCAAAGTGAGGGGGCTGCCAATCTCGTTCAGGGGCAATTAAGTGGAAAGATTGAAGTGTCCTGTTTGTTGACTACCTGCTTTTAAATATGTTTGTGTGAATCATCCATCAAGAAAGGCAGCCGTTTGAAACCAGTGCTTCTGTGGACCATTTTGATCAGCAGGAGTGCGTTTGCGCTTGCGCTCCTTTCCAAATAGATGAGCAGCACTATCACCGTAGATTGGTTCACCGACTTCCTCTTACGTCTGCCTTCTCTTAGATGAGCTGTCACACATGTTGAAAACATAGTCAAACAAAAGCCAACAAAAAACATTTGGCCTTGCAGAACACCACCGCGTGGCAGCGGAGGCAGATCCTCGACCTTATAGAGGTACGACTTCCTCAAACGCTGAGTTCGTTAGAAACTTTCTTAGCCCCAAACCGAGAAACTTCAGTTTCATGATCCCCCTGTCCTTGTATAAACAGCAACAGCAGTTCCTCGCAGGCCTGCCGATTCAATTCCTTGAAATCGTCCTTGCCCGGAGGTAAGTCAATGGAGCCTCGCACAGGCTTTCTAGTGAGGCAGCTCTGCCCTCTGTGCTCAGACTTAGCACTTACAGCTTCTGAATTATGTCGAGCCTTCAGCGTGCTGGGTGCGAGAACAGGGCTGGATTCATGAGTCTTTCCTGTGACTATCCGATCGCTCTTTGTGTCTTGCAGAGCGTCGAGCCTCAAAACCCAACTCCAGACCCGATCAGGTCTCCCCTCATCTCTGGCACGTGGTCCTTACTCTACACTGCGTCGACAAAAGGTGACCCCGCTGCTCATGATAGAGTGCACTTGTTCCCCATATGTTGATTCGTACTTCTAATTGTATTGCTTCTTCGAATGCTACCGAGTGGATGCGCTCGATACTCGTCCCTTTCTGAGCGATGACTTGACGCTAAATGGAGACCAATCTTTTAGAGCTTCGACCTGCACAAAGGCCAGCTCTATTACAAGAGCGTTGGTCCTTGAAAGCCAATTGCGGAATCGTCTCTTAGTCTCTTTCTGGCGGGTACGTTGTCTCTCAAAGTTAACACGTAGGCGGATTCTTCGGAAGGTACCTCATCGGCGGTTCTCCTGTTGTACTCGCATCCGCGTTGATAGATGATAATATGCCATAAGTAGAAGTAAAGAATGTGCTAACTGCCGTCGGAATCTCTTTTCTCGTGCGAGGAGTTCAAAGGAGCGGTCATTAGACAAAGGCTATTACGGAAAAATAACAATTTAAAACGCTCCATGTGAGACTTGACTTCATCAAGAACTTGAATCTCGAAAGCCGTGGTTCTGTAGGCTCTTGATTTTGAACCGCATCCAAGAGCGGATCTAAGATCAACAACAGGACGTACTATCATGACATTCTGTGCCGTACATTTCTGCTCCATCCTTGCAGAGGAGTTCACATATGCGGGTACCGAAGAGGGTCCGTTTCTTGCGCGCGTAAAACCGGCGGCGTTCGGGCAGGTGCGGTCCAAAGGCAGCACGCAGATCATCCAATCAGATACGGGACACGTGGACAACATTGCTGAGTTCTCCGTTTTCGGCAAACCCGGTGAGCGCGTAACAGCGTTCGCGGGTTCCGTGCTCAAAAGATGGCCGGTGGTTCGAGATGTACTGGCGTAGGTTATGATTGATATTCGTGGAGTCGTTTGAAGGGTTTGCATCGCAGCTCGTGGCAAGTTTCCGCTCGAACGAGACTGGCTTTTTCCAAGTCAATTCAATGTGACCGGCTGGAACACACAAGGTTTTCGAACCCCACGTTGGTTTCTGCTAGGAGCTCACTCTTTCCGCGACCACTCGAGATTGAACGGTAGAGCTCTGTAACGGATTCTGCACTGTTTCTACGACGAAATAGAATATACATGACTTCAGATGCAAAAATCCCTAGAGACAGTAAGAAACGAACTCCACTCGTCCGGAAGAACGAAAGCATCGAGCAAAGCCAACTTACCAAAACGATCTAGTCGCAAACCCTCCAACGAACAAACTTCCTAATCGAGCCCCCCCTCTCCTCCAAGTTTCGCAAAAGCCTCAAACAAGAAAAAGCCCTACACAAGCCTCGCTTTCCTCGAGGTCCTGCAAACCCCGCCAACAAGCCACCCCCCCTGACCAAGCCCGTCTTCCCATCCAGGTTCGCTGACCATCACCGGTAGTTTTGTCCCGGCCGCGCCTCTTCCGGACCGGGGAGCCGTCCGAATTGACGTCCGCTTCGAAAGCTTCAGACTCAAACTGGGCTGGATAAGTCTCCGGGTGCCCCTCGGGTGGGTTAATCCAACCGGGTGAGTGGCCCGGTTTTCGAAACCAGTTTTTTGGACAACCGATTTATGGTTTTGAATGTTCTACGCTCAAGCTGGGCTGGCTACATCTCCGGGTGCCCCTCCGGTGGGATGAATTGACCGGGTGAGTGGCTCGGTTTTCCAAACCATTTTTGCGCATATTGCTTCAAACCTGGGTGAGATTTCGAACGTTCGACGCTTAAGCTGATTAGCTCGAACCGGAGGTCTCCCTCAGGTGGATCAACTCGACCGGGTGAATGGCCCGATTTGGAAACCAGTTTTTGGCATGTTGCTTCAAACCTGGTTAAGATTCTGAACGTTCTATGCTTAAGCTGGTTTAGCTCAATCCGGAGGTGCCGCACGGGTGAATTGATTCGGCCCCGGTTTTTCATACCGGTATCTCGTGTCAAACTTGATCACTAACGAAGCTATGCCTGCACAGTGCGCACCATGTCGCACCACTTTTTAGAACACATGGCGCAGAGAAGGCGGCTCAACTGATGGCGCAGAGTTCGTTAAGCGGTATCAGATTCAACTTGAACACTGTACGCTTCCTCAGGCATGCTTTTCCTGTGAGAACGTCATATTCCCGCTTTTGATCCGTCGGTTCGGCCGATTGCCTGATGCGGGGCCCTCGCGGTCGAATGATTCTTGGAGGCGCGAACGATGTGAAACATCGTCAATAGCCGTTATCTTCAAAGCAGAATGTGGACCCGTTATCACATCAGGAATATTGTAGCACCCCTTTGTTCCGCTCCCCCCTCTGAAGTTTTCAACAAAGAGAATCGAAAAATGAAACCGAGAAAGATAGGCGGAAGCACCGGCAGAAGAATGCGATTCTCCGCGTTTAAGAAAAGCATGGGGCACGTTGGACACATCCTCTTCTCGACAAAGTCGCTTGTTGTAGAAAGTCCTGAAATAGGATTCTATCTATTATCACCGACGCCGTGACACTCATCAGTGGACAAATGAAGTCCTCAAGGCGACCTATTTGTCAGTTGGAGAACTGTCAAATCTGTTGCCCCGGGCATTCCTCTTTGCTAGATTCTTGAATCTCTTGTTACGGAGATCTGTATGCGTCTGATGATGTGTGATATTCTGTTTGGAAGGGCCGCGAAACCTTGTCCACTCAACCTCTTGCGCCCGATCGATTTCACCGGCCATCAAGCAGCGGGTAGAGACACATCTCCTAAACACGTCAAGTAATTGTGCTCGACGCCAAGCGCTTTCGTCTTACAATAAGAGGCCCCCGCCAAGCATTCCCTCGCAAATCCTTCTTCCAAATATGGTTTAAACCCATGCCGTTATTTTGCAGGTGGATTGACACCACATACTTGGACTCCGAGCTCCGGATAGGAAGGGGCGATAAGGGCTCCGTTTTCGTGACTGTACGGCGAAAGTGAGTCCTTGGGCTAGTGCTAAATGTGTTGGCCTGTCGTTTAAGCTCAGGGCCTCGACCTGAATAGTATAAGTTAGGTCTGTCTCATAGTTCGTTGACGTGCAGAGTGTGCGTGGCTGAGGTTCACTAGTTGGTCACGGTTGCTAAAACAGACTGTGTTGTTGGCTAGCCTGGGCGTTGCGTGCAGAACTGCGTTGGACAGTCGTGTTTGTTCTTACAGAATGGCAAATCTTAGTTTGTTTGTACATAGATGGATCACGACTTTTTGCAATTGTAGCACAGGAACGATCCAGCAGCTGGCCCTAAGGTTCGGCTGTAGCCAACTCCACGCTTTCCTTTTGACAACGTCACTGCTTTTTGTGGACGAAGTGAGTCTGGGTCGCTCCATCGGGTGAATCGGATTTGGGGCAGATTCATACTTCTACACACATATCTTCTTTAATTTACGGTTATCAAAGTTAAGTTTCAAGATGGCCCTAGAAAGATTGGATAATTTGATTGTCGGGCAGAACACGGCCGCCGCCCCGAATGATGTACTCATATTAAGCTACATGTGCTTTGGCTTGCGGGCTTCTAGTGTGACGATAGGGTATGTATGTACGCACCAGTGACATGCTGGCACCGGCCCGTGCCTACCTGACCTATCGACGGTTCGAACGCATTCTTCATGCGAAAGTTCGACTTGGCAATCAGGTTGCATTCATGAGCTGCCGTACTTAAGTTATTTTACGATTGACATGTGGCCGACGAGATCAGTCATGAGTGCTTGAAAGTGATCGGACGCGTGATCTCGTGGATGGTCTACACATCATCGGGTGCAGTGCACCGTCCCTTAAATGGACTGCGGCTTGCAATCAGTATATGCATCTGGATTGGATTCCTTGCAAGGTTGCGGATCGATCATTCCTACCAGCCTAAGATTATTAAGATTGTTGAATCGTAAAGGCGGCCCCGGGCAGGGGACAGGGCGCCCCGCATTTTGCACTGGCAGATAGCAAAAAGGCCTGCGATAATCTAGTGGATGTCTGTTGCGATTTGAACTCCTCCAGGCCAATCAACGACTAGATGACCAGATGCCGGCCTGCCATGCCAATCGTTTTGCAAGTCTCACGGACTGAGCAGCCGGACAGCCTCAAACTGCATGAGCCATTGCCCCCATGTTTCAATTCCTTCCGTGTTCTGAAACCAGGTTGGATCACTAACTTGCCATAACCTGGATGCACTTGATATCCTTGCACTTGTCCTCCTCGTTTTCCAACACACTTCTCATTATGTAGATTATCTCAGACTGCTGCAACAGCAGAATACACAAAATGGCAGAGAGTGTGCTGACTGACGAACCGCATGCCATGACAAACGAAGATTCCATCAGGCACAGACGTGGCAGTCTATCTGGCAAGTCCATCTAGAAGTCCGGCTTATATATACAGTTGACCCGACAACCGAGTGCAAGCTTGGCTTTCCACGTCAGCCCTGCCTCCCGCAGTCAATTGACCAAACACCGCAGCCCCAAGTATGAGCTTGCTCGACTACCCTACCGATTATGGTAGCCGGCTCCCTGCATCACAAGCAAGTTTGGGAGTCATGTACAAGAACTTACAGTATAAGAAGCTGACTGAGAGGGTGAAGCAAAGCCCAGAAGCTTCCTGTGACTCATTACGTTTTGGCGACCAGACACCGCATGCATGGCCATGTTGGTCGCCGAGGCAGAACTTCGAGATGCAATTCAATGTGTACAACGATTGAAATGCAAAAAAAATACATAAGATGTGCGAAGCCACAGCTTTGATGAACGAGGAACGCACCGGTCATGAGTAAGTGCTCCCCTCTGGCGGCTGCTGCAGCTTCCGATTCTGCGGCTGCGCCATTTCCCGCCGGAGGTCGGTGAGGATCTTCTCCATGTTGTACGAGCGGTCCCAGTTCGCTAGGGTGCTAAAGTGTCGGGGGTCTACCTGCGTGACACGTGAGAGCAAGGAGATTCATATCTGCTTATGAGAACTGAACTTGCTCATCAGACTGTGCTGTGCATAATTGGGTCACGCTTCTTGGACGTCCAAGGCCTTCCCAAATACCGACAATGACCTCATAGTAGCTGCTCCAACAAGCTCCTTGTCCTATCCTTAGAAAAGCCGGTAAAAAACTCATTGGTTGCGAAGTCGGACGCAAATGTGCGAAAACAAAGAAAAGTGGGTCTCGAGATTCAGACTAAGCCATTGATCCTCTGCCAAGCAGCTTGCGCCCAAAAGTTGCATGTACTGGAAGTGTACTCGTCTGAACTTGCAAAACACAGCCGATTGATTGAAGCCAGCACTACTGCAGATAGAGACGGAATCACTCCTGACTTTCAAATTCTGGCTTGCTACAACAAGACTTGCAACTTTCCTTCGAAGTACCCTTGTCCAACAATCGACTTGTAAACATTAGGATAAATTCTTTCCCATCCACCATCACTGCGGAACAACATGACAGCCAACATCTCTGGCACTGCCCAAGATCTCAAAGCTGGAGCCACATAATACATAGAACCATACGGTATGGAATCTGTACATAAACGAGAAGACAGCGAACCCAAGCAAGCCCTTCGCGAAGGTCGAACCTATTCTTACTGTGCAATAGGGAGCGGCGGTGCAGAGATTAACAGTAGGGGTGCCTCAAGGGCCGAACTCAAGCTGCAAATGCCAGGTGTCAGCGACTCAATGGTGCAAAGGTTCACGACAGCCCACCGCAGGGTCCTGCTTACCTTCCCGTTCTCCTGATTCACGCACGACATGTTGATTCGGCTCTGGAACCGAACAAGGGGCGGGGCCTGGGGATAATCTTTATCGCAGTAAAGCTTCACCGAATAGATCCGGTTCTCATGCGTGGTCTGCACAGCAGCACCTTCCGGTGAGTGACAACAACCACAGCCAGCAGAAAACGCTGTCACAATCTGAAACGCTCACCACTCCGTCCTCTGCCCTCACAACCGACAAGTTGATTCGACTAACGAACTTGACCCGGGGGGGAGCCTCGGGATAGTCTTTATCGCAATAAAGCTTAAGGGAGTAGATCCGCCCCTCGTGTGCTGTCTGCAAGGGGAGGAGGGTGACAACGGGGCGAAGGATCAAAGCACCGCCGTTGAAATAAAGCTCCTTTGTTCAACAAAGGAACAAACCAAGAAGCTTGTCAAGACTCACGAGGGATTTGTTTTCCTCCCCTTTTTTCAATTGTTGCACACGTTTGACTGAGAAGGCAGTCCTCTAAAACGCAGTGCAGAGGGGTCAGGCACGTATAAGCATGGACAATTGAAAGGTTGAAAGATTCTGTGAGGGTACAATCAGAATAGGTTGCGTTTCTGACTGCGCACAGGGCTAAGAGATGAGCAAACGTCACCATTTGAGAAGCGCCATTTGCAGAATATGCTCCTAAGGCCTTTCTCAAAGTTCGCTGCAGTAGCAACCAGCAGCAGCCAAGGTTGGTTTCCATTATGATCTGGCGTTTGTCCACTTGCAGCTCATCTAGCCTTACAGATCAGCAAGGTGCAGAATTGCTCCACCTGATATAACTGATACAAATAAAAGACGAATCAACAGCTGCCAAATCTCCCAGGCAATCTGCTGAATCCTGAGGCTTTGGCTGCTGATTCGAGTCACTACTTGGGGACACCGGCGAGCTCTGTGGTTCTGGTAACAGAAGAAAGGGACTGAGCATGTGAGCACCTGAAGTATGGAGCAGAACACACTTGAATGTTGACAAGGCTTACTCCAGCTTGAGAGCGGCTGAGAGCTCAAAGGCCCAGCCTAGCACTGCTCTTAGCCAATCAAAAGCATCCCCCAAAGATGCGCATCTGCACAAATTTTTTACGACACAACAAAAGACTATTCACTTTGTTGAAAAGATGGGCCAAGGCTACGACAGACTCACATTGTTCGGCCCAATGATGGTGCCTGTCCACGAGCGCATGAAAAGGTCGTCCCCGTCGTCCATTCCGTAACTGACATTTCCATCGCCAAACCCTTTCTCTCCCTTTTCCAACTCCTCTAGCAGTCTGAAATTGCGAGGCACTGCAGGGGAGAGCAGCAGCACGTCAGGGCAGGTCCACGCTGTCCTCTTACTCAAAAGGACAACGTTTGGCTTCTGAAAGAAAACCTGTTCTCGACACATCAGCTGACTTTAACCACAGCCGATCAGACCTACATTACAGGTCTCATGATCATCATTGCTTACGTGAGTTGGTGTTGGATGCAGAGCCTATTTCAAAGAAATCTGAACTCTGACCGCTTTGTTTGATCGAATCTAAAAGCAAGCATGCATCAATCATGACAAGCACTTCTGCTCCAATCACAAAAGCCGTATCAGAGATTGCAAAGAGGAGCGAGACCAGTTGGTAAAGGTTTTCAAGCTTTCTAGAAGACTGCAAGACTAGAACGTCCAAACGCAGAAAGCAGGCACTGCACGCGCTACCGCAAATGGAAAAAATGTCCCAGACCACTTGACTTCAGGTGAAACGCATTTTCTGCATAGTCTATTGGTCTTAAAGTGTCCAGGTGAGGTAGCAGTCTGATAGAATTGAGGACTTCGAGCGCCAGAGCCAAGTAAGCAAATAGAACACTTTGAAAGCAAAACGCACCTCCCAGAACTTCTTGGGTTGCCATGAAACAAGTTTACTGACTGATGCTACAGCTGCTTGGAAGGGTGTTACAGCACGCCAACCTGCTGCTGACAATCAAATTTTGACAAAATGCAGGGTTGTTGAAGTATTACAATCAGAAGACTCCCCCTCTGTGCAACAAATGAACACGTATAACAGGACCATAAGACAGACAATCAGCCGACTAACTGGAACTCGCAAGTTAAGGTTCTCACCAACCACACTCTGGCCAGACGCAGCCATGGCGACCGCCTTAGAATACGAAAGTAATCAACTCCTAGCTGCGTATGTCCGCAGCGCTCCTTTCACAATCTAAGAACAAACCCAGGATCCGCACAATATCAGTTCAGATCAAGAGAGAGTGGGCAGGGAGATTTGCAAACTATCTTATCCAAGACCAATGAGCCACGTATGTCCGCTAGGATACTTTCCTGTTGAAACCTGAATGGCAGGGCAGAAAGGAGCGCCTTTTCTTGCTCCCTTTATGTTTGTCTTCTTGTGGCTCGAGGCCGGCGGCCGCCCAGGCAATACCTCTAGGCTCTCCGCATTGAGCAACTAGGACGGCGGTTGCATTTGTCTCTCTTTCGATTACCGGTTGATGTCAATGCTGAGTGTCCGATCCGGTTGACAAGTCGGAGCCATCTTGACCGTTGATGGAAGTCCGTGAAGCAATTTTTGTTTGGACGGCTCCGCTCGCGCACAGCACAGCTCTTCCAGCGGGCGGGCTGAAGTTTTCTGAAAAGTTGCTCTCAGAACCGGCGTGGAGGTCGGTTACCGTAGTCTCCGCACAATGCCTCGGGGACTCGAACTTAGTCCAGACTCACTGACTCAGTCGATAGCCAACACTCCGGCTGTACTGAAGATTTCAAACTGGGCACTCGGCGACGCTTGTCAAGCTAAACCCGCTGACAAATCCGGGACCGCTGGCGGGGGCGGCGCGATTGCCGGAGGGCGCTCCGCATGAGCAAAGCACTGTCAATTTGGTCTCAGCCTGCATCATTGAGGCGTCAGATGGGGGCAGTGCGCGCACGGACAGCGCCCAAGCTGGGCCTGGGCCCTACCTACTTAGATTGGCAGGATCAGGGCCGAGCATTGAACCACTTGGCGTATCAAACAAAGACAAAAGCCTAACGGCCAGTCGGGCGAAGTCCCACCCTGCCCTCATTCTGCAGGACTTGTGAGCTGATTGGTCTGCTAGCAGCTGGCTGCGTGCTCTTGCCTAGTCCCTGAAACATCATGGCCAGCCACAAGCCCTTGAAAAGGCCGAATGTGAGAACGCTTTTGAAGAGGAAGCTCCACATTGTTCCGAGCACATCTGCAAAACTTTTCTTGCATTATCCTGCGGCTGTTAGAAGGAAAAGGAAGAAGCGCAAGCTTTCAGGAGCAGGCCTGAAGCTGGAAAGCAGGACAAGTCGACGTTCTGCGACAGCGGTAAGCGGGCCTCCGTTTTCCTGCGTTGTGACATCATGAGAATTTTTGGGCTGTTGCTGAAACGAGGGGCTGGAGTCTTTCTACTTGCATTCTCTCCTTTTCAGCTGGTGGTTCCGCAATTATCTTACAGAAACACAGGTAAAGGAAAGTAGAAAGCTGCGGCTGTGTCGACACCAGCTGAGCTTACTTCCAAAGCAATGCATTGGAAAAAACTGCTTATATGGCATGATAAACCCGATGTTTGTTGCAGTAGTAGTGTTGACTCTTGCATTGCAATAGTGGTGTGAACTCCTGCAATGGTGCTGTGAACTCCAGCAATAGTGGTCTGAATAGTATCTGCTCAAACGAGTAATTCCACCACTCCTCCTGCCGCAACTACATTCCTCAAACAGAGCGCTTCGGCCGAGTCTTGCGCAGGTGAGCTGTGTGTCGTATCAGCCTGACAACAGAGGATATTCATGGGACATCAGGTAGTTGCTGCGCAGTGCTTGTCTAACTCCGTCAAGCTCTCAAATTTGCAGCTTGTGCAAACCCCAGTTTGCACCCTTTCTAATACCACCACAAGGAGCTTCACAACCGCCAACTGCATTGCAGCGCTCCGGCTCTTAGGTTACGGCATCTTCTGACATTCAGAGGTAAGTTCAGGGTTCAATCACTTGGTGATTGCAGACGCTTTAGGGGGATTGTGAAGCTACCGTAACATTTGACAAAGTGATTGTATCTGGAGCCCTATAAGCAGAGAAATTCCCATCACACCGCCGGCTGGACAGATACAATCTCTTTAACAGCCTGCTGACAACAGTACTTCATCATTTTTTGTACATGTTCTTGATTACATAGTTGAGTTTGCGGGAAGAGCTCACTGAATCAGAGTCCACCTTTGAGCAGAGTGTTAAGAACTTAATTCATGAAAGGCTCTTGGATTCACTGTTAGTCGCTACATGCCACTCGCACTTTTGCCGCCGCACATTCAGTAGTCCCTCGGTCATAAAGTTTTGCCTTGATGGAAACTGTATGGTGGCACACTTTCCGATTCTGGGCCCAATCGACATACTGTAGTGGCACGACTTTTCACACCAAAAATGTTTATATTTGCTTTGTCTGAAAGTTTTGCCAGATTATTGGAGCAGAGAGTTGCCTGGTTGAGGCTTGGTTTGAGACTTAAGAAGGGTCTGAACCAGGGGTTAAGAGGTTTGTGTGAAATACAGTAAAAAGATAATCGTTCAAAACGAGGTGGTGTGAAAAGGTCGTGCCACTACACCCTCACTGGTAGAATTGTTCAACAGCTCTCGCTCGCTTGTTTCACAGGTGTCTACGGAGCTGCCATTTCAAGGAAGAATGGCAGCGTCGACGGCTATGTTCCTGGGCCTAGCTCTCTTTGCCAGCCTCATCAGCTCAAGTAAGTCCAGACGCGCCTGGCTCGTCTAATCAGTTCCGCTCATGTTGCAATGTCAGAATGCTTTACAAGAGCTGGACGCGAAGGCTCTTGGCTTGAGTAACTCTTCACGATTCAGTGGTATCATTCTTTCGGATGGCCTTTGCCGTAGTTTGTCCACATGTTACTTGAGCTTTCAACAGGCCAGTTCTTGACCAACCTTAGGATGTGACAAGAACTGCCCATGCCTGTTCTATCGTTGCGCAGGCTTGGCCACTCAGATCCAGTGGGCGGGGCGCACAGTAAGTCACTCTTTCACTGCTTCTGTGTCGTCAGATGCTTGCCTCTAACGCCTAACTTGAATGCATCGCTGCTCTGCTCCTCCTATTGACGTGGAGAAACGCCGACAAGGGCTCCGCTTTCGTTATGCCCTTCTATCAACAGGCGCTGCCGTTGCAAAGAAGCCTGATACCCTTCTAGCCATATTAGCAGAATTCGCCCTTATCCCTACAGAGTGGCATTCACATGGAGACAGAGCTTCATCCTTGATGCACTCTAAAAATGGTTCTTCGCCTTCTCTAAACCGGGAAACTCCCAACTCCCATAGAAGCTCTCCTGTTTCTAAACCCTTGGAACATATTTACGAATCTCTTGGCGAGCTTGAAATGTTCATCTCTTGGTCCCCTTGCAGTGGAACGTCCGCACCACTGGCAGTGGCACGGAGGGCCCCGGTCCGAACTACTTCTCAGACAACGTCAGCAACGTCATGGTTGACGCAAGCGGGAAGCTGCGGCTCCAAGTGACAAAGACCGGAAGAAAGTGGGCCTGCGCTGAGCTTATGCTGCCCGCCAGTCTTGGCCACGGCACGTAAGGCATTCCGTTCTCGAGTCGCCCTGCCATTAGAATCTTTGCTGCCACCGTAATCCTCTTTTCAATCTTGTTTGTGTTGGACCCGTTATGAGCCTCAGAATCTTCTTCTTTCAAACAACCTGAACGCACGTTTTTCCGTTCAAATTTGGAAAGTCAAAGCCGAGCGGAAACTGCAGATTGAAACGAGAAGGATAACTTTGGGCACAACTCTGCCGACTGCTTTTAGCCATATAGGGCGTCCCTGATGCTTGTCTAAGCACCTGGATGTTTGTCCTGTGGTTGTCTGACTATCTCGAGGACAAGGCCTGGGCCATCCGGAGACGCCAGATATGGTTTGACGATTAGGCTTAAAAGGGCCGGCACTCGAGTTGTTGTATCATGTGGAAGGTTAGATCTGCCGTCATTTCTGCTCGATTCGCGTTTGGATCCCTTTCACCTCGATGCAAACCCTCGTCTTTTCTTGTCTTCATTATGGGTTTCTCCTCCTTTCCCCGGAATGCTGCAGACCTCGTTTCCCCGGAATGCCAAATTATCGTTCCTGTGCATGTCCTCTCCTCTGCGAGTTGTCACTGTAAGAGGGACGCTGCGAGTTGCTTGATCGTTATGTGGCAAACCTGGTCGCCAACCCCATTGTTTAACTTTCCGTGTCGGATAGCAATGGTCGTTGACGCCTGGCGCAAGCTCCTTCAATCCATTCCTCTTGCTTTGTTTCTCGTTCCATCTCCGTACGGAACCAGCCGAATCCTCTTTCATTCTATGAAGCAATCTTTACCCACTTGAACCCGGTGCTTAACCCCATTTCTGTTTCTGCAGTTACCAATGGACGGTGACGTCCGGCGCGGGATCCCTTGACCCCAACGTGGTTTTCGGCCTGTTCACATGGGACGACAGCCCGATCCAAGCCCACAGAGAGATTGACATCGAATTTGCGCGCTGGGGCGCAACGCCCGCGCAAGACGGGTCCAACGCGCAGTGGGTCGTTCAGCCGTACGATGGTTTGGACCATCTGCAGGTAAGCTTCGGCTTTGCTTTGAGCTGGATTACATTTCGCCATCAGGTTGGACTTCGAGGCAGGTCCTCGAGCTTTGTTCTCGAGTCTGCGTATTGCTATGCTCGGGCATCGCTATGGAGTTTAGGTAGAGTGGTATTTACGGATTGCAGACTGAGCTTGCATCCCTTTCAGAAAGATGGATGTAGGATTCGCTCTTAAGTCCTTCAAAATCGAATGAGGACGTACCACATAGTTGACCAGAGGTCCAGGAACCCATTCCGTCCCGACGAGAAGTGTTTATTCTGAAATTCAGTGGTAGTTTGAAAAGGCCGTCAGCTGTTCCAACGTCTACCTTTTGTACGATTCCCTTCGTGACTTTTCAGCTGTCGAAGAAGGGCTGTCAACTCTCTGACTGACTATTTTCCCGGCTTGAGACTGCCTACGGCCACTGCTGAATGTACGAAGAACTTGCCGAGCCACAGTTTCTGACTGCTGATCCACCCGCCTTCGCAGAGGTGGCTGGCTCCGCCCTTTTCCGCCTCCTCCGCCCCACTGGTCGTTTCCTTCCGGTGGGCGCCCGGAGCGATCTACTGGGCGGGCAGCCAGAGCGGAAAGCTGATCAGCACCAAGGAGTACGAGGCCGAGGATGTGCCCGTGCCGGGCGCAGAAACCGTGCACATGAACCTTTGGCTGTATCAGGCGAATCCCAACGTGTTGGCCGGACCGCAGAATGGGAAGACGGCTACAGTGTTCCTGTCGAACTTTACTTTCACTCCGTTGTAAGCTTGCGGAAAACCGTACAGGGGTAAACAGGGGTGAACAGGGGTATTGTGTTCGAGGACTTTAGGTCCTTCGTTCTTATATCGAATTTCCGAGATCCACAAAGTGACACTTGAGCTGGTGATTAGTCGGGAGGAACGCAGCAACGCTGCTTCGTTGCCGTTCCGACGGTCGAAGTCGGGCGTAAACACTCGATAAGCCCTTTGGACTATCTAGATCAACTCTTCTGAGCCTCTCCTTTGATGCCGCGCGCTACATAGGTCATGAAACTGATGAAGTAATGAGGCATCATCAATGCTTAACTTTTAGAAGCCTCAATAGAAATTTCTATCAGAAGACTTGGGCCCGCGGCGCCGTGCTAGCTAGCAAGGTACGTAGTTTCAGCACCAATATACTGTTTGATAGGGCAGCGAACAGACTTACACGGATCGAAAGATCCCAACTGTTTGTCAGTCTTCAAGCAGAAGATAGAAAAGCGGGGTGGAGACGAAACCAACCCCATAACACTGTCGAGCTTTATATCAGAGTCAGGACCAAACGATTGGCAACACGTCAGGGCAAGGTCCGAGTCGCATGTGTGATATGACAGGTTAATATATGAACACGTACAGGCGGCCCTTGAGGCCCGCCTTCGGCTTCATGCTAAATGCCAGTCGAGGCGCCACTCTAATTGGCGGCAATTAAACCTTGGCATGAGTCGCAGCTAAAGTGACAAGAGTGCACTAAACCTCCGAGGCTCGGCAACTTAGGGGCCGGTCACCTCCCTAGTGCATTCGCACATGAACACGTGCAAACCTTAGCTCCTCAACGCGGTACGTGTATACCGTCTCAACCGGACACATACAAATTCTTTGTATGACATTCAACTGACGTGGCAATAGGAAATAGCATGTCGAGGTAACGGCATGGTGAACACAAGAAAGCTTAGGCTGGGTTGGAAGCGACCGTCCATCTTTTGACGTGTACTTGTTTGAACTTACGTCTATCGTAAACACCTCGTATCAAATCCTTCAGCCGCCCACGTGATGCACACGAATGGCACAGTTTTCGGCGCTTGCTACAGGTCAGATATGCTGTTTTTCGATTTTGCCAGATGCATCATGCAGGTCTCGATCTACTTCAAACAACGATGAAGGAGCAACAATGAAGGAGCAACTCGTCACTCAGACGATACATGATGGCGCAAAGGCGTTAAGAGGGATTTGTTAGCTCAATTCAACAAACTTCTGATGGCAGGATAGTACCTGATGGACAAGTGGAAAGGGGATAGCACCAAAGTGGCGTCAAAGCCTTGACGCACAACGAACATTCAATTCAATTAGTCGTCAAACTCTTTGAACTTAGCGGTAGATGTACGAGGCATGGTTTAAATGCTTGTAGCGTACTCGATTCAGATTCTGCAGCTAAGTGCCCTCGATTCTAATGGCTCAATGGCAGATGGATTCCCTGCGGCGGCCGTTCCCAACTTAACCGGACCCATGGCAAGAGGAGGTTGTTCTGCACGAAGCCTGTGACGAGAGCCTGTTAGAAACCATTAGCAGGAGCCTAAACACCGTGTAAGTCTAAATCCAAAAGCTTGCATGTTTTTCACTACATCCTGCTCCACAAACCTCAGCCAGAGACCTTCTGAGAGTTGACACGGCTGCCGAATTGCTCCGACTGGCTAAGAGCATTATCTGTTGAACCGCTGAGCAGATTGAAGAACGGAAATCGTACCTTTCAATCTCACTTCAAAGCGTCCTTCTCGGGTTTCGAGCGCTGTCTGCCTATCCCTGCCTGGCAGCGCAACTTGTGGCCGTCCTTCCAGGCAACCTTTTGGCAGTCTGGAACTTCACGGCGCCCGTCAGAGGAGTCAGAATTTACGTCCCTTCGATAGTCGTAGCTCCACAGCATAGGACCTCACCCTTGAGTTGATACAAAAGGCTGGCATAGTGGGATAGAAGTCAAGCGAATGGCATATATGTTGAGTTTAAACCACAAAGATTTGGGGGCTAAGAGCACAGATTACTGTTTGACAACTCAGTTCGTCAAATCAAAAGCCAAAGGATACAATTGTCACTACTATAATGCTTCAAAAAGGTTTCACAGAGCTTCAGTAAGAGATATCAGGGCCCTTACTTCTGGAGCAGTAAACCGCCAGACGGCACCCACTGCAGACCTTGAACTCGCACGAAGTGCTCTCCACATTTGAGCAGCTTGAGCGGGAACATTTTCTGCAGGGCCGCTTCCGAGCCTCGAGGTCCCCATCATCTGGTACGTACGAAACATGTGCCGTGTCTGGGACGTAGTTGAGCGGTGTGTCAATGGTGTTTCGAAAAAGACTGGCTGGAAATTCAGAGTCCGGACCGCATTTGTTTGAGGCTACGTTGAGTCTTTCGGCTGTAAAGATCTCGCGCAGCTGTTCCCTCCTCGCCATCGCATTAGGAGACGCGCGTACCAGTCTCTTAAGATTCTCTTGCTGCTTTGGTGTCAGATGCTCTGTCAGCCGCTCGTCGCTGATTATCCCAAACCGCTCGTTCATAGCCGCAAGCATGACGCAGACGATCCTCTTTTCATTCCCGCCAAGATCTGGGCATGCTGCTAATGCCAAGAGGGCCGGGAGAACGTGCTCTGCTTTTGCGCTGGCTCCAAGCTCACAGAGCTTACCTACTACAGCCTCTGCTTGACCCTTCTGCATTATCAAAACCAAAAGATGCACGGCCACAATGATCAGAACTGCCTCTTGAGTCTCCGCCAGAGTCCTCAAGACGACCCCGATGATATCATCCAGGTATTCTGAGAGATCGCACGCGGAAGAAAGATGGCTGAAGCAGTAGAGAGTACAGTTCGCCATTCGGCTCGAGAAGTCTCTTTCGACCATGCAGTCCTGCAGAACCTGACGAAGAAGGACCTTCCGGCTGCTTAACTTGTCCTTGGCACGATCAAAGCAGCTGACAAGGGAAACCAGCACAGAAAGACTGGATGCTCTGACTTCATTCCTTAGACGCTCCAGGAAAGCTGAAATGCCCGGTACCAGATCTGATTCTTTGACGAGAGAGACCGCTGGTAGGGCGAAGTAGGCTCCTTCGAGGACCAAAATGAGGTCATAGATGCCTTTCAGGACGAAACGCGCCGTTCGAGCATCCAAGATGAGAACATGAAGCAGCCGAAAGCAGATGTCCACCTTTGACACCACGAAGTACTTGACATGTTTAAATTTATCCTGGCTGCTGATCTTGGGGAGTATGTAGAAGTCGCCTTCTGACTGCGCTGCTTTCAAAATTCTGTTGACCTCATCCAGCACGCCCTGTTCCAGCACATAAGCTGCGAAACCTGCGCAGGGTGCATGTCCCTTAGGTATCCCCATGCGATTTAATACTGCCCTAAATCTAAACAAGGCAAAGGACCTTGCTTCTCTGTCATTGGACTGCAGTTCTTTAAGAATATTGCCAAACCATGCACTGCTTTCTGGCTTGCGCAGGTCTATTTCCACAGCTTTCTCCTCTGTCAGCAGCTCTCCCATCTCTTTCAGACCGAGCTTTGAGAAGCTTTTTGGCAGGATCCTTGGCTGCAGAGGTTTCACAGCATCAGCAGGGAACCCCTCTCTCTGCGCGCTGGCGCCGCTGGAAGCCATTCTGTTCGTCTCTCAAGCTTGCTGAGCGCTCGTTAGCAAGCGCATATGCTCTTAAAGTGATTCGTCATATGAATCATTCTGAGAAATCGAGAAAGCGCGGTTGACTGTGGTGAACGGCCGGCCGCGTGCACTCATAGCAGGCCGGCCGCGCCGCGCTAATCGATCGCGCGCGGTAACCAAGGGGCGCGGCCGCGGCACTGGGCGCGGCGCGGCTGCACTTGGAGCGTCACGGTCGCCCTAGGGTCGCATCAGCAGTGAGCTTGAGTCGCCTTGCCTAGCGCTGCAGGTATTTTATCTGCACGCCCGCGATTATTTCGGGCGCCTCCCTGAAGCCCCGCCAAACAGCGGCCAGCTGTTATTGAAGTGGACCTGCCACCTCGAAACACGTCAAGGACGCCAAAGTAAACAGCTGCTCAGCTGAACGCAACGTGCGGCTGTGATCAAGGCCTCTATTGATAAAGTATCAGTGAGCTGCAGGCCATGATACTCGGCCACTGATGAATCTTGCAGAGTCACGAAGGCCAATTTCTAGGAACTAGCGGAGACGGGGCCTGCCAAAGACCCCTAGTGGTCGAGATGTTTCGACGCTTTCCGAGGCGGATGGTTTTGAAGGAAGTGAGAGAATTGTATTTAAGAAAGGAGCATCAGTCACCTTTTCTTTCGCCCTTTGACGTCGTCTTCCGTTTCTGTTCTGTGAAGATGCTTACAGAGGGCTTCCCTTGATTGAAGAGTGCTTCTCAACAAAGACACGCTCTGGTAGTTCTAGGATTGTTTTGGAGCAGAAACCTGAAAAGCACCAAGGACTGATTCGACTGGTGACAGGTAGATCTTTAAAACACTTCTTGAAAGGACCAAAGATTCATGGTCTAGGACTGAGATTCGCCCGTCTCATCAGCTCCTAGGACGCCTTGCCAACCATTTCCTTGAACAACCCCGCAGAAACCTGCGAGCCACCTCTCAAGCAGCAACCTTACATGAAAAAGAGGCTCTTTTCTGACCCCGCCCCGACCTTTCGCAAGAAAGCCCGCGAGAGAAATCATTCTCCTGCCCCAATCCTTTCTGCAACAGGCCGGGCTGCTGTTTTGCCCATCTCTTCTTGAAAAAATGGCGGCATCTCCGGCGGTCGTTCATCTGATTCTGGCTCTGTTCACCACCCTCTTCACCTCAGGTACGCACTATATTCTTGCACAAGTGAGATACGGAAGCGGTCACAAGCTATCCTGTTGACTTCTCTTCCAAGCGCAGAGGCTAGGCCGCCACGGCGGCTCGATCTACTGAGATTTATTGAGATCAAGAACCTGCTTTAAAATGTTACATCTGAAGAAAGATCAAATGGTACCTGCTTGAAGCTTACCTCACCTAAATGACGCCCTTCTAAGCCCTTGTTCTTCTTACTGCAGGGTCAAGCATTCAGATTGAATGGGCGGGGCGCACTGTGAGTCATCTTTTTGAGCTCTCACACTGTTGCACCTTTTGTCTTGCCTTATGCAGATCTGGATGTTTTGAACGAAGCTGCCAATCGGCTATGTTGCACGTCTCTTGATCCTGCTAGGTCTTCTCCGTTCGTGTGATGTTCCGCCCACTCTTAGTTCCAGTGTTCCCGTTCGCTTCTGCTGGTTAGAGACTTCTGACCCTTGTGACCTTCCTGGACAAGTATTGAACTGCGCGAGCTTCGTAACTTGGTACACGACCTGTTGACAAGATGCTGTTCACTTCATTTCAAGGTCGCGTAAGCGACCGTTGAATAGATTCTTTGCCCGCGCTTCGTTCTTCTTTTACGTTCGCCATACCTGGTCGGGAAAATCGTCGCGTTACCACCGAGAAGCCTTAAAAGTTTGCCCAATCGACACAGAGCACTCGTACACTTCTTGAATGGAATCTTCAGCTCGTAAAAAGGCAATAGATATTGAGACCAGCATGAAAACCGCCAAAACCCAAGAACGCTGAGACTTTTGCAGTGGAACGTCCGCGACACGAAAGGCACTTTGTCTGGTCCTGGCCCGAACTACTTTTCGGACTCCCCCGAACACGTCACGGTTGACTCGAGAGGCAACTTGAGGCTTCAGGTGACCAACACCAGTGGAAAGTGGGTGTGCGGAGAACTGTCGCTGCCAAGAAGTCTCGGCTACGGCACGTGAGCAGTGCTCCCGGTTTTTCATCAGCTTTTCTTCCCTTTCGCCATCGAACCTTTCTGACGGATTTGAAGCAAACCCTGTCTGCTCTGAAACGCTGCAATTCTAACGCGGACGTTCGCAGATGAGGCGGCGTTCAGGACATGAGTGAAGCACAAAGAGATCAAAAATTTTTACAGCTCAGAATGTGCGCTGAATTGCTTCTTAACTTGTCCAAACGAAATAGCAGAACCCGTTCTGATTTTGCACGAAGGATTCTGACGTCATGTTTTCCCTACTCCTTTACAAAGCTGAGGACAGGAAGCAGCCATCTCTGCCGGCGACCTTATAAGCACTGGCAACAGACCAGGCTGAAAAGGGGTTTCCGTGCTCTTCCACTGTTCCGAAATGCAATATGAATGTGACAGTGCCTCTCGCTGTGTTTCCGCTCTCAACCCCTTCCCCGACGTGCTTTCAAGTCTGTTGTTAGGATTTCGACTATCCTCGACCCGTCATATCTTCGTTTGACTACTCCTCCGACTTCGTTCTCAGGAGACAATTCACCCGCTTCAAAAAAGAGCTTCCGTTTCGTATCTGCAGCTACGAATGGACAGTGACGTCAGACGCCGGCTATCTCGAGAACAACGTCATCCTCGGCCTGTTTACATACGCAATGAATCCCGAACAAAATCACAGGGAGATCGACATCGAGTTTGGCCGCTTCGGCCTGTCTCCTGCCAGGGACCCGACAAACGCCCAATTCGTTCTTCAGCCGTTCAACGCGACTGGCCACCTGCAGGCGAGATGCTTTCGTCACCATCTCTTGTTGAGAAAAGCAAGGGGAGACTTAAGCCTTTTCTTTGAGAACTCTGATCTTTCTGCTCTGATACGTTTCTTTCGATTGGGTCGATTGTGGAACGCGCTTCGCCTGGCGGAAACTTCGTTGCAATTTGTAAGAAGAAGACGTCGACTCTTTTTCTGGTTTGCCACAAAACGAAGCAGAGATGCCCATAGACCCCCCACAAACCGCCAATTCATCACCTATTTCAACCCGCGTCTCTCACCGTTTCCTACATCAATAACTTCTCACGACAGGCCAAACGGCCCATCAGAACCTTACCTCAGCCAAACGGCCCATCAAACCTATACCTCAAACGCACCCTATTTTATTTCCAACTGCAGAGATGGTATGCACCCCCCGTTTCCGCGTCATCCCCCCCCCTCGTCGTGTCCTTCACGTGGACCCCCGGGCGGATCGACTGGGAGGCACGTCAGGCTGAGCTACTCTTGAGCAGCAAGACTTACGCGGCCGGGGATGTGCCCACTCCAGGACCGGAACTCACGGTCATCAATTTGTGGGTGTACAAATCCAGGGGGATTACTGGGCCGATCAATGGGAAGGGTGCGACGGTGTACCTGTCGGACTTTATCTTCACGCCGTGCTACTAACGTTTTTGTCAAAGCACCTTGTAAGATAGGAAAACTGTCCTTGAAATGTGTCTCAAAGTCCCGAGCCGTTCAGCATCTCGTGAAGCCGGAGACCGCATACTACAGTGAGCTGAGTCGATAACAATTACACACTTGGAAGAATGCTCCAGTAGAAGGTATCAGAAGTGAGTGCTTCTTAGCTTCAGAGAAAGAGGATCGGAGGGAGCATGTGAGAAGGGATCGATGACGCCCTCCAATCAACAAGTCGACTTGTAGAAACAAATTCATGCAGTCCATAGTAGCTAATGTGACTCACTCTATGCACATAATTAAGTGAGCCTGCTCGACTGAGTTATAATAAATACGCTGACGACATGATAGATGTACGTATGATGTCGCCGCTCCCTCTCATAACAATTAAACTCAAGTGTACCGTGTATTAAATGCTGCTGTGAATACATGTGCAAAACTAGGGCGGTCTCTCAGGGCCGACCAACGGGAACAATGCTACGTTGTACCTGTCGGACTTTACCTTCGCGGCGTACTACATGCGAAGAATCATCTGTTACTGGAAGGCAGCGTTTCTTTGCAAGATGAGTTTCGAAATCAGGATCTCGTGAATTAGGGGAAGGGTAAATATTGAAAGTTGAACGATTACACGCCTGATGAATGATTTGCTTGCTCAAAGATCGCCCTTCGGGAGAACACGCAATTCAGAAGACCTTTATAACCTGGAGTCTTAGAAAGCTGGGGACGCCTTCAATCGAGAACCGCAGTACTTTAATAGTGATAAGGATCTAATAGTAATAACGAAGAGCAATCTCCTGGTCTAATCAACACTAAAACCGTAAGTACTGACGGACTTTCTCCGCACCCGAACCCACCCTAACCACCATACCAACACCACCCGTCCTCGTCGAGTCCTTTTACTTACAGTCGATTCGTCGTCTGATGACCATATATGCTAATGCTTCGCGTAACTTTAATCGGGCCTTCGTTGGATTCTGCATCCTGAGTCCGGATCCGACTTTGCATGATCAAGACGACACGTGCAGGCGGCCGCCTGACAAGTTTAGAGGCGCGCCAGCACACTTGCGCGGCTTCAGCCAGACCAGGCTTGCCAGCTAGAGGCCCGTCGCATGCGGGTCGCGGCTGCGACCTGAGTCTTGATCCAAGAGATTTAGCAAGTTGCATGCATTCGCATTTGCACCGTACTTCGACCGCTCACTGCTCAACCACTCAGTGACTTCCATCGCGTGTCATTGCGGAGGCTCAATTAAGATCAAACGTCGACATATTGGCGTATGCGTTACTGCAATATTATGGTCAGTATCTCGCTTTGCAATCAGACCACTTTGCTGTCAACTCGAATCCACGTACGAATTACCATCCATTCAATGCAATTTCTTACTCATCATTATATGTGAAACAAAGTCGATTGACATGCGGCCTCATAAGAACATTTGAATGAATCGCGTGCGGCCTGAGCAACGTTAAGCTATACAAAGCTAAGGGCCCGGCCCGGCCGCCGCCGGCCGGGCATCGAAGCTGGGGGTGCAGGACATTAACCAATCAAGCTTCCTTCATCTGCCAAACCTTCTAAGTTTTTGGCGGCTGGCGCAGCCGCGCGCCTGATTGCATCCTAATCGTGGGCGGCCGTACTGTTGGACGTCACGATCTAGTAGCCTTAATTGGATACTTCTAATTTTCACTGCAAGCTTTGGCAGCTTCGGCGGGACGTTTCGCTGTGCCGACAATGAGTCAAACCCTAGCTACCGTAGTACGTAGTAAATGAACCATGGCCAGAACGAAATGCAACATTTTCTCAGTCCATTAGCAAAGCGTCTGCATAAACTTCTTGCGTCAAGTCCAACGGGGCAATTGTCAGGTCGAGTACCCCTATGTACACCGGGCACTGCACACAAAATACATCGTAGACTGGATTCTACGGCGACATGAACAATGATTATTTGAGGAGCGCAGGACGGCGCTTTATCCACACACTTGAGACTTGCCCCGTGCCAGCAGAACCCGAATTCCATGCAACACTGTGTTAGTATTCTTGAAGACCCGCAATTAGGCTTGCGGCTCCGTGCCGTCATTCAAAGCGCAGCAGACCGTCGCTTTGTGGTGCCCGCTGTAAACACGAATTGCCTCGCCGGTGCTCAGCTCCCATAAACGTGCAGTGGTGTCCGATGAAGCTGCGGGGCAATGATTTTGGTCGGTACCGTACTCTCGCGAGGTCAGGTTTTGACAGCGTTTGCATACTGCATGGACGAACTCCCTGAGAAACGACTTCCAGATTACGACGAGCGTCAGCTCCTTCTACGGGCCATTTTCGATGGCCGGAGGAGCAAGGCCGTTTCAAAAGGTATCGCTTATTACGCCTTCTTACGGCAGAGAATTCGAGGAGGGGAAAGGAGAAACACAGTCCCCTGACATGTCGTGCCGCTCTTCTTTCCTGACGGGGCGCAAAGTCAACGACCCGAGGGAAGAACTCTGAAGTAGATTAGACCTTTCCCACTTCTAACCAGCGGTCAAGCGGTAGCGACGATATTAGAGGACCGGTGATCAGGACGTCTTACCTGTGACTAGATACGCCCCATCGACCGAGAAGACGCAATCCCACACCCACCGCTGATGACCTGCATGCGGTATAGAGTTGTTAAGCACTCTCGTTCAATACAGCCGCTCATGATGTGGCGGTTAATCTTCCTTGTACGAGTTTGCACAGGTATCGGGACTCAGTGCAGACGGCCATCTCGCTCTGGTTCAGACGGCTTCAAAGCATGTTGAACAAAACTTGTATTGGGGGCTCTTTTCGTGTAGGTCACAAGCATGTGCGCTTTAGCTGAGCAAACAATCTCGCCGCGACTGATTATCAACGTCGCGGCTAGATTACAGTTTAAGGGACATCCACGTATGACATATTCTGTGACGAAGTACAATAGCAACGGAGGGTTCACGTACTGGACAACACGTACGTAGATTAATTACGTGGGGGCCGTAGATTAATCCCCCACTGAGGACGGCGAATCGTTGACGACGGGGCCATGATGATCGATCCCACTCACCCACAAGCGTCTTCTCGAGGCCGAATCCGTCGACGTTCCAGATGCGCACCGTGTGGTCGGACGAGGTGGTGGCCAGGTACCGGTTGGGTTCGGAGAACTCGGGGCTAAGCAAGCACTTGAGGATGTACCCGTTGTGCGCGTGCAGCTTGTGCAGCGGCTCGAAGTTGGTCGTCATCTGCACCGAATATTGTCAGTGGCTTTCCTTCTTGGTGTTTGCATCTTTGCATCTCTGCATCTTAGGTCTAAGGTAGCAGATGTTTCTACGATTTCAAATCTCCACAATAAATCCGTTCTGCCCGTACAGCTTCGCAGCGGCATGAAGTCGGTCGTCATTTTGTTGGGAGACGGACATCAGACTCCTCTATCGGAATACTCGGAGAGCTGGCTTATTAGATCGAATCCATATGGAGGCGGTTCAAGCGTCGAGTGGACCTCTGATCGTTACAGAAGGTGCCGCCCTTGTGCTGATTCGAAATTAGTCGTAGCCTGCAAGGGCCAGCTCCCAAGCAAATCGTACTCTGAGATGCGAAAGTTGGAACGCGTCTAAAGATTCTCGTTCTAACTTTCGAAAACTCTGATTTTGAGAGTCGAGTCCTCAGGTCGAGGATTCTTCAGCTCGAGACCGATCGTCATCTTAGGAGACAAAGAGAGCGCACACACGAGGCGTTGCAAGGGTCATTAGCTTGGCGAAACACCCAGCACACCGTTCCAAAGGGCTATTCAGACCCACCTTGCTCCCCTTCGACAGGCGCCACACATAGCACGTCCCGTGGTTATTTGCCGCAACCACGAGGCTCCCATCGTACATCACCGTCAGCGACCGAATGGCGGTATCGACTTCCGGAACGAGCTCGCAGCTGCACGAGTTCGCGTTCAGGTCCCACACTCGGATGTTCCCGTTCTGGTCGCCGGAAATGAGCTCCGTTTGGTTGGGGTGCAGAACGACGGTGTTCACCGCTGCGCGGCTCTCGTACTCGCGCTGGCATCCGGGAGCCCTGGACGAGAGAAGTGAAAACTAATTTACTATGTATTTCACTGGGTCTAGACCCTAGGTAAGAAGTTCGATTGAGTAGGGTGCAGGGTAAAGCAGGTCGGTGTGAATCGCGTGCAGACTCTGACACTCGCACTGCGGTCCGCAGGCCCTGGATAGCAAAGTTTCGCAGCTGGTTGATGTCCTGATTATCTGGACTAAAACAATGTCAGTCAGGAGGAGATGGTGTTTACCGACGCGCAGCTTTTGGCATGCAGTGGTCCTGGAGAAACGGGTTTCGAAACTTCGTTTCAGTGGTGTCTGGTTCAAACCCTGGTCTGGAGCCTGGACTCGAGCCTTCGTCTGCTGCAGTCTGAATGCACGGTGGATAGTGGCGCTTATTTCCTTCTCGTGTCACACCGAAACGAGTGCTGTAAGACTGGTGGGCCCTATTTCGGACGTTTTCCATCCTGGACGAGCAAAGCCGAGATCCAAGTTCTGGCTATGAGACCAATCGCGGCCGCACGCGCACTTGTGTAACATGTGTCTCGCGCATCTCGACATCTGACAATACCTTCAAGGCGACATCAGAAACCGATGCGCTCGAGCAGCCGCAGACTAGGTTACCTTAGTTCAAAATCGATTTTTGGGTTTGCCCATCCGAAGAAACAAACTTTCCGAAAACGGGCGAACCAGTCTTATCCACTCGTCAGAGAAGAGTAATAGAGCTACAGAACTCTTCAAATTGGTACCCAAATGGCATCTTACCAGGATGTCAATTTTGGCACTGGGGAAATGGAGTCTCCTCAGAACCTTATGAGAACACCATCTTGGCCTGTGCTTTGCAATCCTCCTCTCAGCAATTGTCAAATAACCCCCAATCAGAATCCCTTACTATCAGACTCTTAATCAAAAAGGGGCGTAGCACAAACTCACCTGAGGTCCCATATCTTCACCGTGCCATCCTCCGATCCCGAGTACATCCACTTGTTATCGCACTGGAACCCGACTGCCGTGACGTTATTCGTGTGGCCATCATAGCTGGTCAACGGCTGCTGGTTGTTTGAGTTGACCTCAAAAAGGCGGATGTGCGGATTGCCGGCGGCGGCTATGTACTGCTTGTCGGGTGTGATCTCCAGCCGATTCACCTGCTGCAAGACGCAAAACTAGGACTGTTGAATCAAAAAGCCTATCAAAGATGGTGTATGGGGGATAAGATTGGTCTGATGTAGGTGGTGTGATTCCTTATCTTCCAAGGGTTTGCAGTAAGTTTCAAGAAAGGTTCGCTATCTTGCTCGTCGGCCAACCAATAAATTGTCTTGAGGTGCAATCGACGAGTGTTTCTTATACCTGCCGAAATAAATGGCCCGTATTCCTGAGATCGATCCGGCCATGAGGTTAACAGCGGCGATGACCAGCATTGATGGTGATCCACCCCCACAAAAATGGGCATGCCTTCTTTGCCTGCCAAAACTGAGTCTGAAGTGCACCAAAAACGACCAGTTACTTGGAATTCTGATTTCTGTTGGATTCTAGGCGGGACTTTGGGGTGCTTATTTGTGCACTGAGCCGAAGTTTCTAAATTTCCAAGAAACCCATCTCAGCACACCCCAAAGCTACAGTGCTCGAACGATGTTGAATTGCGCAGTGATGGCATCCATGTCACTGACTCCATTGGGGAATGCTCTTTCTGATTCTGTGAGTGTAATGAAGGGGGATGTACTTTTCTAGGCACATCAGAGCACTTCTTTCAAGAATCATGTAAAGCTGGTGATTTATGGTCCATGCAAAGATGACATTGCCCCCACTTGGATAAAAGCCCGATTTTCGTCAGAACTGATTCTCCTGGCCAGGTTTTCTGTGTTATTGAAGTGTTCTTTAACATTCTTTGAACATTGTTGAACTCTATCTGCAAAAAGCTCAATGCTTGACCACTTCTCTGTTGGCGGTATTCTTTGGAGTTGTTAGCACAACAGTGGTACATTCTTTTTTATTCAAAAAGAGGGTATTTTTCAGAGGCGATGAAACAATGCTTACAGAATCAGTATACTGCAGAGTCTTGTAGCATCGGCCGCTGGTAGCCTCCCAGAACCTGATTGTGTGATCGTACCCTGCCGTAGCCAAAACCACTGATGGGTGCGGCATCGCACCCCGCTAACCCCAGCTCAAGCAACCATATTACACATTCTGATGTGCTAACATCAGAAGATCACCGAGCGTCGGCCATGGTTTGGGTAAAGTAATCCACCGTGCGTGCGCACATCAGCTAAAAGAAGGGGGCCGCATGCCGTTTGGCACTGCGCAGCTCCTTTTTTCCGAGACCTGGAATCTGCTTGAAGACCAAGGAAACCTGGAACTAGAAAGAGAAGCTCCCTCGTGAGGCGATCGACTTTTGTTGATTCAAAACCTGCCTCTGATTTTGCCCTCGTGAGTGCGCCTTCACCTGTTCAGGCTTCACCTGGCACTGCAGCAGAACTTGCCCCCTGGCACATGGACCATTTTGTCAGGGGGTTTCGTGTATGGGGCGTATTTACATGGGGAAATGCCCCCCTGTAGGTGTTCGAGTCCTGTGTGGGGTTCAAAGACGCGGCACCAAGTCAGAAGCGGCGACGTTGAGAAAACCTTCTACTGGTAGATCAGGCTGTGAACTGCATGGTGTGTCGCCATCCTGCATCAGCCCGCTCAGAGAGAAGACCCCCGGGAGCGAATATCAGATTCGATTTTTGTTCGCGCCTGTTTTTACAGAGCCGCTGCTGCAACCTCATTCAAATTGTCAAGGCAAGGCACCTGGCAGGGTGGACGTGCAGTGGGTGGACGCTCCAAACGCAGAGTTTTGTGTGCAGGAACGGGGCGTTCAAGGCGCATGCATGAAGCAGTTGCGACCTAGGAATTTGGTGACAACTGCATCCAGCAGTTGTGAGAAAGGCAGTAGCAGGCGGCGCGGTTACATGTGGGTGTGGGAATAAACAGCGAGGGAAACGGTGGCGAACAAGTCGTTCCAAAGCTAACGGCCTCGACGAAGTCTCTTGGCACATTTTCCCATGTCGAATGCTGGGGGGCAGCGTCTCCTTGTGTGAGCGGCTCCAGGCGGCCAGCCTCAGCTTCGTTCTGCAGCAGCAATTGATTGGTCCGTGCTCCAGAAAGGGCCTGGTCTTTGACAAGGGATTGGGCAGAGGCAACAAGCATATTTTGCAAACGCCTACTTGTCAATCTGCAAGAAGCTCTCCTCCAATTGTTTGCGCAAACGAGGGAGCAGAGCTCATTTGGAGTGCGCCAGTCGGCGGTGCAAATAACAATTCTGCAGCGAAGAGGAGCAGCTACGTCCCGAACGCCGAGCCTTCTCGCGCCATCTCTGTCATCCAGAGGATTGCCAGGGCGTTCAGGCAGAGAGGGGCCATGTCTAAAGCGCGGGTGTATGCAGACGTGAATGTGCAGAGGCCGAAGGAGTACTGGGATTATGAGGCGCTGACGGTACAGTGGGGGTAAGTATTTGAGCCGCTCTTTGCATCTTGTTGCGACCACCAACTCAAGTTTTTGCAATGTCTGTGTATGGGCAAGGAAAGGTGATTTAGACCATGTCCATGTCACCATGCACTTTTCACCAGCCTGGTGTTGTTAGTTGGTATTAATGATGGAGAAGTGACCATGAAGATACAAAGATCGTAACAGGAATCTCAGACAAGGCCTATGTCTGCATTCCACATAAGCGAATCGCTTAGGTGGTGCATCTGTGCTTCATTGTGGAGCCTGCATGTTGCATCCTACGCGTTGGTTCAAAGTCTGGTCATCTTCTTCCAGACTTTTGCGGCTTCCCTAGCTTTTGGTTTAGCTCAGTTGCACGGCTTGCCATGGGTGTCTGCCAGTTGTGCAACCTATCGAGGGACATCAATGTATAGTCTTTGCTTTTGTGCTTTTCCTGACTGGTAAATCGCTTTCCGTTCATAAAAGGAGAGGGAATTGATGCCTGGAGCATTTATCTGCAACCAACTGAGGGTGCACCTTGGAGAAGCGAGCAAAAAGTGTTCGCCTACAGTTCCGTCTCGCTAACAGCAGTTTCTACCTCAGCATTTCTGCCAGGATTGTCATTGCACATACTTTGTTGCTGACAGCTGATTGCAAAACAGACCTGTATGCACATCTTGGTGGTGCATACTTTGGCCTGCTCTAGTTCTAGGGTTTGAGGACCGAATATCGTCTAGAAGTTGGAATGGGCGCTTGTCTTTCACAGTTATAAAAGGAAGAGGTCTCAGCTCTAGACTTTCCGTTTTCGTGCATCCTTGTCGCTTTGTTGGGATAAAGTATTCACTGGGGACCGAGTTTCACCATCTCAACATACTCTTTTACGACTTTCAGGGACCAAGACGACTACGAAGTCGTGCGGAAGGTCGGTCGCGGCAAGTACAGTGAGGTCTTTGAGGGGGTGAACGCAATCAACTCGGAAAGGTGTATCATCAAGATCTTGAAGCCCGTCAAAAAGAAAAAGGTGCGCAAAGCTGGGCAAAGCTTGTATGAAGTGTTTATCAACTTATCTGCAGCGTTCTGCATCACTGATTGGGACTCTTGAAGCTCTTTGCTGCCTTCCCTGCGCTTTTGGTGGCGGTCGTTCATGCAGACCCGCCATGCTCTTTTGCCGTGAAACCGCTTCAGTCATTCGCAGCAGTTTGCTGTCCTGTCTAGTCAGAATTCACTGATCCACCTACCTATTGTCTGACCCGAAATGACAACCTTCAGACAGACTTCTTCCCAAGCATGGCTTTCATCCTTTCTGGTGACAGCTCTAAAGGCGTGCTGCAATGGCCCGGCTCCGCCTCAAATGCACTCTTCGCTTGCCCTGCCTAGCTCGCATCTGAGCCACTCATTTAGTCTATTTTTCTTTTTGCTGATCGACTTTGGCATCGCCTGCAGATCAAGCGAGAGATTAAGATTCTGCAAAATCTTTGCGGCGGCCCAAACGTGATCAAGCTGTTGGACATCGTGCGGGATCCCCAGTCCAAGACGCCCAGCCTCGTCTTTGAGTTTGTCAACAACACCGACTTCAAAGTCCTTTACCCGACCCTCACGGACTATGACATTAGGTACTATATATACGAGCTACTCAAGGTGAGGAGGCTTGTTCAATGTACTGTGCACTCTTTTGATTCTGGCTGCAATAGTTGGACTCGATGTATACTTCTTGCAGTCCATATATATGAGACTGAGAAGACGACTTCTGTTATTATGAGTTGGGATCTCACCATCCCCTCTTTCCCCACCCCCCTGTCACTTAGCCTACTGACAAGAGTTGTGCCGGGACCTCCATGTCATTTCTTTAAGGATTGGTCTGAGTAGGAGCGCTTTCACATGGTTCAACGGGTTGGCTTCTGCAATCGGCAGTGATAAAGCCCCTGCAAGCAGCGGAAATGGTTCTTCTAATTTGGAGACGCATCTGAGTGTTAGGATGAAGCTCTAAATGCTTGTCGTTATGCGGCTGGGCACTGAATAAGTCAGAAGTAGACTTCAATAAACGCCAAGCTTCAGAAGGGAAGAAAAGCACAGATTGAGCTGTGACTCGTCCTGTCTCGTAATTGGGAGCCGTTGATTCCTCAAAGCCTTTGCAATGTGACACCATTTTGCAACCGTTGCTTGGTATGCCTTGTGTGGGCTCGCCGTTGGTTCGTCCATCTTGGAAACGATGGATGTACCATTAGTCTGCGGTAAGGGACAAATATACTAAACATGTCGCTTGTTGCTTGCAGGCGCTTGACTACTGCCACTCGCAGGGCATCATGCACCGGGACGTGAAACCCCACAACGTGATGATCGACCATGAGCAGCGGAAGCTGCGGTTGATAGACTGGGGCCTCGCAGAGTTTTACCACCCCGGCAAAGAGTACAACGTCAGGGTCGCTTCCAGGTCAGTTGCCTGTTCTGAGAAAGGATAATTTTTGTGCTGCCCCTGATTATTTTAGTTCGATGTAAGAGAGCACGCACGGTGGATTTTTCATGAGGGATGCACGAGCAGGGAGGGCCCTGGTCGGATGGACGACTAAAACGGTCTCAGTCTTCAGAGTGTTGTTCAATTTTTCTTATCAAAAAGCAAAGGGAGAGGATGGCGCCTCTTTGGTGCTAAGTTCGCTCGCGCAGAACTTTTCATGGAGTGCTCTGGCGAAACCCTTTTCCAACCCCTGCTGACCCACCCCTGCTAACTTGGCCAACCCTTTCCGTTGCAGATACTTCAAGGGCCCCGAGCTTCTGGTCGACCTGCAAGATTACGACTACTCGCTGGACATGTGGAGCCTGGGCTGCATGTTCGCGGGCATGGTGCGAGCTTCTTGTCTATTCGCACTTTTGGCCTGCTGGCTCGAAGAGACGTTGTTCTGATCTTTGTGTGTTCTTTTGGCCTGCCGAGAAGCTGTTGTGATCCTTGAATCTTCTTTGTTCCCGTCTCTTCTTTTCTGCGGATGACCGTTTCTTCTCCCCGGCTTGTGTTTGCCTCTTTCTTCTGTGCCCTTTCCCATACGAATTCTGCACCAAAAAACGGAAACCTTTCATGCCGTCCATTCACAGGTTCACCCTCTGTTCCGTCATCTCTCTTTATCTTTGTTCGCGTGAACTTTCTGTGTTGCACCTCCTGCTTAGCCTCCTCCTCTTGTAATGCGAAGCAAGCGCTCCTCTTCAATTGGTGCCTGCAAAGCTGGATGAAGCAGTGTAAACGAGCCATCTAGCCGCAAATTGCTAGAGACGCTTCACGAAATCAGTACTTGGTTCGAGCAAAGCTATGCCGCTTGTGCCGCTTTACCAAGCACGCTGCGACGTTTTGTATCAGCGTCGTTTTGTGGGAACTTGCGGGAGATTAGATGGCCGTATATCCAGACACCTTTGGTTTCTATGGGCAACTCTTCACAAAGTAAGTCTAATTGAAGCGTTCAAGAGCCAAAGCAAGGGCCCCTCCTCTTGTCTAATTTCATGTGCCGCATCCGTGTGCAGATCTTCCGAAAAGAGCCCTTCTTCTACGGCCACGACAACTACGACCAGCTCGTCAAAATCGCAAAGGTAAGGGAGGCCTTCCCTAGAACATTTGATACTCTTCTGGACGTCATGTTCTCGCGAAAAGCAGCATGCGCAACCCTCGGTCAGCGAGATCCTCCTCTTCTTTTGTAACCCGTTTCTGCACTTGCATCTGTTTTCTTGCACTCTCGCCGGATGTCTCTGGTCGGACTGTGCAAAACTTTTTGCGTTGGACAGCTATGCATCCTGTCTCGTTCCGCCAAGCCTGGCTCCAGAACAAGTCTTCGACAAATCAGATACCCTGAAGCAGCATGGTGGTATCACTCTAAGAAGAAACATCAGAGAGTCGATTCTAAAGAAGGAACCTCCCATTATTTTTCTACTGCAGGTCCTGGGCACGGACGAGCTGTACGCATACTTGAACAAGTACCGCATTGAGCTGGACCCCCACCTGGAGGCCCTCGTGGGGCGGCACAGCCGCAAGCAGTGGTCCAAGTTCATCAACGCGGACAACCAGCACCTCGTCTCGCCAGAGGTCAGCCTCTTCGGTTGCCCGCGTGTTTCGCCGCGTTCTTGTCGTGCATCTGTTTAGTCCGCCCTTTCTGTAAAGGGGGTAGCCTGACCATTCAAACCAGGGAGGGGGATCACAAGGCCTTATCGTGTTATTCGCAGCTTTTGTTAGTAAAGATCAGGTTCGAAAACGCTCGACCGATCACTGTCATTCTCCACTCGTAAGAATTGGGTCTTGGTCGTTCTGATTCGACTCGCGCTTCACAAGCGTGCTGAATCGTCCTTTTATGTGCAGGCCATCGATTTCCTAGACAAACTCCTCCGGTACGACCACCAGGAGCGCTTGACCGCGAAAGAAGCACAGGTGAGGTCCGCTGAAATTTCACCACAATCTGGTAGCGTCTGGATGGTCTGAATATCATGTTTCATCATCTTGACCCTCGCTTGTTCGAGACAGACTGCTTTTGCATGTCTGCTGCTTGCAGTGTGCGATATTCATTGCTTAATGTGAGTGCGACATAGGGTTAGTGAGGTTTGCATTGCTCGACTTTGATGGCCTGTTCGCTGATCAAATCAACGGCTCGTGTGTTTACAGCAACATCCGTACTTCTACCCCGTGCGCCAAAATGAAGCAAATCGATAGCCATTCTCCTGCCGGCCTGGTTTCGAGGGTTCTATTTGATAGGCCGCCAACGCTGGCGCTAGCAGTGTCGTAGTGGATCCAACACGTATGGTTGTAGATAATGGTGGATTTTCAATCATGTTGCGAAGACCATTGGATGTTGGTGACAACGTTGAGCAGAGTACTGAATGCTGGAGCTAACGGCTCAGGAGGCGTTTCGAGAAATGTATCAAGAAGTAGATCGAAGGGGGCAGGTGCAAGCTGCAAAGTAGGAGTCTATTCAGAATGGTAGGTTTCCGCGTGTGTGCTTGCTAGATATGCGCTTGGCACGCTGATTGGCCCCCGCGCCAATTATGATTGTGCTGTGAAGCATTGACGACAATAATCAGATGCCTTAGAGGATACACCATCATGGTCGGGCGGGATGCCAGACCACTGTCGCATAGTAGCGGCATCAGCACTGCTGCACGTACATGACTGATCCGAGAGGCCGTCAAAAATTGCATTGCAGTGCACAAAATAGTTTTCGACCACGGCGAATACCCAACTCCAACGGTCCATTCGGTTAGGAAGTTCGGCATGCTGTAATTTGATCCGTTTAAGCTTATATTTTGGTACGGCATATGTGCGACCATGATTTGCCAGACCTTCCTGATCACGCTATTACTTGGTGAAGCTTGTGTATTCAGATTAATTTGTGACTGGCCGGCATGCGTCATTTTCGGCCGGTCCAGCTGGTATTAAGTGCATGATGGCAGCCTGCATGGCATTTGTGTCATACCGTCACTTTTAATGAATGCTGGCATGCCAGCTAAAATGAAACTTGAAATATGCTGAAATGCGTACGTGCGCGCATATAATATCAGGCAAGCTAGTATATCATGTATATGTCATATGCATATCTCAATATCCTCAAATGCGTCATTTTATCACATGGCGCATGCCTGATCGAGTGTAATTACATCTATACCATGGCCTTGCTGCGTGCACATGCACCGGAAGACCTCTATAATGTATATCACTAACCAGATGATGCGTCGTCCCCAGCAATCCAAGGTACGTGCCGCTAGTGCCGGCCGAGGCGCTTCGGCACTTGCCATGCAGCGGAGCCTGCATTAGAGCTGACTCGATCTTTTCAATGATGAGAAAATCTGAAGCAAGTTGGTTAAGCTTCAAGCCCGGCCGCCATGACTTCACTCGATCCATGTACTTTGCATGGCGCAATTTACTAACGAAGTATACGTCAATCATGCAAGGGCCTGGATGCACTTGACTCGGAGCCCGGCTTTAACCTTTCGCTTCAGTGTAACACTGGCAGTTGAAGGCCGGCTGTTTGCAGACTCAGAAACTACCGTACGTGCAAATCCAACCTATAAGTAATCTTCAATTCGCTGCCTACAAAACAACACAAAAGGGGATTTATACTACAATCTGCAACACTCGAGAGTGTCCAGCTTATCGCGTGGTTTTCAGTTTCAAGAAGGGAACCTGCAATCAAACACAATTCTGCTGGCCTAGACTCTACTGTTCGCCAAGGCCGCACGCGTGATTAACGCTATAGCAAACGACAGTTGTTGACCTAAGACTGGCTAGCAACTTAGGTCTTCAAGATAAGTTAAGTTGACCTTAGCCCAGCCACAAGCAAACTCTCAAACACAAACACACACAAGTCCAATGCAAATTTCGAGTCTTTCTTGGAGGTAACTCACACACAGGCCATCCTAATTACATGCCTACGACAAGCACCAAGTACTCCTTATCTACAACATCGAGCCCGCATCAGCCGGCTCGTCTTCTTCCACCGAGAAGAACGCTCACTTAGCATAAGTGACATTTCAGCTTCATCTATATATATAAACAACACTGGAACCAATCGCTTGATCGTCGCTTCTATCGCTGAGCTGACCCTGCCTTAAAATCTTCCCACTTCTCCTTCAAGGCCTCCCACAGCTCGTTCTTAGCCGGGGGCGTGTAACCCTTCAAATACTGCTCGAAGTAGTTTCTCTTCAACGGCATGCACTTTCCGGGGGTCGGGCCACGGCCCGCCACTGGCCCCTGTCCAATCAACCTCTCGTTATCCTCCCCCTCAGTGGGGGGCAACTCGTCGCTGTACGGCTCTATAAGGGCCGTCCCCGGGTCTGCGCGGACCACATATGGGATCAGGGTCTTGAACCACTCAGGCGGAACCCCCGCGCGCGGGTCGATGACGTCAGCGGACTTGTTGCACAGGGCGAAGTCCCGAGAGAAGGTGTCGCTCCAGTAGCCGCTGACCATGTGCAGGTTAACCTCCAGGTTATGGTAGTACCCGATCGCGTCTTTGTTGTCCAGCGGGTTCCAGCCTGCAGGGAGCGTCGGGATGACGTCAGCGATGGCCTCCGTCACCATAGAGGCTATGGATGCCGTCAGCGATGGCGTCATCACTCTACAGCTCATGAGATGACGTCAGCCATGGCGTAGTCATTATAGAATCCATGACATGACGTCAGCGACGGCGTCCGTCGCTCTGAAGTCAATGCTTGAGGTTCGGCTCTCAAGCAGAGTGTTTTAAAAAAGCAATTGCAGAGACGGTTCGGGTCTAACATTCTGTGTCCCACTTTTAGTGGATCCGGCTGCTCGATGTTTGAATATGGAAACGGGCAAGAGCGGTCAATCAAACCCCGCCGTGGGCGCTCCAAGACGAAATCGGAAGGCTCAGGAAGAATAGCTCTTTCAAAGACCCATTATCTTATAAGATCTGTCCAAAAAGCCGTCGAAAGCGAGCACCTCGTGACATCAAAGCCGTCAAAGTGAGAGTCGTCCAGTGTAGATATTGAGGCCAGATTCCTATGCTAACCGGATGGGGCCATGTTCTTCATGCAACACCGAACCTAGTTTAATTTGTATCGGAATGACAACCAGTGGTAGGCTCTCGGACCTCGACCTACTCTGTTGGTTCTTATCTGAGTTAAGAGCCGTGTGCCTTTGAATAGGTGCCAGGAACTGGGTGGGGTTAGTATGTTGGTTAGGGTTGAAACAGGTGTGGAGCGCATTGTCACCCGATTTTGAGAATCCAGTGGGTCAAGAATACCCACTTCCCAAATGAAGTAAGTTGGCTCTACGGTGAGACACGAATTTTCAGTACTTGCAACCACACACCCCGCGTTAAGCTTCTCGCTGCCCGGTGCGTCACTCACTCGTCATCTTCTTGAGGTAGTCCACCTCGCGCGAGTCGTGCACGAGCTCCTGTTCGGGCGCCACGTGTTCAAATGCTGACGGCAGCCCCCACCCGTACCCGATTCCCTCGACCCAGTTGATGATATCGACCACGATGTCGTTGTTGGTGATCGCGGCGAGAATGTAGTAGACATTCTGGAGGTAGAACGCCTTGGGGACCTGGGTTACGATGTCGGGTTTGTTAACCACGCGGATTGCGGCGAGCTCATTTTTCTTGTTCCTGCAGAGGGGGAGCAAAGTCACGGTAAGCGAAGCCGGAGGACAGAAAGAGTGCGTTCGAAAACCTGGGTTACCATACGTTTAGTGAAGCCCGAGAACTGGGTCGAGCCAGTTGTCAGTGTTTCTGCGGAGGGAGGCTGAGGTATCGGGCTTGAAGGAGAGGGGATCTTCTAGAATGAAACCCATTGCACGCAGGTGTCGAGTTCGTCAGTCACGCGGATGGCGAGCACATTAACGTTCTCGGCGCAACGGAAGGCGAAAGGAGCGTTGTGCGGAGGAATGTAAGAGGTTTCTCCTTGTCAAACCTGGGTAGTAATCCCTATTGTCAACGACTCACTTCGCGACGCTGTCTGAGTCATTAGTAGGGGTCAGGAATGGTCGTGAGCGGCGGATATTTTCACCTGAGCGAATCTGGAGAGCTGGGTTGCATGTCGGACTCTTTATCAATTGTGAGTCGCCTGTTGTTTACGAATCCTGCCTTTTCCGAGGAAAACAGCAGCACCCTACTGAACAGACGCCTTGCGGGAGCTACAAAACAAGCACTCCAAAGCAAGCCGAACATTTCGTTTTATCCCTTCCGTTTGACCCGTCCCCGACTCCTGGTGCCGCTTGGAGCGAATCGAAACGCTTGGATGTGCAACGGCCGCTCTTTTTGCGAAACACAAACGCTGGTTTTCGACCAGTAAACACCGACCTGTCGCTTCCGGTTCGCTAAATTCAAGAGACGCGAGGCGCGAACTTTCCACTCACGCTGCGAACGACGCCTTGAACCTGGGATTGCCCACGCGGGGCGCCTCGAACGCGAAGCACGCGACCGGAACCCGCGTGACTCCGTCCGGCCTCAGATTATATCCGCTCTCGACTATGTCATACGCGCTCAGCACCGCGAGCGCGCCGCCCAAACTGTGCCCCGTCACGCTGATCGTCCGAGCCTCTGGATATTCGCTCAGCAGCTGGGGTATGGTCTCGTGAATCACTTTCTGCAAGCAGGACGTCGGTGTTCAGGAGCCTTCTTCCTTCGATGAGAGGGGGAGTCCCCTTGCTGGGTAGTGCACGCGGAGTCGGTCCTGTATTTACGCTTAGCGCGGATCTACAAGGTGGATCGCACAGATCCCTGGATGCATATTCGATTAATAGATTTCTGGCAGCCCGAACCGTTCGAAGAATAATCTGCCCACAAACGGAGATGTCAGAGTCTACAAGTCGACATCTCAAAGACGCCGAGATTCACTGAAACGGTCCTGCCCGACAGGTGCATCCTGTGTCAAACGTGCACCTCACAAAGCCCTCCCTTTTGGTGACCTTGTGACATCGGATACTTACGCCTTGCAAACGACAGAGCTTGGAAGGCTAAACCCCTTCAAAATCTCAAGACACCTGGAAAGACTTCCTCGACTGGAGCAGTGTTCGGGGTCTTAAGTGCGCTCATATCCCATGTCTAATCCACCCGCACATAAGAAAAGGCTCACATCATAGACCCTCAAAAGTGGCAAAACTCACCCGGGGGAACTTCCCCTGCGTCTCCTTGGCCTTGGGCAACTTGGGGGCCTTGTTCGGATCCCCGGTCGGGTCGTACAGCTCAAAGAACCCCTCGTGCACCTGCGGCACGTCCCCGGCTGACTCCCACGCCTCCGCTGCGGCCGTGGCGCCGGTCGGTAGAAGCACCGCGATGATGAAGATGAGCTTATCGACGGTCCAAAACTGGTCGCCAGGGTTCACCAGGTTGAGGAACGCCGTCAGCACGCCCACCGCGATCGCGTAGGACGTCACGAAGCCCCCCACTTTGCCCTTCTCTAGTTCGGGCCAGAACTGGAAAAGGTCCGGGAGCAATTTGGGGCCGAACTTGGAGATGGGCAGTGCGGCGACGGCGCCGAACGCGGCATTGAGAAGGGAGCCCAGGAGACTCTCCGACTCAACCAGTTTGGCGAAGATGTAGAAGAAGCCGGCAATGATCCCCGCTGAGACCCCGCCCAAGAACGTGGCGCCCACAAACGCGAGCGCGCCGTACCCGGCTTTGGAAAGGTAGGTCAAAGCGTCTCCCAGCGGGGGGGAGTCCTTGTCTTCAGTGGAGCCCTTGTCCCCTGCAAGGTCCGTTGATCCAGCGAGATCCTTCTTCCCTACAGTAGGTGCTACGAACTTTTTGTAGGGTATGAGGCCGACCCTGCAAGAAAGAAGGAGGATGATGAAACAGGGAGCTGCCTAGTGGAGGGACGTCTTGCTCCGCCTCTGTGCAATTTTAGGGTGGTTGCGTTATGAAAGAGGAAGCACGAGCCACCCAGTCCAGAGAACTGCGACTACATCTGCCTCAAAACTCAGCAGGCGACTCAGCTGGCTGAGACTACGACGTTGCACAAGAAGGAGGGCACCACTGGGACTCTACGGACATATGCAAGCAGGGGACTTTCCATTCTGACCTGAAACAGGACTGCCACATCACAGAGAAGACACGATTAGCAGAGAACTCAGGCCACGTATCTGACTTACTCTGCGTCGGCCACCCATTCCGCGGGTTGCTGCGTCCCGCGCCACCCAACAACGATGTCTCGTTTGGTCTTGCTATAAGCTATGTACCCGATCCACACGTCCTCCTGCATATCTTGGCCCTTATCGGCCTTTACGGCCCGGATCACCTTCGTTTTCTCGCTCGCATACATATAAGCGACGGCCTCGTATCCCTCCCCCGGGAGGTGTTCGAAATAGGAGGGGACCTTCAGGTTTTCCCCGAAGAGATTGCTGGGCACCAGGTCTTTGCCGACTTTCTTGGTGTATCTGCAGCGGGGAAGAGAGTGTCAAGAGAGTAGCTGAGGTCCCAGGAACTTAATAAGTCAGTTGATTAGTTAGTTAACTTCATTGACAGATAGTTAGTCAATTAGTCAGTCGGTTACTCTTCCTCAGCGCTATTTGAGCTTTCAAGGATTCAACATGTTGAAGACGCCGGTGTTATGGGCAGTTGTAGACATCTGTGAAGTAAGAAGCTGGCCCTTCGAATGCTAGAAAATCCTTTGCGATGTTTACTCACAGTCTCCTCTGCTGCGAGGGTGATCAATCATAGCACCTATGACCAACATTCCAAAGAGGAGTGGCTTTCTCACGTTGAAGAAGCAGGACAGTGTCTGACACAGTGAACGTGCTTAGACATACTTTAGATGACAAAAGCCTTTGGTCTATGTCATGCTCCAAAGACAGGGTACAAAGATGCTTCCAACACGAACCTACTCACTGAAAAGGCAAAGTAGATGGATGGACGAAACTAAAACAAAGAACAGAAACAGAACGAGGCAGAAAACTAGGCTGAGCGCATCTCATTACCGGTTCTGGGAGCGGTAGCGGCTCCATTCGTACAGATCCACGCTGTCGTACGTCAGCTGCGCCATCTCGCCGTACTTGATGATTGTCTTCTTCAGGTCTGGGTCAAGTGTGCCCGGGTCACCGTTTTCGCCCTTAATAGGAAGAAGGCCAGCCCAGTTGCTCTTGCCATGGAGCTCCAGCCACTTCGGATCATCATCGTCTGAGTCGCCCTTTACGACGGTCTGCAAGATTCACAGGAACATTGTTTTGTGGCTTTTTGGGGTAATTTGAACTTGGGATTTTCTAGAGATGAAAATTCCAGAGATGAAAAGCTCAGCCAGTGGGGCTCAGAAAGGTCGCCCTTGGTGCCAGTCTACACCAGTAAAATGTTGAAGGAGTCGTACGGAAAGAGCTAGAAGATTTGTCCTTTTGAGATTTGGATTTCAGATTTGATTTTCCTTTGGAGTTTATCCTTTGTGGTAGTCTAGATTGAGCAGGAACTGTTGACGGTCTGCACCCTTGCATTCTTTCCTTCAAGTAGCAAATAGCAAGTAGAGAGATGCGTTTTGTGGAGACATGAAAGACAAGTGAAGGAATGAGATGGATGCGAGTCTTTCTACATTTGCAACTGTGCAACAGGTTTTCTTAGCTCCTTCTGCCAAGTCCCATTCATGAGAGTGGTTATTATGGGCAAGGTTGGGGGGGGGAGGCATTGTGCAAGTCTGAAATGAGGGATTAAGGTGCAGCGACGCTACAAGAAACAGACTGCAGTGGCGGCAAAGGGCATTTGATCTAAAGTTGATTCAATTGAGTAGACCCCCTATGGTGTTTGACAGGAGGGAAGATGTTGTCAGACCAAAACCAGAGAATCATAGGGAGCCTAAGACGAATCCCCTTACAATTCCCCCTACTTTTGAGATCCCATTTCTTAGGAAGTAAATGCAGTGTGTTTTCGTGTATGAAGAATCATATAGTCCTGCTTGAATCTTTCATGATTTTAGGGCTGCTTCAATTGTAATGAGTGCGTAGACTGGGTCCCTTAAGATGCCAGCTCCTTTAAAGAGCTGTAGAGGAAGAAAGAAGGATAAATTATGCACCTGGCCAAGTATTCTAAAAAATTCAAGAACCCTCCATGAAAAGAGGTAGATTGACAAGGAGAGCTACACTAGTTGACTGACCAATTGCTTTCCTTGCAGAACCAAGATTCTGAGCTCTGTCTGAGCATCCTTTCATGGGCCTATTTGGCACATTCATGATGACAGCTACCGATCTTGAAAACAGATTGAGTTCTTTGCGCTGATATGAACTCCCCTTTACTTTGAGATCCGCATTGTTGCTACTCAGGTTGCTTTGTCATTACAGGAATCACCAATTTCCAGTCTTGCAGCTGCCACTTCCATTGATGGACAATTGCCTCAAAGTTTGGATTCTGGACGTCTCAGCCGATACTGAATTGCCCCATATGGCAGTCCACTTCTTTGTGTCAATCATCCTGGCCCCCTCTCTGATTTAGTCAACAAATCAATGCAATCTCAATGATTGAGGGGCGAGCAACAATCTCTAACTTAGGCAATGCAAGCCAAGTTGCTTTGAGATAACAATGTACACAAAAAGTTGCTCAGGTCTGCCACAGCCATTACGTCTATCCCTGCTGCCATCACCCACCTTGGGCGCTGATGTCGACACCGCCTGTGCTCGGGCAATCGGCGCAGGCCTCGAGCGACGAATCTTGGAGCCCTCCGCCGATTGAGAAAGCTTCCCCCCAAAGAAGGGAGTGCCCCTCAGCAATGTGGGAGCTCGCAGATTGGCTGGGCCCGCTCTTGTTGCTAATGCAGGCCCCAGAGAAAATAGAGTGGGGGCGAGCGCACAGGGCGCAACTGACGAGCAGGCCATGACTTGTGTGGAGTTCTTGGTCTGGCAAATTCTTGCTGGCTTTTTTATGCACGTCTTCGCTTTGATTTGTGAAATGAGCTCAATTGTGGGGAAAATAGCAATGTGACAAAGTAGCTGGTCAAACTCTGGGACCGATTGCTGCACATGAGTCCCCGGACTTCAGGCAGATCGGAGAGATGCAGCAGAACGGTTGCAGGGAAGGGGAGGCAATCAGCTTAGCCTTAGGATCAAGCAGGACGAAGAGCGAAAGAGAAGCCTCGATGTGAATGATGGAACTTGGAAGTGGATAACGAAGGAGCAGTAATATAATTCGTTTTGCACAGTTGGTTCCATTCCCCCAATGATGACATGTTAGCAAATGCTGCGTTTGAGTCTCCAGAGGTCGCCATAAGCGCCCGATTACAAGCAGTGTAACTGTATTATGTTGCATGAGAGTGATCAACCGGACCGACTCCAACAAATCCACCGGCTGTGACCGGGTATTTAGAAAAGTTAGAAACACTGGATCGCAGGTGCTGGATAGCCAAGCCGACGAATCCGGCAAGAAGCCCGCAAGAAGTCGGCTTCGGAGGCAGGTGGTCGACATCCAGGGAAGGTAGGTAGGTAGTCGGCTTTGAGCCGACTTTTCCACAAGTGTGTGGCGACCCCTGCGTTTGACTCTCGGAGCTCTGGCTTGGCCAATCCAAGCCGTTCATGATCCTCAGCGCATTCATCGTACGGTTCATATCAGTGACCGGGAGTCTCCCTCATCCACTGCCCTGTCGGCGAATGATTGGTAGACTCGGTTTAGAGGGGGATTCCGTGCCGAGGGAACGATGTCGCCTACGTTCGCAGTTCCGGCCGGAAAGCCGGAAACTGGCTGGGAAAACCCTAACTCTGAAAATTCTGCAGAAAGAAATCGCATGCTCTGCCAAAAAAGAGAAAGCAGCGTGCAGGCTGCGAACAGGAAGAAAAGGAAGAAAGCAGCACAGCAACATTAATCTTTGGCCGATGCGGGGAAGCTGGAAGGTCTTCCTAGCTCTTTAAGCCATTCACTGGTACACTGAGACTGTCCAGCCTTGAGATCTGCTGCAGGCAGCGGGCTTGTCTGCAAGCAATGCCGAATTTTGTAACCTGGGCTTCAAGAACCACTGCAATCATGTTTCACTAGCACCATTCTTGTCGCACTCCATTTGGTCTGGCATTGTATACTTTTGGGGCCTGTGGCTGATATACCACCAAATCGATCTGTAAATCCCGAACGGATGGGAAAAAGCAAGGGGAGCCGGTCCCCGAAACCAGAGGGGAGCCCACGAATGGTGGCGCCACCTGGTGGTACAGCTGGCAATGGTGGGTCCATTCGCATAACCCCCGCTCTGTGTGAAACAAAAAGCTTCGTCAACGCCAGAATATAGTTTTCTTATCTGCCATGTTTCAAAGTCATTATCCGCTTCTTGTTTGGGCTGTTTGTTGGACTTTGCTGCAAGTAATTGCTCAAAATAATGCTGTCTGAGGGGTGTGTACGTTGGAAGTTCCTGATAGAGCTTGATTGGCAGTTCCACGCCAGCGGCCATTGAAAGAGGCTTCATGCTCCCTTTTTGAGGGAGCACCACCACTTAGATGGTCAGAAAAGTCTTCCGTCGGATACCCTACAAGGTTACAGACTTATGACTCAAGCTCCTGCCTGGATCCTTTGGGTTTGCTGCCTTTTCTAGCTTCGAGCAAGTTCCATAACAACAGATTACTCTAAAATCCAATCTGCAATCTTCACCTCACCACCTACCACACAACCGTGTTTCAGCTAGAATTTTGCACTTGGACATTGCCATAACGTGTGCTACTGAGGTTTGGGCTGGGGGCTTCTACTTGAAAACTCCCTCAATCACTTGGGAGCCATATGTTGAAGTTTTTCTCCAGCCGCCAACAGAAAATCATGGGCCTGCAAAAGCTGTTCCGTCTTGGCGTAGCACGCCCCAAATCACATGCACTGATGAACCCCGGTTTGGTCCTCCAGTCTCTGCCCCAGGCCTAGTTGGCCATTCTTTTGAGGTGGCGATCATTGGCACTGCTCCCCGGGGTCCAACCAATGGCCCGGCGCGCATCTACTTATCGCCCACGCTCATGATGGCTGAGGCGGTCGGCACTGGAGACTTGCTGGCGGTGCGTTTCATCTGCTCTGATCTTTGTATTTTGCTGTGGGGATTCCACTGTTATACATCCAAGACCCTGCTGACCCTACGTTAATCATATGCTGAACTGGTCAGCGTACCGGGATTTGAGCCATGCACCCGTGGAAGTTGATAAGATCCAAAGCTTTCCTTTTAGGGCAAGTTCACAAAGACACCTAGCAGTACGCTTTCTAGCGAGAAATTGCATTGACATAAGGTTCCTTTGTGAGACAGCACTCGAATCATGCTATTTGATACTAGGATCCATCATTGTTCCAGCTTAGTCCTCAATCTTAGCTCCGTTAGTGTTCCAACTGCTCTGCCCACCACTAACCCGCTGGTTTGCAGGTTGGTCTGCTGGGATCGGAAGGAGGGCTTGTCAATCTTACCGCGTTACATCAGCTGACAAGCGGACAGAGCGCCAGCAGCTGTGGGGACTTTTTCACACTGGTCGATGCATGGCCGTCGCCCAAGGTGGGAATTCACTCCAAGTTTGGCAGCTTGGCTTCCGTTCAGTAGAAAGGGGAAGGGCAGGTTTGATTTGGGCGACTTGCATCGTCCAACCAAGAAAGGTGAAACGGATCTAAAGGTCGGACCTGGATTACATGTGCTGGTGACGTCACTCAAGCTGCTGCTGCTGCAGTGAAGCAAGACATTGTCATCGGGGACTCTTCCATGTGAAAGCAACTCTGCCTTGCTTACTTAGGAGCCCTCAACCTCTTTGACCCGTGCCTATCATTTTGCAGCTGCCCCGAGACGCCGCCCGCCTCTCCCCTCCCCTCGCGGACTCCTTGGCCCAGCCCCCGGGAGGCTCCGTTTTGTGCCTGTTCCCCCTTCAAAAAGTCGACACCCTCAGCGGCCCCGACACGCAGAGCGTTTCGGGTCCAAAATCGACGGCTGTGCAATCGAACATTCGGGCAAAGTTTCGAATGGAGCGGTGTTCGAACCTCCAGTTGCGATGGTGCCCTCCTCAATCGACTGATCACACCGAACCTCTGCCGCTGCCTCTTTCGCCCCTGACACCCCCTAGCAAAGGCACCCCTCCAAGCCGGCCAGGGATCCCCCTCGACACGCAATCTCCTCAGAGCCCGCAGACTCCTAACCCACACCCTCAAACCCCAGGTTTACAAGCCCAAAATCCCCTAACCCCAACTCCGCAAACCCCCCGGGGGAGGCGGCCGCCCCAGGCCAGCCCAGCGACCCCAAAAGGGCGCAATGTTTCCAGGGGGTCTGCGTCCCCTTCGCCGTCCCCCCTGAAACGAAACCAGGAGGAGCAGCCACCCCCCAGAATGACGGAGGGGCAGCGCGCTGCGGTGACGTCACTGTTGGGAGACGCGAAAGGGAGGGGTGTCGTGGAGACGTTCGCGGCACGGTGGTTGGCGGGAAGACATCTGGGTGAGACACGCTTTTGTTTCAATATAGAGAATACTCCGGTGCACCTGTATTGATTGCGTTTCTGTCCAATCGTCCTCCTTGCTCATATTTGTCTCCTTGGATCAACCCATTTCAGCTCCTTTTCCGTTGGAAAGATGGTCACAGAATGTTGGGGAATCCATTCGTTCGCTTCCTGCGCCAATCGCTGGGTTTGCGCGCTTCCTTGCTGGCTAATTGTCACTGCCATACCCGCTTTGACTTAGGGCCCTACATTAGATCTTAGGACCTACTTTGCTGACGGAGCCCTTGACAATACCTTTCCTCGAGGCTTTTAACGGAAGCTTGGCGTTACGTGTCCAGCCCCACGGTCGATTCCCAAGGGTCTCGACGCCTGCTGCATTGCTGTCGGCCAATCAGAGGCTGACACGTTTCCTTCTCCTGCAGTTGAGGGCAACCACGTGATCATCCCCCTCTGCGGGTTCAACTGCACCTTCCAAGTTCTCTGTCCCACCGCCTCAGAAGCTGCCACGTCAACTCCCCCCGAAGAACCCTCTTTCTCTTTTCGCCCCCCCGAAACGAACCCGCCTCTCCCGTCCGCTTCTGTACCGCCACTGGTCGCGTTCTCAGTGGTTGGCGCCACAAAAGTTTCGTTTTTGGAACCGACGGAAAGCGAACTGGACGCACAAACTAGAGGAGAGGAAAAGGCCAGGTTGGAGAACGCCGAGAATTTGGAAGTGGGCGAAGCGATCGAGAAGGAAAGGGTGGGGTATTCCGAACTAGGGGGGGTAGGGGAGCAGATCAAGGCGCTGCGAGAGCTGGTGGAATTGCCCCTACGGCGCCCGGAGATGTTCAGAAGGTGAGTCTCATTTTTTCACTCTTCGATGTAGTAATAGCAAGCGTCAGGGAAATTTAGCTCGCCAGCCTCGGACGGGTGAGGATAGTCTGGGGGTGTAGGGTGGGTACGGGTCTGGGGCTGGTGGTTCCAAGAGTTCGGTTTTCAACGGTGGGCTAGGAGCTTACTTTTCCTAATGCTTACTGTTTCCACATTGAAGAATCATGGTTATCTGGTCAATGACGGGCAAGCGTTTGCTTTTGCTTTCTCTGGTCAACGACAAAAGGCGATTCGTCGCGACTTGCGACCACTTTTGGTGATTGGGTTGGGTGTTCGTCGTGAACGCACCTCTCGCCTGGCTGCTCAGACTTTCCCTTCGAAGCGGATGAGAAGATGCTCTCTCCTAGTAAATCACACCGCGTAATCCTTTCTTATTGGCCTGCTTCGAGCATCCCCTTTGGCGCGGAGCTTGGATTTCTCGGTTTTCATCCATTGATGGCCCTCCGTTGGTAGGTACGGTATCCGACCTCCACGTGGCGTCCTTCTATACGGCCCCCCGGGCACCGGGAAGACGCTCCTTGCCCGGGCGGCCGCGATCGAATCTGGAGCGTCGATGTTCGTCATCAACGGCCCAGAGATCGTCAGCGCGCACTACGGAGAGAGTGAGGAAGCGCTGAGGGACGTCTTTGCCGCAGCAGAGAAGGCCGCGCCGTCGGTAAGCCTGTGTTTGCAGCCAATCCTCATGCACACAATATGTCTCTAGGAGGTGTCGTCTTTAATAACCCTGTTTGTAACCGACAGGTCTGACGAAATGCTGCAAACTTTGATTACGAATCGATGGCTGGCCGTTGCGCTCCTTGCACTTCTCCGCCGCTGGTTCGGTGCGCAATCTTCCGACACAAAGATGCCCGCTTCTTCAGTATCGCCTCGCTTCGTAAGCTTTCCCGTATACCTGCTTCTTCCCGTGATTCTAAGCAACGTCAGAGGCCACGTCAGGTCTTAATCTGGATACCGTTGACCTTTCCGCCCCTCGCTCACGTCGAAGCCTTCAGTTGCTTCTCTTGCATGTTACCCAACTGTGTGACTCGTAAGGGCCACACAAACCCTCACCCTCTTCCTGTTTCGTTAAACCTTAACCCGTGCTCTTAACCCGGCAGGTTATCTTCATCGACGAGCTAGACGCAATCGCCCCCGCTCGGGAAACAGGCACCGAGGACATGGCCCAGAGAATGGTCGCCGCTCTGCTCACACTTTTAGACGGAGGAAGCGGCAATTTCAACCGGGTGATAGTGATCGCGGCGACCAATCGCCCGGAGTCTATTGACCCCGCGCTCAGGCGCCCGGGGCGCTTTGACCGGGAACTCGAAATCGGTGAGCAATTGAGTTCTTTCGATACTTGCGGAAGTCGTTTCTTGTTTACCGTCCTTAGACGGACTTCAGACTTTGATTGACTGACAGTGCAGGAGACTCCAATGAGTGCCACTTTTATCGCTTTCTGTCAACTTCAGGCCAAATCGGGGAAGGCTGGAAGCCTGATGCCACTACTGCTATGCGGCATTCGGTACATTTGGAATCGAATAGGAGAAGAGTGTCTTTTGGCTCCGTTTCGTTCACATTATTGGAGCCTTTGCTAAAGGTTCTCATCTGCCCTGTAGCGCGCCTTTCCCAGTGTTTTTCGGTCTTCATAAGTATAACCTGCGTCCCCAAGCACTAAGAGTGAGGTAGCTCCTTGAGACCTCTTCCCTCTCAAGTTGTAACCATCTAACGTTTCCCTGCAGGCGTCCCGACCCCCAAGGGCCGCCTCGAGATTCTTCACACCCTGCTCCGCGGCAAGCGCCACAGCCTGCGCCCCTCCGATGTGAATACGCTCGCGGCTGCTACGCACGGGTTCGTGGGTGCTGACCTGGCGGCGCTTTGCAACGAGGCCGCATTAAATGCGCTGAGGCGAATCATTGGCGCGCGCGTGCAAAGCGCGCAATCTGCCGGTCCGCGGGATGCGGACGTACGGAGGACTGACGTGAAAAGGGACGAAGGTCTGCGAGCGGAAGGGAAATGTAGGATTGAGAGTGCGAAAGGGGAGGTAGGAGGCGGGAATAGATCAGGGGAGGGCACTTTTGGAGAGCTTTTGGACAGTGTACAAACGAGCGGCCGAGCGGAAGATACAGAAAGTAAAAGTAAACAAACTCTGGAAAACAACATCGGGGCAACTAGTAGTGGTGAAAGCTCGGGAGCGCGGAACGGGCAGGTTCAGTCAGGTTCGGACAACGGGTTAGAGAGTGACGTGACGGCACGATTGTCGTCTCTCGGACTCGAAGACCCAAGTCAGAACGGGGATAGCGCGGGCCTAGCAGTGGATTCGTTGCCCGGTCCGACCTCCCGGTTGCAATCAAACCCTCTAATCCTCCCCGACTATCCAGATCGTCAAATTCAGCGGGACTCTGACAGCCTGAAACAGCTGCCGAGCCCCTCTAGTGAGCCCGCCAGTGCTTCACGCACCCCTTCAACCTCTGCAGAAACACCCATCAGCCACAACCCCTCCAATTCTCTGTTCGCTTCGTCAACCGAAAACCCTCCAAGCTCCGCAAACCCCCCGGAACCCCGAAACTTTTCCAAACCCCCCTGCATAACCCTAGCCGACTTCGAAGCCGCCCAAACCAAGATCCGCCCCAGCGCGATGCGCGAGGTCATGATCGAAGTGCCACGTGTCCGGTGGGCGGACATCGGCGGCCAAAAGGCGACCAAGCAGAAGCTGCAGGAGACTGTGGAGTGGCCGCAAAAGCACCCGGAGGCCTTCTCTCGGGTGGGCGCGCAGGCGCCACGTGGCGTGCTGCTGTACGGGCCCCCTGGGTGCAGCAAAACGCTCATGGCCAGGTAAGGAGCCCACTACTTCCCTGGGAAAACAGGAACTTCCCGTGGGTTTTGGTGCTTTGTTCGCCCTGTTTTTCTGGGGAAGAGCTGACTTAAGGAGGGGCTAGCCGAAACGAGGCCGTACTTAGTGTTCGTTGCCACCTCGCTTATTATGTTACTTTATTCTGAGTGCTTGTCGAAGGATGGGACGGTAGAATATTTTTCTGGCAGGACCTGGGACGGATTTTTTGTGCGGACGGGGCTTCTTGCTTCGGCCCCAAGGCTACACGACCTGTCCAAATTCACTAACCTTTTGTTTGCCAGTGGTTGCATTCAATTGCACTTGCATTCCTTCGGAAACGGAATGGAAGGAGGTAATAATTGACTGGGTGGAGTTCTCCCTTGTTTCAACGAGGGCCGATCTAGCCGAACCTCTTTTTCGAGATAACTTATTTAAGTTCCTGAAGATCCCGACGCGCATAGTGCACGGCCTGAGCCCTTTCAAAATCGGGCGCCGTAGCTGGCAGCCTTGCATAAGTATTTCTTATCGATGGAGTTAAGAAGGAACAAGAGGGACGAAAAATCATTTCCACTCAACTTAACTCTTGCTTGTTCCTCCGCAGGGCCGTCGCAACTGAGGCCGGGCTCAACTTTTTGGCCGTCAAGGGCCCCGAGCTCTTCTCCAAGTGGGTCGGCGAGTCCGAAAAGGCTGTGCGCGCGCTTTTCGCGCGGGCACGCGCCTCCTCGCCGTCGATCATATTCTTCGACGAGATCGACGGCTTAGCCGCGACCCGGGACGACGGATCCACGGACGGCGGAACCGGGGTTAGCGAGCGGGTTATGAGCCAGTTACTGACGGAACTAGACGGGTTAAGCCCGCTTGCGGGGGTGGCGATTATCGGGGCGACAAACCGACCAGATATAATTGATCCCGCGTTGTTACGGCCCGGCAGATTCGACCGGATGCTCTTTGTGAGTCCGCCGGACTGCAAAGCGAGGGAGCAGATTTTTGGGATCTGCCTGCGGGCGACCCCCTGCGATGCCGGCGTCCGGGTCGAGGACCTGGCGGAACGGACGGAAAAGTACACGGGCGCGGACATCGCGGCGGTGTGCCGGGAGGCGGCGCTGGCGGCTCTCGAGGTGAGCGCTTTCGTGACGAAAGCGTGACGTCGGTGGGAATGGATGGGGCTCGTCTCGTTGGCTCGAGGGTTTCGGGGCTCCTTTTTTAGGACTTTTGACATCGACTTCGGAAAAAAAGCCTGGATATGCGCTGGGTGAAGCGGAGGCTCTCACTTGCTGGTTTCACTCGACTACAGTCCTCATCTACCGCATTTGTCTACATCAAGAAGCGCGTCTGTTCTCCCCAGCCCTTTTGACTCCCGATAGTGCGACTACGTTTCGAGCCAGCTGTTCGACGCATTCTCTACGGCCATATCGAGCACCACTCCTTTTATCCAACGGGAAGTGCATCTTGGTTACTCGAGACGGAACTTCAGGGAGGGCGGGTGCTGGAATGTGTTGACCCTTCGACGTCCAGCCTGCCATACGGCTTCCATCACATCAGTTGCACCCTTTTCGTAACAGGAATCAAAACCCAGACTCAATGGGGATTTTCCCACTCTTTCCAGGAGGACCTATCGGCGACTAGCGTGAAGCCACGTCATTTTGACGCCGCGCTAAAGACCGTCGGCCCGAGCATCTCCCCACACGACGAGACCTTCTACGCAAGCTTCCAGCGGGGATAAGCGACGACGCGGGTGCATATACGAGCTGCGGGCCAGGATAAGCGATGCGATCGTTCATGCCTTTGCGAGAGAGCGCACTCTGCACAATGCGCAGTTTCCGTTGGTGAACGAGGCTTCAGAAATCAATGCTCGCGTCGATCTCCGTCTTTTGCTCTTGAAGCGCAAGAGGAAGAGGACAAGACCGCATTTGAGGAGTGGCTTTAACAGCAAGCACTGCCAAAGACCGCATAACTTCATTCTGAATATGCTCAGTCAAAGCGACGGTCAGATGCATAGGATTGCGGCCTGCCGGTCGAGCGGAACTCGTCGAAAGTTTGAGCTTTATATATGCATGTGAGTGTCTTTGGAGGCGGAGAAAAGTGATAAATGGCAGCTATATAATTGCGCTAAGGCCGAACTTAGGAAATATAGCTAGAACCGATCGTCCTATACAGATTTTACAAGCGCATGCACAATGATATATGACGCGTGTTTGGCTAGCTTAAGCCTAGCAGTGGCAGTCACGATGAGTACGACCGAACGGCACATGCACACGCGGAATTAAGTTCATGCTCGCAAACCCTATGAGCGTATATGTCGCATGGACGTAAATCATTGAAGTCGATCAACTTGCACATGCACTGATCTGCATGAGATTTAGTCTCATCAATGGCATGCTTACATGAAGCACGCGCCTCCAGTACGGTACCAACCGACAACTCATATAAAGTAGTATGGGCTTGAGCTTGTCCGGTCATTGTCCCGATGGCGACGACGTATCGGATGCACGAAGAAGACATGGATGACAGTCACTCATGTTGGCATCACAGCTCAATTGTTCATGATCAGGGCTAAGTTGTTGAGACGGTCGACTCAAGGTGTTACTTGGCTTGTAGGCTCCCAGTGTTCAGCTCAATATGCCACGCGCCCAATGATACAACAGACTGTCAGACCGCGGTCTGCGATTGGCTTGCTGTGCTTCTGACCGCACATTTGTGCTTCACGTCGTGACAAATGGATCCATTCTCCACCCTTGCAACTATGAAGAGTATTTCTTCAGCAAGATCCGCTTTCTTCCAAGCTCAGCATAGCCTTGGGCAAGTGCTTGCCGCGCGCTATCCGGGTTGGTGAACCTCACGAACCCAAACAATCTGCAAAAGTGAACACCTGAGAGCTCGTGAAAACTGAAAGACGGAATTTGGCAAAACCCGACCCCTGTGATTATCCGCTCGAAATTCAGCGCACAAAGCTACCCCACAGACACGCCAAGATCGGTGAAATGCAAAGGCATCACGAAGAACCCGAATGAAGCGTCGCTGCATTGCCCTTTCCTCAGCAATGAAGACAGATAGATGTTGCTTCGGCGGAAATCCGATCTGCGCATGGTTTTCAAGGAAGACGATCCTTAAATAAGAACCACGGAGAATTCGCCGGCCAAGAATGCAGATGAATTTTCTAGACGACAAGAAGATAAAAAGTGTCTCACCTCCCTCTTGGCAGGCTCAGCCCATGTACCTCCCCAAACTGCGACAGCACCACCTTCAGCTCCGCATATGGACAGTCCGGCGGCAGGTGCGTCACAAACAGGTGCCACTCCGCCTTCTTCGCCGGCCCGCCCGTTCCCGGGGGGGTGCTAGAAGCACCGGAATCGCCCCCCCTACTGTCCGCGCTTTGGCCCCAATCCGAAGCACCTCTCCCAGGGGGGTAGCTGGAAGCAGCCGAGTGTACCCCCCGGCTCTCTGTACTTTGGTCCCACCCCGAAGGACCTCTCTCCGGGGGGGCACTAAAACCGGCGGATTCGCCCCCTGGGGCCCTGTTTGCGGAACTCCTCCAGTTCCCTTCCCTATGGCTGCCCGTGCTTCCGTAAGCCGTTTGAGGAACGGGGCCTCTTCCGGATGTCGAGGCCCTGTCTGCGCTGCCGTACGACTGCCCCTCACTGCTGTGGAAGCTGCCTCCCGGATTGACAGGGCCTCCCGGCTTTGGAGACAAGATCCCCGCCCCCGGCCGGCCGTAACCCGTGCTGACGTCCTCCCCTCGTGATGCCACGTCAGCACCGTTTCGAGAGCCCCCATAGCTTTGTGACGCCCCGTAACTTCCGGCGTCCCCTGACGAAGACTGCGCGGCTCGGCTGTGCGCAGCTGCCGATGCTTCCGGGACGGGGGGTCTGCTCACAGTTCGTATCACTGCAGTCGCCGCCCCCCCGTCTGCGGCTTGCTTCGAAGCGATCCAGGTCGCTGCCTTTGCGCTGGGGGCTTTGGGCGCGGGTTTGGTGGGCGCAGGGGTTGAGCGTGCGGGGGAGTCTTGCCCCGTGAAAAGGGCCACCCCCGGATTGACGGTCTTGTCCGAGAGGTGGAAAAGCTCCGGGCGGGCCTTGAGGAAGGACGTGACGCCGCCAAAGTGGATCTGCAGCAAAATTAACGGAATGATTGGAGCGTTTTTTCCAAAGGTTTGCGAGTTCAGTGCAAGATTTGGTGCGTCTTCAGAACAAGAAGGACAAGAAGGCATCAGCGGCAGTTCTTGAGAAGACTACTCAAAAACAGCCGTCACGCCCCCACAATGAATCAATGCACGGGTGCGGATATTTGCAAACACGGTCGGGCTTGATCTGGTTTTTCTGAAGTTGACGTGGTCACAAAAGAGTAGGAAGCATCGGCCAGACACTGAAAACGAAGCCAGAGGAAAGCAGAAGCCAGAGGCGATGAAGTAAGAGCACAGCCTTAACGAACTATCTACAGAGTCTTACCTTGACTTGTTCGCTGAGACTCCGATCGTGGTCAATGAGCTTGGCCCCTAAGCCTGACGCTTTCATGGAGGGGCTGCAGACAACAAAAGACAACTGGATCAAACTCCAACGTGATTTAAGCGGATGACAATGATTGGCAGCTAAGTACGCAAGGCCCAGTCCACCAGCAACTTTGTCGGAGAACTGGATAGGCCAGCTAGTCAAATTATACGACGACGAAGACCTTTCTTACTTCTCGCAGAGAATCAGCATGATGGCCCCCAAGGCCTCAGCTTCGACGTCCGCTTTCCGCCGCACGTCCCGTTTAGCCTGCAGAGTAGGACTATGGGAATTGATACACACTCAAGTTGCCAAGTGTGCTAAATATTCCGAATGCTGACGCGAAAGAACGTGCTTCCTGTTCCAATCCATGATCGCCCCTGTTCAAGCGGCCGCTTCTTGCGCGGATGGCGGTTGATCGAACAGAAACTATTCAATATCCAAGTTTAGCTTAAAGCACGTCAGCGTTTGTCACGATTGAGTACCCGGTCTTGGGAACGGGTTATACTACTTGAAACCGAGCCAATCCTGCTGGCGCTATTTGTGCGCAATATTTGACATAACTCTCTTCATTCGCGCACCTCAACGAAAGACAGGCACAACATACTGCGAGTGACCGGCCAACTGCGGTGCTACCCAAAAGAAAACCAAACGTGAGCCGTTGCAACTTGCAGAACCATTTAAACAGCGGGTATGAAAGCGAGGTTGCGCCATCCATGCAAACCCGCTTACTGACAACCCAAAAAATAGCTCACGCAATTTGACACGACTTCTTGCCGCTCACCTTTGTTGCTGCCGCTGCAGCAGGCTTCGTAGCAGTCGGGCCCTGTGCCCCTGTCTGCATGCTCGTCGACCTAGGCAGCGCAGCCTGCTCTGAGCGCACCCCGCTCGCAACAGGGCCCGGCGAACTCGCCCTCCTTGTGTGACTTGCTGACGTCGGCTCCTTTTCCACCTTCTGATAAGCCGGGTTAGCGCTCTTGACGGGAGCCAAACCCTCCGGTTTCTTAAAGGTGCTCGCGCTTGTGGCGCGAGTGGGCGCCGCTTTGGGGGGCTCCGAATGGCCCGCAAGTTTGCCCCCTGCTGAGTGAAAAGTTTGGAGGTTCTGGGAAGGGGGTTTGGACGTCCGCTCCGTTTTCGGGCGGTCAGTACCGAGGGGAAGTTGGTACAGACCGTTAGGACCCCAGCCGTACTGAGCGGGGTCGTCGGGGAGAGCGGCGAACGTCATGTTGCTGGCGCGGAATAGACGCACGTGGCCCTGTAGACAGGTCAAGAAAGATAGGCGGTCAGACCGAGAAATTGTATCAAAGTGGCGCCAGAGCCACATCCGTGCTTTGTAGCGAAGAAGAGGAGGACAAATTTTATCCGTGGAGAATCAACATCGAGATTACACGTGGGACCAGGAGCACCATCTCGTAAAGCTTTTACAAAGAAAGAATGTAAAGGAAAGAATAGGAAGAGAGTGTTCTCATAGTGGCAGTCTCACGTGCACCACCTGGGTACACAACATGCTGCAACCAAGGAGTAGTTGCAAATGCGAAAAAGTTAGGTAATAACGACGATGCCGTAGTACTTGCTGTTCCTAACTGAACAGTCTGCTCGCGAACCCCTATGCCTCAAGCATTCGAAAGCCTAAAGCCCTTCGAATCGCTCATCAGATTGAAAGCGCTGAAGCTTTACCTTGTCCTCCATCGCCTTGCACAGGTCCAAGAACCGCGTGAACTTGCTGTCCTTGATGTCGAAGCCGGGTACTCGCTTCTTCAGCTGCAAAGAAGATACGGGGACTCTGAGCTTAGGGGCTATCGCAAGTTCCCTCGATAGTATGAGCCGCCTGAATCACGTGTGAACGTCCATCAAACGTCGAGATAAAGGGGTCAAGGCTGTGCTGAGAACCCCGGAAAACTCAAAGTGGCGTCAAGTAGAAGATAAGGGGAGAACATTGTAGAGACACCCCACGTGTCAAGATTCGCATCCGTAGCAAGCTCCTGCAGCATCACTGGTGCGCAAAGAAAGTGACACAGCTTGCTTCAAATGAGAGGAAATGAGCAATCAACTTCATCGATGTTCGCTAGGTGTGTCCCATCGCTATGTATCAGAACAGCGAGCTTGAGCAACCCCTGTCCAAGCAAGACTGGTCGTCCCAACTTGAGATCGAGACGGGACACAGATCGTGATAAAACGGAAAGCACAAAGCAACGGAAGAAACAAAGGACGGAACGTGTGACGAGACCAGAATGAACACTGAAAGGAACACAGGGACATTGCGTGCACCTCGTTGTTCAGAACGGAGATGTCGAACGGCCGCCCCATTTTGAACGCCAGCTTCTCTGACGCATCCAGGAAGATTCGCTCGAAGTTCTCGTCGGAGGGGTCTAACGCCATTTTCTTCGCAGCAGGCCCTGTCCTGGCCTTTGCCGCAGCACCCCGCCCCTCCATCTTAGCACTGCTCTCTCCAACAAGGCCTCTGCTGCTGAGGGCCTTGTTCGCGCCGATGCGCGCAACTTTTGCAGAGGTCTCGGACGACTCGGACGGCAACAAGGCCTCTTCGGGGAACGTCCACACGTCGCCCTCGGACTTGCTCACGCTCGGGTTAGGCGCTAACCCGTTCTGGTTTGCATCCCGAGGAGCCGCAGCTTCCGACCCCAGCTTCTGCAACGCTCCTGTGCCAAACCCGCTCTTCTGCTGTGACAGCTTTGCCGGCCGCTCCCCCTCCGCCGTTCCAGGGCCGGTGCCCATAACCGTCGTCTCGATCGGCAGGCTGTTGCCCAGAGAGCCGATACCCCGGGAGTGGTTAGCACTAACCGGACTCGCTCGCACGTCTCCTTGCCCCGAGGACGTCGGCCTCTCGCCCGCTGCTGCACTCCGCATCTCGGCGGCTTCGCTCTCTTCTACGTCATCAGACCAGAGCATCTTGGGCTTCGGCTTCGGAGTCGACGTGCTCGCCCCTCCGCTTGCGTCACCCTCTCTCGAGCTGACGTCACTTTGACCCCCGCTGACATCACCCTGCCCTTGCCCTCTGCTGACGTCGCTCTCCACGGCGCTGACATCGTTTGATCCGGCCGCTGTCGCCTCTGTGCTCGGACTCAGTCTCCCTTGCGCAGCCTTTTCGCTCGGCGCGGCTTCCTGAAGCTCCGGCTTTAAGACCGACTCCACAGCAGTTTCTGGCCGCACAATCTGAATGGTTGTTTGTGCAACCGGTTCCGTCGCACTGGGTGCCTGGACCGTCGTGGCGTCCGAAACCCCGACCTCTCCCGGCTGCTGAGTTCCGCTCGACGCCGCTGGACCGTCCGATCTCGCCCGAATATCCCCAGCGCCGTCTGACATCGTCCCCGATTCTTCCAGGCCGTCCGAAACCGTCTGCTCCCTTCCAGAACCATCGGACTTCTGCCCCACATCACCGGTGCCGTTCGCAAGTGTTCGATGCCCGTCGGCCGTCTCGACCTGGTCCGACTGGCTGGCAACGTCAGAATGCACTTTCCTGATAACCTCCGGCTGCCCATCCTCGTCCGAGCGTCCGGTGCTTGCTGGTTGCTCAGAAACCTTGGTCTCAGAAACAGCCGGTTGATCTGCTTCCACAGCAGAGGCCGCTGATACACCAGGTCCGTTGCTATCCTTTGCAGCCCCGCTAGCCGTCACAGCTGCGTCGTCGATCACAGGCGCTACTTGTACACCAACTCTTGACGGGCTGCCAGCTGGCGCCGCCAACTCCTCAGCACCTTCGCCGTGACCGACTGCAAGCGAGTCAACAGCCGACTTTGTATCCCCCTCTCCGGCCTCCCCTCTTTGGGTCTCCTTAGAGTTGGACGTCTCAACCGGGGGCTGCTTTCCTGGGGTCCCGCCCCCCCCCTTCTTGGGCACCCAAGCGAATCTCACCCCCGTTTTCGCCGCCAGACTTTCAACTGCCCTTTGCGACATCGCCAGGTCGCCAGCTGACGACTGCCCAGGGGCAGCATGCTTATTTGCCCTGGGGGCAGCGCTGCCGGAAACAAGCCCCGCCCGCTGCAGGTTTGCCTCCCAAGCTGCGGCCCTGGTGGGAATATCCTCCTCGGTCCAGTTGCGCCCATTCGCACTCGCGCCGCTGGCCACACCCGAGAAGAGATCGACACTTCTGGGGTGCTCGTTCTCAGCGCCCACCCGGTCCCCATTCACACCATCCGCTTCTTGAGGGCGCCCGTTCTCACTGCGCGCCTCGCCCTTCGCTTCCTCAGGCTCTCCGTTTGCACCTTCCAGCACTCCAGTCGACTCGTGCTGGTGCCCATTCACACCCCTGGTGTGCTCGGCCTCCTCCTGCCTCTTCTGCTCCAACCTTTTGTGCCGCTCCCGCAACTCCGTGGCTGTGTACCCCGGAAATGGCACCACCTCGATCGGCCGCACCTCCGGCCCCCTCTCCGTTCCCCTTTTCGTTCCCGCAGTCTTCACTGCTTTCTCGCTCCCCTCCGATGGGCTGTGCGAACCGGCCCTTCTGGTGTGAATGGGCGCCCCCTCATGCTCCGAGCCTGACTCGTCGCTCTTGGCCTCCACCCGGACCAATGGCTGCTTGCCAAGTGGCGCCCTCCAGCGCTGCGTAATGAGCTGCATCAGCAAGTCCCGCCGATTCGACAATGACGGCTCCGACGAAGGCTTCGGCGGCTCGCCAAGTGGCGTCGCAGTACTGGCCGGTGGCAGTTTGCGAGAGGTCCCTTCAACGCTGACATCACCACTTGTCCGGCTGACATCACTGCCTGCCTTGCTGAGGGGCGCAGCAACAGGCGCCGTGCTGGCTGCCGGCTCTGCGCTGACATCACCGTTCGCCTTGCTGACATACTGCCCTGCTTCAACAGTCTTCTCAGACTCCTCAAGTGTAGAGGTGCTCAACGCCTGAGGGTCAGCCGCAGGGTTCTTGACAGGGGAAGTGCTTTCTTCTGGCTTGGCTTCGACTTCCTCCTGGGGGGTAAGATTCTCTCCGCTTTCGCCCCCCGACGCTGAACCGGACTCTGCTTTGGGCACCCACGCTGGTGTCAGGGGCACCCCAGGCGCCGCCGCTGAGGTCGGAAGCCAAACTGTGACCGGCTCCTTCTTCACCCACTTCTCGGGGGGGTGTGCAAAACCCGTCGGAGAGACCCCCGGCTTCTTGAACCGGCTCTGTTTCGCAGCCATGATCGCTGCATCCAGGTCTGCAAAACCTCTGGGAGAGGACGAGGAGGAGGTTCGGCTTAACCCCTCAGGGTTTGTGGGGGGTGAACCGAAGGTTTTCGGGTTTTGGGGTTGGACACCCTCCGGCTGCTTCGAAAAGGCGCCGAAGTGCATAGGGGTTTGACCCCCGAAGCCCCCCTGGTTTGACTGGTTGAAGGGGTTCGCAACTTGCGGTGGAAGTGTTTTCACCACGGGAGGAGGAATGATGTCGAGGGGGTCACTCCTGGGAGCTTCCGCTTCTGGAGCTTCGGAAGAAGGAGCGGAAGTCTTGAAGGCTTCCGTTCTGAAGGAATTGCTCGGAAGAGGCTCAACTTTATGAGGTCCGGGTTCGAGAGGTCCAGCGGACTGCGCCGACAAGCTCGGTGTCCTGACAGGGTCCGTTTCTGACCACGCGTGCTCCGTTTGCTGTGCTTCTGCTGGCGCCATGGGCTCAGCCTGGTGCATGTCGCCGCTGTCTGAAAGGGCCCCCTCCTCGTGGCTACTGCTCCCAGACATTGTGGCCGCACTCATTCTCGCAAGTATCCAAGCTGGCAGAGCCTCCGACGGAGTCTTCAGCGACACACTCTGATTCGCAGTGTCGACTACAGAATGACCAGTCGTCTGGCCGACTGCGAGGCCGACGTCAGAGGCTGGACTTGACCCCCCTTCCGCGTGACTGACCACTCTCTCTGCTTCCGATTGGTCGGAGGAAGCGCCCATTTCCGCTTCACTCTCCTTCGAAACCCCCGCACTTTTCAAATCTTCGCGCACGACACCGTCCTTGTTCCCAGCTTCATGGCCCAGTTGCACGTCCTCCTTTGGTGCCACCGCTCCAAGCGCCTCAGCAACGGCGACCCCTGAGCTATTTCTTGCTGCCAAACCGTCGCCCTCTGCTTGCCAGCTGACCGACTCCACCCCCTGGCCGTTTGCAGAGCCTCCCCCGTTGACACCCCCGACCTCCAGTTGCTCAGCAGGCGGCACAGACGCCTTCGTCCCTTCCCCCTGATGCGACTCATCCGAGATCGCTGGTCCCTCAGAATTGCTTTCGGGGGGTGCGCTTCCAGAGCTTTCCGGAGGGGCCAAAGCGTCGCCCTGGTCCGGTGAGGTTGCATTTGCAGGGGGGCTGTCTCGAGCAGGCAGCGGGTCCTTCCGCCGCCAGGTGTCAGCGGCATCAGAGCGGGAAGAAAACGTCCTCGGCGGCCGCACACCTGTTTCACGGACGAATACATGTTCTTTGCAGAGATTTTGCGGTTACTCAGCAGCTTGCTGAAACCAAGACGTACTAAGGCGGCGCAACTCCGTCATCTTAAGCCCGTACAAAGCCGGTAATTTTAATTGCCATAATCTAGCTTGGTAGAATAGGATGCCCAGTAAGTATCCGGATCAACAAGCTGAAGCGCGGACTTTGAAGCAGCTTCAAGAGCGTGGTGCTCGTGAAGCATGGTAAGCAGAGCGAAATTTCATGTTCCTAGCCGCAGTACTGAATTTAATTGTCGAAAATGGACTTCCTTAGACTTAGATCCTTCCACTCCCCTCCAAGCAAAGCTGGATGTCAGTCAACAAACCAACCGAGGATGAAAACAGGGCACTGCAATGGCTCAGTATACAGCACCAGAGATCAACAATTGATTGAGAAATAGGTGACAACTTCGGCTTGCCCGGCTAGGACTCTGTACCCGACCTTCTCCAATTTCAGAGTATTGCTTATGTCACTTGTATATCCCAAGATACATATGACTGAAGGGAAGCCACTTCTTTATACCAGAGCACTTGGATGGCACCCATCTGCCAGGAAGCAACCGAAAGGCATATTTCTGTACATGAGAGCAAACCGGAAGCAGAGGGAAGCAGATCCTGCGAACGGGATTGGGCATGCCTGTTGCCTCACCTTGCGGCGGCTGACCGCCTCCACTCCCAAGCCCTCTCGGCGACCCAAAACCCTCCTGCGGGTACCCCTTATCCAGGGAGCCTGCTTCCGCTTCTCCGCCCCCTCGGCCGTATCCTGGCCACCGCCCTACCCCCCTCCCAAACGTGGGTCCGTTCCCTCTTCCTGCGACCCCCCTGCCGCGCCCAAACCCCTGCTGCTGTTCCCAAACGAACTGAGCCTCAGCGTCACTCTCGAGGGACCCTGGTCTTGGCCCGGCTCGTTCATCGTCGTCCCAACTTTCAGCGTCTAATCTCTGGTGGGTTGCCTGCAGCTCCTTCGCCATCTCCCTCTGAGCCGCCTCGATGTCCTGCGAATGTGAAATGACATATAAGGATACCGGATCTCCAATACTCAGGGTTGTCGAACTTTTGGAAGTGTGACAAGAGCTTTGCAGATGGTCATTCGAATGGCGGTATCAAATGCCGTAGGATGCAGCTTCATGTGTGCGGATGGAGGGAAAGGATCGATGAGCGCCACTGATCAAGAGATGGAAGCGCATAGACCTTGGCAAGCTTTGTGAAGCGGTGGGCCGCGAAACATAAGCTGCCAAGTGTTTTGTAATAGGAATCTAAGTGAAAGGTGCAATGGAACAGCTGGCAACCAAGACAGAACCTTTGCCAAATCAGACAATTATGTCTACGTGCTCTGACATAGATACCTTACAGAAATTGACCATTTGACAGGCAAGGAGTCTAACAAGGAAGGCGTCTCTTCAAATACGTTACCACACTCTTCAGGCATGGCAACCTGGCCAGCCTGGCCTCACTGAAACAGGAGCTTCCTGCAGAGCTCTGTATCCATTTGCATACTCACAAAAACGGACAAAACTCGAATTCAAAAGCGACGCAAACAAACTCAAACCCGACGAAAACTCGGAGAGCAGCAGGCGCCAAACAGCGCTCACCTCTTGGCTCTCCTTCGACCCCGTTACTGGGTTCCAGCACGCCCACGCGTTCTTGTGCGGTGACAGGGTCGTGCTCAAATCTGTCAGCTTCTTCAACTGCACCACCGCCCTCGGCCCTGCCGGCACCCCCCCTTCCTTCTTCCCCGCCCCGTCCGTCCCCCTTGGAGCAACCCTCGGAAGCTCCGGAAAGTCCCTTTTGTCGACCACAACAACCGCGTCCTTCTCAGGGGGGTGCCCGCGGCCAGGCTGGACACCCCCCAAAGGAGGGAACTCGGCGGGCCGACCAGCTGCTGGGGTCCCGTGGCCCCGCCCAGCGCCAGGTGGCAAGCTACTAGTGGCTGGCGCGCTGCCACGACCCCAGGTTGGCAGCCTCTCAAAAGAAGGAGCGCTGTTAGCCCGCTCCGGCGTCCATTTCGCGCTCCTGTCCTCCATCTGAGGTGTCGGGTCTTCCCTATCACTGACCGAGTCCGCCCACAGTTCTCGTTTGGGTGCAGCACTCCCCAGGGCATTTGCACTAGCGCTGACGTTGCTAGCGGCCCTCTCCAGTGCAGGAGCTGAAACTGCATGCTGCGAACCAGGAGCATTTGCAGCCGCACCAGAAGTCGTGTCAATCAGTCGCGAGAAGCTGCCGGAAGCTTCAGGAGATTCAGAGAGGCGCGTGCGGCGCTCCCCCCGCATGGGCGTGACGGGAATGAACACGGTGCTCTTGACACCGAGCGCATCGTTGCCGATGAGCCTGCTTGTGAGCTGTGGTTTGGTGTCAGTATCGGGGAGCACGCTGCCCGGAGAATGTTTGACTTGGGGAGAACCGGAGGTTGAGGCTGACTGGGAGCCAGGATTGGAATCATCCAACCCCAGGGTTTTCTTGTCTAGCAGCGACTGTCGCCTCTCTTCTTCCTCCCATAGCTGCTGGGCAAAGGAGGGGCCCGAGGGGATGGGAAGAAAGACTTCCCCAGGGTTGGGAGGGCGGACACTGGACGCCGGCTGCGTATCCTGCAAACCATGTAAAGAAACAGTGTCAAAAAGTTTGATGCGCGTGCATGAGGTGGTGCATATTTTAAATGGACGTAAACCAACTCGGATATCTTGCAGCTATGTTAGCGAGTAGGTAGAGGTGCTGGACTCTGGAAGTTCTGCCGCCGCTTACATTGAACAAGCAGAGAGCATCATTAAGCATTTTCAAACAAACCTTCAACATGAAATTGTGAGATGACAGCGGTGGCAATTTGTATGCCGGACTCTTTGACCGTTAAAAGATAGATGAAAGACACTGCTTCCATTCACGAATGTAATTTGGGGTCTTCTTGGCTCCAGGCATCAACTTCAACCCAGCCATGAGCTTTATGCTCTTTCTTTCTTATGTGAAAGAGCCGCTTTGAGAGGGTCAAGAACAGGGCCTGGACTCACCGTCGTACCAAGGAGATTCTGGAGCAGGCTCGTAAACTCACTGCAAGAGTAAGAAGACAAGCACACTGAATAAACCCCTGGCAGTTGTTGGTGAAATGTAAACAAGCAACTAATTGCTCTGGGGAGCAAAAGAAAGAGACACACACCTAGGAGACAAGGAGACGGACACATGGCGGGTGCACAGCAAAGTAGTCAAACCTCTAAAACGTGCAGCAGAAGCCGGATCTTTAAGTGGCAGGGAAACACAGCAAGAGGATGCTTGTCACTGGCAGACCAGGTTCGGCTTTTTGGAACACCGTATCCAGGAGTTTACAGCAATCTGAAGGACGAGAAAGCTACACTTAGATAGAAAGGATCGATGGTGCATCACATGATTGCCTCGTAAGTGGAACAAAGCCGGTTCGAGTCTTCTGCGCGATTAGTAGCTCTGCTCAGCCAAAATCTGCTCGTTTCATTTTAAATCTCACAGAAATAAACAGGGCCTTATGCTGAATGCTGGCAGCTGAGTATAACAATTCCCACACAATTCAACCTTCATACCAGAAAACATTGAAAGCTGCAAATGTGGCTGTCACACATCTTTCCGACGCCACTGGCTTACTTGGAGTCTGGGGACGCTTCATCTTCAGGAAAACCGTTACCATCTTCGCTCCAAGCGGTCTCGTTGTCATGAGAGGTTCTCTGTGAGGCCCCCTCTGCACTGTGAGTTTCCATCTTTTATCGTTCAATTGCAGCGCCGGCTCCTTTTTACAATATTCACATGGCCTCCGCTTCAAGAGGATGCATTGCCTACGTCGAGACTACAAAAGATTGGCAACATCAGATTTTGCAAATCCTTCAGGCTCTGCTCAGCTGGCGTTCAGCCTGCCTGTTGGTCCGCCATGACGGGGTTCCTTGGACACTGATGTGACTTCATTGGGAGGGCCGTGAAATTTCTTGAAAGTTCCAACTTGAAGTTGAAGGACGATCGACTCCAGTTTGCGCCTAAGTTTTGGCGCCAAGTTGACCCATGCAGTTTAGGGGCTTTAGGGTTTTAGGGCTCCTTGGATATCGGATTGAACTGAACCAAACCCTAAAACCAGAGGCAGTCACGATGCCAGATGATCCCCTTCGCGAGGCAAGCTGTTGCGCTCCTGTTGCGTGACCATCCCCTTCACCAAACCTGAAATTGCGCCTGTCCATTGCAGATCGAGTTTGCAGTCAACGTGCTGGCGCTTCCCTGTTTCACTTTTTGAGCTCCCTCAGGTGTCTTGGTACTTATCTTATCGTATTCTTAGATTGGATCTGCTCGAAAACTAGTGACAATTTGGCTCACACAGAAGACGCCCAGCATTGCATTGATCGAACGCCTGCCCGAGGTGATGAAGATGGATACTGTCAAACTCACCGTCCTGCGCGGCACGCTGGACGAAGAGAATCCCCTCTCGCTTCTCCGTGGCAATGAGCACATATGGACCAAGGTGTTTGGCTTAGTAGACACTTGGTATGAGGAGCACATAGACCGGAAGTCAGTGGCATTCGACATGGTGGAGACCTTTAGGGGGCCGCGTTCCTCGCGCCCCTCGCGCCCCGCGCTAGTCTCCTTCCCAGAGCCCCAGGGCATCCAAATCAACATGATGCCAATCAAACTGTTCGATCTTTACGACACCGTCCCAGCAAACTGCCAGCAGTACATAAGCTGCATCAAGATGTGCGCGGGCGAATCGCGCCAGAAGGACTTCAACCGCGTCGCATACTTGACGATCCACGAGAGTGTCGTCCCCGTGGGAGAACCGCAGCGCCGGCCTGGGCTACACATTGAGCAGCCCGGCGGAATTCGGGATGGCGGCTCGGCCAAGACACTTGAACACGGACAGTATTACTGGGGCAAGGGGTGGAAGGACGCAGGCCGCAACGAGCTTTCCGATGGGATCTACATGGCTTCCAACGTGAGCAATTCTTGCACCGTGTGGCCGGTGTTGATCCAGAAACCAAGCGATGTGACGGACCGTCATGGGGGCATTGAGCACATGAGGGAGCGCTTAGGCCCTGGACGAAACTTGGCAGCGGGAGAGTTGTGCTGGTTCACCGACCGCACGCCGCACGAGGCGAACCCCCTAACAGCCCCCTCCGATGACCCCGGCGCGAAGTTCAGAGCCAGGAGCTTTTTCCGCTTAGTGGTGGGGCAAATCTCGGTGTGGTACTCCAAGCACAACACCCCAAAACCCGTTGGGGGTGCTGCCGGACGCGCCAATCTCGGACGAGGACAAGTTCAGTTGAAAGGTGAGGACTCGCACGTCGTCCTGTGACTCGAATTCACTGGTTGTCAGCTGACCAGTGGTGGAAGAAGCGCCAAAGCTCCAGAGATGCACCTGAGTTGTTCCGAAGAAAGAATGGCTAAGCAGTGTGAAGACATCCAGAGGAGGTAGCCCGTCTTGAAACACCGCTATCAGCTGGTTCAGGCTGCCTGCTTTCCTAACTTTATAAGTGCTTCATAAGTGCTGATGCCTGCGCGCAACAGATTGAATACGGTTCGAAACTGGGCTCACTTTCTTGAAACGACCCCAGGCAGTCAGTGAGCTTCCGTTCTTGAAGTGAGAGGATGAGGTGCGCAGGCAGCCAAGATCACACACAAGAATTTCTGGAGTCTGCTCCGGGAATCTGTTCTTCTCTTGTTTTCGTGCACTGTTGTTTTAATCCATGGAGAAGATGGGTAGGATCTGTGAGTGCTTACCAAGTTTGGCTGGGCACCTTGCAAAAAGCGCTCAGACAAGACCAGAAAAACGAATTTCGGAAACGTCGTTAACTGCCAGGTGGATTAGCTGATTATGCTGCCTTTTTTCTGAATTTGACATACAGAACTCTTCCAAAAAGAAGAGACAGTCTAATCATAGGAACAAGACCACTCCTTGTGGTCTATACCCATTGTCACAATCTTGTACATGCAGATAGGACACACTTCCTCTACAGGTGACTAGTCAGAATCCTTGGCTAACGCTTGAGGGCAATCCGCCAAGCTTGGGGGCTAGACCAGAATGGACCAATGGACATGAAGGTGACTTCCCTTTCTGCTCAAGTAGTAGAGGGGCGCTGGACTACTTCAGAGGCACTTGTCAGTGCAGGATCCACCAACAGAAAGACTATCGATGGATGAGAGGTGACGTTTAGCGGCACCTGTTAGCACTGGGCTTTCAAAAGTTTTGGTCTTCAATTATCTCGTGAAGCGGAGAAGCGGCATTCTTGTCAGGAGGAACTTCAAGTTGATGCGCTTTTCAGGTGTACATTGCCACAGTTGGCAGACGAGCTGGCTGGTTGTCTCTTCCTTACGTAGACTGCAAACTTGAGTTGAGAACTCCTTTACTGGAAGCTTATGTACCGGTACGGTCAGTAGGCTGAGTCTGATTACTACTAGTTTGTGTACGCAGGCACTGGTGAGTCTGAGAGCTTTGGCAGGCCCAGCAAGTTTGCAACGCATGCAGCAACCAGCATTAATCAGATTAGGGGCATACTTGTTTTGTGTTTGACCAGCCATCGTTGGTGAATCGGGCCCATCGTTGTTAAATCAACTCGCGATCGAACATAAGTCAACCATTCTGAGTGGACGGTTGGCCGGTCACCTAGCAAAAGCAGGACAAGAGCGTCAAGAGCGACAAGAGCGCCATCATGCACACCGGCATGCCACGCGCAACTCGAACGTGGGTGAGGTGCAGGTGCAGCGCATGTACTCGGTTGCTAATCATGCAAATGCCACCCGACCAAATCCTTATATACGATCGAATCATGTCAGCTAGTATGCAATACACACTTTTTACCGGGTCCTGCAGGACCCGCATGCGCTTACTAGTTAGATCATTGATTCGATCATTAACGTGACTCAGATTCGATTGATCGAGGCCGAGGCCTCACGAGCACGCCGTCACTGCGCTATAGCTCGTTCATGCTTTTATTGAGTTCATTTCATGCACATGTGTGGGATCGGCAGGATCGCACGGGCCCTTGCACTGGCAGCATGTCAGGCGGGCCCGCCGGCCACGCCGGCGTGTCCCCAGAATCATGCTAAGTGCGTGCATGTTTCAGAGATGATCATTTTGGAGAATGGATGCAGTACTAACGTACGTGTTGGCGACAGTGTGCGTAACATAATGCGATATTCATAGGCGCCATAAGTCGAGCCAACCTGATCCGTTGCAAATCAACGTTGGAGCCTGCATGGTCGAATCTACACGCGGCTGAGAAAAATCTGAGCATGCCCGCAGAAATACGTTCACGTTCCGTTCCTCTACAGCTAGCGACACTTGCACAGAAGCTGTTCGTGGTCGTGGGACTCATTGACAAGAGTCCAGCAACGCTTTTCTACGGCATAGACCTGTCAAAGACGAGGGCGCCCCTTTTGGACGCTAGGACTTGGGTACTTAACACAGTTTACCGCAACACGGATCAAACACCACCCAAGATCTCAACGGCGACTGCTTCACCCTTTCGGAACGCACGCCAGCTTGTGACCCCCTCCCTTCCAGTGAAGAGTTTGACACTCCCTGCATGTGACAGGCTTGAGCTTCAGCTGGACACACTCGGATTGGCAGACTTGCGTTTTCGCAGCAAATCTTCACTCCCTTTGCTTTTACCAAAAGCGACGGCTCTCGACGATTGCAATTGATGACTCATTAACATGAAAAGAATGAATGCTACTAGACGGGTTGCAACAAAGCAACGAATGCGACTGGCGCTTACAGGCATGCTTCGAGGAGCAACGTAATCACCTGGCCTTTCTCCGTCAAATCCGACAGGGTTAAGCCAGATAGGTAAGTATTTTGCACCGAAACAATGAACAAGACGCCGTCCGTCGTGAACGAAGCAACAATTACGAGCAGAATAAATCTGAAGTGAAACAAACGCGAAGGAAAGGCCAAAAGGCGCCTTAACCGGGAGCGTCTCACTTGGAGCAGTAGCGCAAGACTCGGCAGCGGCCGCATCGGCTCTGCGCGTCGGGTTTGCCGCAGTTGGCGCAGAGCGAAAGGTCCTTCTTGTCGGCGCGCGTGGAGATGGTTTCAGTAAGGGTGGGGCCGTTAGAAAAACCCTGTCGGGAGAGGATGAACTACACTTGGCAGAGCGAACCGCAGGATCGTACACGTGTCAAGCCAACAAGGGGAGGGTTTACTTGGTTGCTGTGGTGTTATCAGTTTGCCTGGATAGGAACTGACATAAAAGCCGGCAATCACAATCTTCCGCCAGACATTTCGCGTTCAAGAAAGGTCTCTGCACCAAAATTCTGTGGCCTCCCCGTTCTGTTTAGCGTTTGACCTCGTCAAAGGGGCGCTCTGGTAAGGTGGCGCTTTGTTGGGCATCTCCAGCTCTCCTTAGAGCTCCAACGCGAGGAGGTAACCTAAGCCTTACTCTGTGCATTCGTTCAGCACTCCCCGGGATTGCTGCGAGCGCTTCATACGTGTTAAAGTTCGTCACGTGCTCATGACCCCAGATACGCATCCATCTCAAAGACAATTTTGCCCGATTCCCCGCCCTATTGGAACAACATTTTTTTTAACAAATGCTCACCTGCAGATTTTCGACTACACGCTGCCCCTTCCCCACCCGCCCCCTGAGCAGGTCCCCCAGATTGCCCCCGAAACCCCCCAACTGCGAAGTGTACAGTTTCGACTCGGACTGTGTGCTAGCTGTCGATGCTAACGCTTCTTTCAGCGCCCGTTGCCGATCGGCCAGGTTGAACTCGGTGAAGTCGAAGCGGCCAGTTACGTTGCACGCCTCGCCGCACTCGGCGAGCTTCTTGCGGTACTCCGGGTGCTTCTTGTTTTTCAGAATCTGCGGAGAGAAAGAGCGGGTTGGAGGTGGGTTGGGCAGATCCGAAACTCCCGATTCCATCCCAAGCTCTAGTGATTCAATTGCACGTGACCATTGCAGAAACGAAGAATCTCCTAAGTCCTCAAACTAGCAAGTCGCGAAGAGGGGAGTTGAGCATTGCGTTTTGAAGTCCTGAGACCGATTTTAGTGATCGCCGTTTGGCCGCCTTGATATGCTTCCCGATGTGCAAGTCCGTCCCATTTCCGGCAGTTAGCAAACCAACTGAAGGCCCTTGACAGCGTGCTTGCAAAACAGTAACCAGGTGTAAAAGCCGTTGCAAAGCTTATGATAGTTGCAGATTTAGACACTGTTTAGGTTAGTATGCGCATTTGTTGCGCCCAAACCGCCGTTGCAGATTTAGACACTGTTTAGGTTAGCATGCGCATTTGTTGCGCCCATACCGCCGTTGCCCTCAAAGGCCCCAAGAGACAACGAAGCTCGAAGGCTCACACGAAGCGACTGAGAGCCCCAGCAAACCCAATTGGGCATACCGTTTCCAAGTTGTCCGGCCACTCGGGCGAGGAATCCTAGCGAATTTTACGTTAAAGAAAGAGGCCTGTAAAGGTGGGGTGCATATATTGAACGGCAGAATTCCAGGTCGAGAACAAGGTTAAGGAGCAGTCTTTTGCACTAGCGCAACTCTCAAACCAGAGGACCGCTCAGAAGTCGGTGAAACGAAGGAACAGGGAGGAGCATGACCGCAGTCTGCTATCTTCTCTACAATCCGTTCGTTGAATTGATAAGGTAGACCGGTTACCTGCAGCGTCTTGTTGTACCGGACGTTGCCGTGACCATCTTTCGGGGGGCACCTCCCGCTGCCTTCCAGCACTTCGCAGGCGCGGTTGACTCCTCTGGGCTGTAGAAACACCGAAAGCAATGTAGTTCGGTCAAAGCGTAGAAATATAGCACAAATCTCTTTGCCATTCCAGCAGTTCGCAGGCGCCGATTGATTCTCCGGGCGTACAAAGCCCCGGGAATAAAAGCTGTTTTAGTTAACGCGTTAAGAAACAGAGTAGGAATCCGCTAGGGATCATCATAAATTTGCCGCCTTCCTCGTTCGAGTGGGGCTGCCAACGGTCGTTGATCGAACCTGGTACATAGTTTATGAAGTTGGAATAGAAAGCTTCCTACCAGTTGCGGGTCAGATGCAACAAGGAAGAAATACATGTGTTCTCGCTTCGGTTTGCTACCAACTGCTTAGACTGAAGCCGGTCAGAGGCAGACTGTATACAAACTGTTAGAAATTCTCTGTCGCACGGACACATGAGGTTGAGGACTCAACAGCGACCGGCGTTGTAAAAAGAGTCCAGCAACGGAAGGAAAGGCTTAAGAGAACCCACCTTAAAATGTTCTCGACTTCAAGTTCGTGACGCCACATGTCCCCAATGTCGTACGTCCAGCCCAGACGGGCGCCTTTTTCCGTCAGCAAGTCGCCGAGCTTGTACTGCAAACCAATGCGCAAAGGGACCGCGTCAGGGGTATCATACACACTTCAGACTCTGCCTACCACTGCGTCAGGGAGCTTTTATCAACGCGAAGAGGGGTGTTTCTTCGACGTGCATTTGTAGCAAAGGCATGCGTCGCCCAAATCTTACGGACTTTTGTCAGGGCAGGGTAATGACAAACGAGCGAGAAACAAATGTAAACGCAGAAGCCAAAGCATGAGATGGATTCGTCTCCGGCCTGGCGCATAAAGTACCCTGAAGACAGAGACGTCAGGAGCACTTTCGTCAGGAGCATTTCTCTCAGCCAGCCAGAGTGAAAGAGCAACTTCTATCGAACATTGTTCAGCTCACATCAAAAACTCCCTTGACTGCTTTTAGACAAGTCAAAGAAAGTAATTGACCGACAAATAAAGGAGGAGGAGTATGACCTCGCACAAAAATCATGCAATCTTCGTCGTGATCACAACAGTTGCCTCACCTTCTTGTCGTCCATCAGGTAAAAGTAGCTGAAGTTGACGTGCATCATGTCGATTGCGTTGCTGTCCTTGGGCACGAAGCACGCGCCTTCCCGCCGGTCGCAGAACACGTATCCATGGTAGTTGCGCACCCAACCCGTTATCGGCATTAGAACTTTGTCCGCCAGCGTGTTGAGCACGATTCCGCCAGAAACCTTGAATCTGCGAGACAGAGAGTATACAATGCGCGGCCTGGCTTTGTCAGCGGGTCTCTCGACTTTTCTTGAAGTCGGAAATCTTTTGAGAAGGCGCGCTTGCCCCAGTGGAACCCAGCAGGTTTGGTTCAGCCTGTCTCACGTCAACTTTTCTGATCACCCTTTTGAATACAAACCCTTACATGAAAACACATTCAACACAATAATCAAGACCTGGAGCTATCTGTCCAAGCACTCAATATGGTCAGTGTCTGGGTCACGGTCAGGTTGTAAAGGCTGTTGTGGGTTCGGTGTTCTCTTTGTTTCGGGGGTATCGGCCCTGCTGACCCTATTGTGTAAGAGTCTTCCATGAGATGTGTCTTCCCCATTAGGCTTGGCGTGCGCATGAAAAACGGAGATTCCTGTCGATAAAGACCTGTATCTATGCCAACTATAAGCTCTATCCACATATCCCCATCACGTATCTTAGAACTTGGTCGAAAAGTCTGAACCTTCTGTCCTGAGGTCACCGCATGAGTTCCTGACCACTCATCAACCTCTGTTCTTCAAGAAAGACTTTCTGAACCTCCTTTCCTGAGTCCCCACCAAGCTAGTGCCGATTGATGTTGGCGGTATCAAACAGCACAACGTTTCTTCCCATCACCTCTGCCCACATGACTCAATTCTGACCGCTGTACTCACCTTTCTCCAGACGGGGGGATCCAGCTCAGGCATGTACATCTTAATTGCATAATCCTGCTTGTACCGCTGCGTCGCCCTGTCTTTGGCAGCCGCCAACTCTTCATCTTTCCGTTCCGCCAACTGCAAAAAGATGCTGAAACTGAGAGACTAATGCAGACATCCAGTTCCAGTTGGCCAACAGCAAGACTCTCTCGAAGGTGGTCTCCTTTTTCCCCTTTCAAAGTTCTGTGCATACATCAGCGCGGTCAGGGAAGCTGGATTGACTGGGCTTTCTTTGACTTGACTCTGTTTGGTTGCGACATACCACGCCAACTCAAGAGCTGGATGCTTCAAGGCGTTGAAGAAAAGGATTCACCCTCTACTGCGAATTAGAATTGGGAGACTGTACACTGCTGGGTTTGTGATTGGGAGACTACAGCGCTCCAAGTCAACAACTCACAACCTCCTCCTGAAATGGATACATATCAACAATCAAGCGCTGAACGCAGGAGGTTTACGGAGAGAGGCTAGTCCAGGACTTTGTAACATTATCAAAGTGCAATGTGACAACCAGCGCAATGTCCCTTTCCGAGTAGATCATCTACGTCTGCATTTGCCGCATCGCCCGTGCCATTCCTTACTCTGGCCCCGTCTCTTGCTGATCCCCACCTTCCAACACTCCCCACCGATCAACCACCTCCGCTTTCGGCCGCCATACGGCTGGGTCCTCTTCGCGAATGACCCGCAGAATCGCGGACAGATCGTCATGCGGATCAATGTGCACAAAAGGCCCCATGCCTCTGCTGCTGCGCAGTGGCGCTGCCGCTGCTGAGGTTGGCGCAGCCGCTGCTGAGGTCAGCGCGGAGCTAGCCTCGCTCATGCCTGCAATGTGTGTGCCCTCGTCTTTGTCGCTCATCTCCGAACTGGACCCTTTACCCTGATCCTCCTCACCTGATGCAATGCCAAGCTTGTCCCACTTCCACAAGTCCACTATTGTTGATACCAGGCCTGTCTGACGGCAAATCTACCACTTCACAAAGTGCGGAGCGCAGATTGCTGTGTTGCCGCCTTGCTCCAGGAACTCGTGAACCCTTCTTCTAGACCCCTGTCGTTGTAGCCCGCTTTAAAAATACCAACAGGGCGGATACCTAGTATCTATGATTGTAGTCTGTATGAACTTTCTAAAATAAAGTCTTGCACGCGCGGCTGGTCAGGTAGCTGTCGCAGAGGAGCATACGCCTCGAGGGCTAGTCATGGAGTGAACGCTTGATGTCCATCAACTTTCTACAGACAAAGGGAGAACAGAATGAGCAATAAAATCTAGGACCAGCTCCTACAGGGCTCCTAGTACCTAGTTACAGTAGGCTACTGTAGCTTTGGAAATGAAGAATCAGAAGATGGCAGGAAGATGTGCTGGCATTAACATTTGTGTGGGCGGAAGATGCAATGTCTTTCTGACTTTGTCACTTTGTCAGTGTCAGTGTCACTGCGTGTCGTGATTGGCTAGCTAGCTTTCCAAGGGGTTCACGTGGACTTTAGCCTTTAGGGTTTTGGGTTACCTTAAAGTTATAGCCAGCCTTTCGAGACAACCAAACCCTAAAACCAGAGCCAGTGCTAGACTGAGATGATCCCCCTTGCTCGTTCAGGCTGAACTTCAGCTGAACATTGCGTGAGTCGGCAGCGTGACCATCCCCTTCACCAAGTGCTGCAGACCTGAAAAGCGCGTGTACACTACATGCATACCGTACCAACACGCCGGTTGGGCAGATTTTTGCCCAATAATTAATTACGTACGAATTGAAATTTGGGCAACTCATTTTGGAATTTTTGAGAATTTGAAATTTTTAGAATATATGCTCGAGAACTCTTTTTCCACCAGCCAAAGTTGATCAGAGATTAAATATTAGAATTTTAATTCATTTGAAAATTTGGGCAGAATGAAAAAAAGAATAAAAATAGTCAAAATCAAATATAATTAATTGATGCCCAACCGACACGTGTTGGTACGGTACATACAGCTCCGTTTCAATGTTGCAGTCAACGTGCTGGCGCACAAACTTCACGCTCCCTCAGGTGCCCGGTACTTGTGTTCTAAATTTGTGTTTGCTCGAAGGCGAGTGACAATTGGGACTCACCCAGAACGCGCCCCGCGTTGCATCAAATGCTTGTCAGAGATGTTGAAGATGGATACTGTCAAACTTACCATTCTGCGTGGCACACTGGAGGAAGACAATCCCCTCTCGCTCCTCCGCGGCAATGAGCACATATGGTCCAAGGTGTTTGGCCTAGTTGACACCTGGTATGAGGAGCACATAGATCGGAAGTCCGTCGCATTCGACTTGTTAGAGGTCCTTGACTCTGAAGAGAGGCCGCGCACCTTTCGCTCTGTGCTAGTCTCCTTCCCAGAGCCCCAGGGCATCCATATCAACATGATGCCTATCAAACTGTTCGAGCTCGACGAAACTGTCCCAGCAAACTGCCAGCAATACGTAGACTGCATTGAAATCTGTGCGGACGAAACGCGCCCGAGAAAGTTCAACCGCGTCGCATACTTGACGATCCACGAGAGTGTCGTCCCCGTGGGAGAAGCGCAGCGCCGGCCTGGGCTACACATTGAGCAGCCCGGCGGGATTCGGGACGGCGGCTCGGCTCAGCCCCTTGAGTTTGGGGAGTATTACTGGGGGAGGGGTTGGAAGGAAGCAGGCTGCAACGAATTCTTCGAAGGTATTTACATGGCTTCCAATGTCAGCGATTCTTGCACCGTGTGGCCGGTGTTGATCAACAACCCGACCGAGGTGTCGGACCGCCATGGGAGCATTGAGCACATGAGGGAGCGCTTGGGCCCTGGACGCAACCTGGCAGCGGGAGAGTTGTGCTGGTTCACCGACCGCACGCCGCACGAGGCGAACCCCCTGAAAGCCCCCTCCGATGACCCCGGCGCAAAGTTCAGAGCCAGGAGCTTTTTCCGCTTAGTGGTGGGGCAAATCTCGGTGTGGTACTCCAAGCACAACACTCCAAACCCGTTGGGGGTGCTGCCGGACGCGCCAATCTCGGACGAGGACAAGTTCAGTTGAAAGGTGAGGACTCGCACGTTAATCTGTTACCCAGATTCAGTGGCTGTCAGCTGACCTGTGGTGAAAGAAGTGCCAGAGCTCCAAAGATGCACCTGAGTTGTTCTGAAGAAAGAATGGCTAAGCCGTGTGAAGACATCCAGAGGAGGTAGCCCACCTTGAAACATTGCTAACAGGTTGTTTAGGCTGCCTGCTTCTCGTAACTCGTGAGTGATTTACAAGTGCTGATTCCTGGGCCAAGTAGATCAAACTCGTTTGAAACTGGCTCACTTATTTCGAACCACTCCAGGCAGTCAGTGTGCTTCCGCCTTCTTTGGTGTCTGCAATTTGAAATGAAAGTGTGAGGTTCGCAGGCGTTTGTAGGCAGTCCAAGATCACTAGCGAGATCCTCTAGAGTCTGTCCTGGGACACCATTTACTTACTTGTGTATACTGCACCTTTGATTCCAGGATAAGATGGGTAGGAATCTGTGAGTGCTTGCCAGTTTTGGCTGGGCGTCTTGCATCAAGGATGCGGACAAGACCTGAATGTTTTTGTCAGAAACATCTTCAACTGCCAGGTAGATCAGCTGATGATGCTGACTTCTCGACTCCTTCCTTTCGCATACAAGACTCTTTCAAGTAGAGGAGACAGTCTGATCATTGGGGTACATATGCAAATCCGTTCTGGTCTATAAGCCTTGTCATGGTATGTATATGCAGATGGGACACTCTGCATGACCGGGTGACTGGTCAGAATTTTTGGCTGACGCTTGAGGGCGACCTGCCAAGCTTGGGGCTAGACTTGAGAAGAGGTGATGAGCACATCAAGCACAGTGTTGACATCTCTTTCTGCTCAAGCTTAGAGGGGCGCTCTGTACACTTGAGAGACACTTTGTGGGGTTCCCCAACAAGAACACTATCAGGGGGTCAGAAATGGCCAGCGCTCAGCCGCCCCTATAAAGCTTTAGGTAAGAATTTTGGTGTTGATTATTCATCCGGTGACGCGGCATTACTAGCAGGAGGAGCATCGAGTGCTTTCCAGGTGTACATTAACCCAGCCGGCACAGTGACTGTTGATTAAAAGTTTTGAGCAGCACTATAGTATGTAGAGCAATCGTGGTTGAGTAGAGAGTGCGTCGTTGGAAGCTGATCCTAATAGATTGAGTCTGCATGATGAGGTAGTGACTGGTAGTAGACAAGAGTCTGAAAACTCTGCATAAAACCAATGCCAGCGCATGCATGAGGAGCATATTCAAAACGCATATATAGCAACCAGCGTAAGATTTCTATTATATGGCACACGTGACCGCAGTTGTTTCATGATTATTGTGATTGTACATGACGTACCAAGGCGGCTGACCCGTCGTTGGCCGCGGCCTTAATTCCGGCCATGCATGTCCGAAGTTGGTATACTTAAAGCGGTAAGATGGATCCGAGACGCGAATTGATTTAATTAATTGTTTATACCTTTCACTGAATCATGATTAGCCTTATGAGCTAGCTAACCTCGAGTACTAAGTTGGGCCAGGTCAAAGATATGCATGGAAATCAGCGGTATGCCACGGCCATCATTGTGACCATCATGCGCAGTAAGCAAGCACACGTACCTGGCATCGGTGACGAAATGCCACCTCGAAGTACTGCCAGATTCATTCAAGGCGCCATGACCCGACCCATGCACAGGCTCTGATCCGTCACAAACGATCAACGTAAGGCTGGTCGGATTTGCACGCCGCTGAATACCTCAGATGCCTCTCCTTTATACTTATAGGGCAACACTTACGCCGGAAATGTTCGTGGGACTCAACGATGAAGTTCGATAATGCGTGCCTGTAAGGCACAGGCCTGCCAGAAACAACGCCGCCCCTTTCGAAAGTTTGAACCTGGGCCTGTTCTCAGCACGATTACCGCAACACGCATCGCATGTCACCCCCAACGTATTAATGCCGAATGAACGCTTCATCCTTTTGGGACGCACGCAAGCTTGTGACGCCCTTCCTTCCAATGAAGAGTTTGACACTCCCTGCACGTAGGGTGAGGAGTGGTTGGCCATACTCAAACGAGCAGACCTTAAGTAGCAGAACACTTCACTCTCTTTGCAATCACAAGGAACGACGTCTCTCGCCGAATGCCGCTGATGACCTTCTCACCTGAATTCCACGAACGCAACCGAATGGGTTGCCACCAACGAGAACTACGGCTTACAGCCATGCTTCGAGAACCGGAACCAACGGAACGACCCGGCCTTATCCCTCTATCTTTCCAACCCTTGAGGGGTACATCAAGGTGAAAGCCATCTGCACTTCGACAAGGGCGCTCCGCCTAAAGTACAGAAACGAAGGGAATGGGACAGCCTGGACTGGAAACACGACGAAAACAGAGGCAACGTGAGAGGGCACGCGTGCGCGTCTCACTTGGAGCAGTAGCGCAGTACTCGGCAGCGGCCGCATCGGCTCTGCGCGTCTGGCTTGCCACAGTTCGCGCAGAGCGAAAGGTCCTTCTTGTCCGCGCGCGTGGAGATGGTCTCTGTTAGGGTGGGGCCGTTGGAAAAACCCTGGAGAGGATGAGCTAAACTTGGCAAAAGCGAACGGCAGGGTCGAACAGGTGTCGAGCCAACAAGGGGAAAAGTTTTTTCAGTTACGGTTGCTGTAATCAGCTTGCGTGAATAGTATCTGAATTACAAGCCTGCAAATCACAAGTTTGCGCTAGAATCCCACGTCGAGATGGGTCTCTGAACCAAAGTTTGTGGACCTCCCCGTTCATTTTAGCATTTGACCTTGTCAAAGAGGCCGCTAAAAGGCAATCTGGACACGTGGCGCTTTGTTCGGCGTCTCAAGCTACTTCATGATCTCCAACGCAAGGAGACCACTTGACCCTTAGTCTGTGCATTCCTTCAGCACTCCCCGGAATGCTGTGCGCGCTTCATACACGTCAAAAGTTGTCATGCGCACATGACCCCAGATACGCATCCGTCTCGAAGACAATTTTGCCCACTTTCCGCCCATATCAAAACAACACTAATTCAACAAATGCTCACCTGCAAATTTTCGACGACACGCTGCCCCTTCCCCACCCGCCCCCTAAGCAGGTCCCCCAGGTTGCCCCCGAAACCCCCCAGTTGCGTAGTGTACATTTTCGACCCGGACTGTGTGCTAGCTGTCGATGCTAACGCTTCTTTCAGCGCCTGTTGCCGTTCTGCTAGGTTGAACTCGGTGAAGTCGAAGCGGCCGGTTACGTTGCACGCCTCGCCGCACTCGGCGAGCTTCTTGCGGTACTCCGGGTGCTTCTTGTTTTTCAGGATCTGCGCAAAGGAAGAGCGCATTGGGGGCAGTTGAAAAACTTCAGGATTCTCGATTCCATCTCAAACCTCAGTAACTTGATTGCACGTGAGGTATGCGGAAACGAAGATCTCCTGACTCGTCAGAATAGCAAGTCGCGAAAAAGGGGGGATCGAATGAATTGCATTCGAAAGTCCTGAAACTGATTTCGGTGACCGGTTGGCCGTCTTGATATACTTCCCGAAATGCAAGTTAGGCCAAGCCCCGGCAATTGTCAAACAACCGACGGCCTTTGTCAGCGCCTTGCAGAACGGTGATCTGGTATCATAGCCAATGCAAAGCTTAAGATTATCTACAAATCCTCTTCGAGCTTCAAACTGGTTTCTACAAAGTAAGGGTGCGGACTTGTTGCGGCCAAAGCGTGTGACGTGTTCCAAGGCCCCAAGAAACAACGAAGCTCAAAGGCTCGCACGAAGCAACTGAAAGCACCAGCAAATCCGATTTGGGTATACCGTTTCCAAGTCGTCCAATCGGGGAAGGAATCCTTGCGGACTTTACGTCAAAGGACAGAGGCCTTTAAAGAGGGGCACAGAATTTGAACGGCAGAAGTCCAGGTCGGGAACAAGGCTATGGCGCAACCCCTTGGGGTTGAACCAATTCTCAACAAAAAAGTCGCTCAGAAGTCGGGGAAACGAAGGAATTCGAAGGAGCATGACCGCAATCTTTGGTCATCTCTTCGATCCGTTCCTTCAAATTATAAGCTAGACCAGTCACCTGCAGCGTCTTGTTGTACCGGACGTTGCCGTGACCGTCTTCCGGGGGACATCTCCCGCTGCCTTCCAGCAGCTCGCAGGCGCCCGTTGACTCCTCTGGGCTGCAGCGAGCATCCGAAAGATTGTCTTATTCAGTCCAAGAGTGAAGACACCGCTTCGCAGCATCATTTAGTTGTCGCCATTCTCGTTCGTCTGGGGCAGTTGAGCGAACCTGCTGCAGTTTTCTCGGGACTCGAAGGAGCCGGCTTCTGACGATTTGCGGCCACTTTTGCATAAGAGGACTCAAACCACTGATGCTTGCCCTCTTCAGGCTGCGACCACTTTTCTAGATTGACGCTGACTGGAGGCGAACGTTATATCACTGTTTAGAGAGTCTCTGTTGTACGGACAACTGAAATCAAGGACTCACGCAGCGACCGGCGCTGTAACGAGAGTCAGTGATTGAAGACAAGGGGTAAGAGGACCCACCTCAAAATGTCTTCGACTTCGAGCTCGTGGCGCCACATGTCCCCAATGTCGTACGTCCACCCCAGACGAGCGCCTTTTTCCGTCAGCAAGTCGCCGAGCTTGTACTGCACAGTTGCAGCACAATGGGACACGTCAGGAGTACTATACATACTCCAGACTCTGCGCACCGCTGCGACAGGGAGCTTCGATTAGAGAAGAAGGGTGTTCCTTTGACCCTGAATTTGTCTGCAAAGGCACGCTTCGCCACATTCTGACGAACTTGTGTCAGGCAAGGCATTGACAGCCGATGCGCCCACAAGAGGAGTGCCGAAGCGTCGGTGGCAACTTGACTTGCCAGAGCTCGGAGTACGTCGTCTCTAAAGATTTGAGTGCAAAGTCTCCCGGAATCAAATAGCCAGCAATCAATGCCCCCCCCCGAGCACAGAGTCACTTTTGTCCAACATTGCTAAGCATACCAAGGACTCTCATGCACTCGGTCTGGTCTCTGTCCCCTGGATAAATAGAAGACAGACAGAAAGGTAAGGAGACAGCCCTCACTTTAGAAGTACACAGATGCACTTATCCTTTTTCTTCAACCGCCCCACCTTCTTGTCGTCCATTAGTACCTTCAGCTGAACTTGCCGTGCATCATTACAATCGCTTTGAAAACAATTCAATATCAAAAAGTCAGGAGAAATTGCTCTTTTTCCCCGCAGCTCTCTCACTCTTTTATCGTCCATCAGGTAGAAGTAGCTGAAGTTGACGTGCATCATGTCGATTGCGTTGCTGTCCTTGGGCCCGAAGCACGCGCCCTCCCTCCGGTCGCAAAACACATACCCGTGGTAGTTGCGCACCCACCCCATTAATGGCATCAGAACTTTGTCGGCCAGCGTGTTGAGCACGATTCCGCCGGAAACCTTGAACCTGGAAATGGAGAATGGAATTTCTTGCCGCAGCCAGCTTTGATCAGCGGGTTGCTTATCAGCCTTGTTAGTCAACTGTTTCCCGGAAGAGAGTGATACGCTCTTGAACCTGTTGAAAACAGCAGGAGGTTTGTTCCCGTGCTCAGCCTCATCCATATCAGCTTTTCCGAGTCATTGTATTGTGGTAGAAGGCTTACAGTGAGAGACTTGTATCGAACCTGGGAGCTATGTTCTGAGGCACTCAACTTGGTTAACTGGCTTGTGAGGTCAGGTTGTGAAGACTGGCGAAAGCTTCCTGTTCTTTCACTTCGACAGATCCCCCGCTTGTGTCGGTTGTTCTCATTCCTCTACTGTCCTTGGGTGTCAAAGCGGCGTGCGTGCGCATGTCACTAACTTGATGGAAAATCCGACAGCTGAGCTGTACCAGGTACAAGGATATTTCTGTGGATCATACTCAGGAGAACTTGGAAAAGAAAAACATCAGCCCTGGGTCAGAAGGTCTGAAACAATGCCCGGAGCTCACTGCTTCCACCCCTGTCTTTCATTGACAATATCTACTTGTTCCCCAAGTTCCACCAAGCTGGCAATATCAACGTGCACACTTTTTGCTTCTGCCACGAGACTTGAAGCTGAGCGCTAAGTCACCTTCTCCGGACGGTTGGATCGAGCTCAGGCATGTACATATTTATCACATAATCCTGCTTGTACCGCTGCATTGCCCCGTCTTTGGCAGCTGCCAACGCTGCATCTTTCCGTTCCGCCAACTGCAAGAAGATGCGCGAAGCGAGCCGCTGATGCACAATCCCAGTTTGTGTCGGCATAACCCTCTCAAAGGTGGTCTCCTTTCCCTTCCAGAGTTCTGAGCAAGTATTAGCGCAGAGAAGCCCGGATGAGTGGCGACCCCAAATCGACTTCATCCAAACGCAACATACCCTGCCAAGTCAAGGACTTACTGCTTCAATGTATTCAAAGAGGATAGACACTCTGTATCGCTGAACGGACCTGGAAGCCTTTGCAACCTGTTGGAGCCTGTTTGGGAGACTTCAGTGCTGGAGTTCAAGAGCTCACACCCCCTTCTGACATGTTGAAGCATACCAATGATCGAGGGCTAAACGCAGGAGTCTTACGAGGAAAGGCTGATCAACGCAAGTGTCACAAAGCTACCACCCAATATGGCGACCACCGCAATGCTTGCCTTCTTGATAAACTGCACTTCAGGCGTGTCCCTCCCTGAGTAAATCATCTGCGTCTGCATTTGCCGCATCGCCCGCGCCATTCCCGATTCCGGCCCCGTCTCTTGCCGGTCCCCGCCTTCCAACACTCCCCACCTCCGCTTTCGGCCGCCATACGGCTGGGTCCTCTTCGCGAATGACCCGCATTATTGCGGACGAGTCGTCGCGCGGATCGATGCGCACAAAAGGCCCCATGCCTCTGCCGCTCCCCAGTGGCGCCGCTGCTGCTGCGGTCGATGCAGCCGCTGCTGTGGTCAGCGCAGCGCTTGCCTCGCTCAAACCTTCAGCGAGTGTGCCCTCGTCGAACCGGACCTTTCGCCCTGGTTCTCCTCACCTAATGCAATGCCAAAGCTTGTCTCACTTTCACAAGTCCACCACTGTTGAAACAGGGGCTGTCTGATTGGCAAAATATAATTTCACAAAATGTGGAGCGCAGAATGCCAAGTTGCCGCCTTGCTCCAGGGTTCAGAAACCCCTTGTTCAGTCCCCTGTCGTTATAGCCTGCTTTGGAATTCCAACCAGTGCGGATAGTATCTATATTTTTGTAGTCACGAAAGGAGGTTTACAGAATCCCGTCTTGCACGAGCGGGTGGTCAGATGGAGATTGCGAACGAGCATGCGCCTTATACTTGAGGGCTAGTCACCAAGGGAACGGTTGAGGTCCGTCAACTTTTGACAGACAAAGGAAGAAGAGGACGAGCAACAAAATGTAGGACCAGCGGCCTACACACAGATGTCAGGCAGCTTTGAAGACTGAAATTGAAGATGGCAGGAACAGATGTCTACAGTCAGTCATTGCGTGACGGTGCCGTGATTGGCTAGCGAGCTTTCCACGGGATTCACGTGGGTCACGTGGTCGTAAATCTGGGCGACCGCGAAGCAGAGTACCGCGCAATCAGAGACGCCGACCCTCGAAATCACCCGGTCGTCCACCCCACATTGTAACCTTGTATATACAGCCCTGAGCTCGACCACTTGATCCGCGGTCTGCCAGTCTGCGAAGAGTTGGGAAGAGTCTGGCAAGCTGTCGATGTGAATTGGACTGTTCAATCGGGAAAATGGGGGAGAACCGGAGCTCTAGAGCTGGAGGCTCAAAGTGTCTACCACGCCGGCAAAAGTCAGCGTTTGTACATCTTGTTAAGAATCACTGGTGCATGATCAACCGTGAAAGATGCCACGTCCTGAAACGCGGCGCCGTTTCAAAGGTCCGGTTCTTTCAGCACATCGATGACCCCCTTCTGACAATGTTGAGAACTTCGAAGCAACTTCAATTTTGAGCAGGGAGCCGCAAAACGGTGAGCTGACGTCGCTCCCCAGTATCGTGCCTGACTGGACCCACCCGTATTCTGAACAAGTCAAGGCCACCAGTCTGAGCCTGAAACAAAGGTCAACGATGCGTCTGTCGTCGTGAGAAACCTTCCAACGTATCGGCTTGAGTAGCTTTGAGCGGCACCACCAGACTGCCTCGTCGAGAGTTTTCCCGCCCTTCTGGGCACGTAGCTTTTCCTTGGAGCAGATTAAGTACGACGCTTTTACGCCCGGCCGTTTGACGAAGGTGCGAGAGCCTACGTTCTGCTTCTGCAATATGGTCGTTCGTCTTCATTCTCGCCAGATTCCCGCTGAATCCGCTCATCGCTTTCTCGTACCAAATTCCGAAGTTTCCTGATCCCATAAAAGGCCGCTAAACGCATATAGGTGCCCAGATCTGTTATCATGGTCAGCCCCACTCCTCTTTTCCGTGTACGTTCAAAGCCAGTTTCTCAACCACCCCCCTTGTCAGATGGTCAACTAGATGTCAGTGCGCACCCCGTCCTAAGGAAGCTCGCCTATCTAGTTGTCATTCTCATAAGCTCAAAGTTCTGTGAGCGACCGTGGAGAGTGTGGGCTTCGTCCAACCGGAAAAATCGAGGTGTCATCTTGGCCGTTTGTGAGCCGTCTTTGACTCTTGTTGGAGTCAAAGAGGCTACCCACTTGACTGTTTAGGCAGTGGACGAGAGTAGAAGGCTTTGCACAAGTTGCTGAGCGCATCTTATGGTCAGACTCAGCCGAATCTTGCGGATCCGAAAGAGAGCCCAAGTCGAGTGAAGTCAGCGGGCCGTTCCCCTGGCATCGCGTCCCTGACGTTAGCCAGACGTCATCGGGGCAGCAGGTTGTTGAGCGACTTGCATGGCTGCGGTTGTGCCACGAGCTCACTGGCGCCCGTCTTCTTCAATTGCTTTCGTCCGCCCACTTCAAGCTGGGGCCGTTCGCTCCGGGCGCACTCTGACGAGGCCGGACTGCCTGATGGTCTTCCTGTGGATCCTCAAAACTCGCAACGGTGTTTCTTCCACGAACCTGCAACATTCCATCCAATCAACTCTACCAGATTTCGGAGACGTCGCCTGACTTCGGAGAGTTTCTTATATGTTGCAAAGTCGTTTTGAGTGTTAAACAGCTGAAATTCTGTCACTTTTTCTGGGGGCTCAACGCGGGCCTGAAAGCACATTTTGAAAACGGTATGTCGAAAGTCGTGACGCAGCTCTGGGCCTTCTTCTTTTAGCTTTGACCTTGGGGTTCTGAACACGGTGATATCTTGGAAACTATCCTCCAAATTGCATTCCGCTCATCAAATTTTGAGAGACCAATCTGGGTGCCGAAGCCAACTTGCGAATCTTTCAAGCCAGCTCCTCGACGAGTCGCTCGTCAGCTGTTTGCGGTGGGCTTGGCTAAATCATGGTCTAGATCATGGTCTAAAGATGGTGAACCACTGAAAGCACCTTATCTGAGAGCCAGGTTTTTCATCCCCCAACTTTACCACTGGGTAGAGGCGAAGACGGGGGGCTACTTCCACCTCGCTCGGTGGGCGAAAGTATGTCGCGCTATAGCTGGGCAATCCTTCTTCTTGTTAGCGGGATTCCACAAAACCGACTTTTCGCAGGTGGGCTGAGAGAACGCATTCAGCGGCTGGCCATAGTTTGTGACCGTTTTCGTCACGTTTGAAGCAGTTGCCATGACAAAAAACACTTCATGTTATGATCAGCAGTGTCTCATGTAAACAGGACGAAGTATGAGCTGGTGGGTATGCAAATCTTCGTCTTTAGACTTCTTCTTGCGGTGGGTCGAACCTGAGAAGTGGTTCTAGGGG